GGCTGATGTCCCCCGCCGAAATCCCCAAATAAATAGATGACACATATTAATTAATCGCACATCTATTTTTTTTCAAAGTATCAAGCAGTCAAACTGATTATCAACTATACACTAAGTTTCATCACTCTCTATCAGATAGAATCAAAGTTATCTTGTCCCAAAGCATCGACCAAGGAAATTGCTTATCTCTGCTTAGCTTTAGCTCGATATGTTAATCATTGAACTTAGTCAAGACGAACATCTACATCAAGTTTAAACATTCTACCCCAGAGTTGTTATGTTCCAAAGTCATGACCAATCAAAATGCTTATTGCTCCTCAGCTTAAGCAGACAATTCTCATCATCGAACTTAGTCAAGGTATTGATGTAATGAAACTATACACCAAGTTTCATCACTCTCACTTAATCAGAACTAAAGTTATCGTGTCCCAAAGCATCAACCAATCAAATTGCTTATCTCTACTTACCCTAAGCAGAAAATGCTCATCTCCACACTCCATCAAGGCATTGACCTAATAAACACCTACACCAAGTTTGAACATTTTAGCTCAATTAGAAGGAGAGTTATTGAGTTCCAAAGTCTCGGCCAATCAAATTGCTTATAGCTCTGCTTACTCTGAGCAGAAAATGATTATTATCGAACTTAGTCAAGGTATTGATGTAATGAAACTATACACCAAGTTTCTTCACTCTCACTTAATTAGAACTAAAGTTATCGTGTCCCAAAGCATCAACCAATTAAATTGCTTATCTCTGCTTACCCTAAGCAGAAAATGCTCATCTTCGAACTCCATCAAGGCATTGGCCTAATAAACACCTGTCCCAAAAAGTGTGACGGACAGACAGACGGACGGACGTCCGGACGTTAAGACAGACAGACAGACAGACAGACAGACGGACGAACCCATTTTAATAGTCCCCTGCTTTCTTCGAAAGGCGGGAGACAAAAAACCAGCTGGAAGTCAATAAGTTCTATGCACGTAAATGATCATTTAATTTGTTGAAATTTATAGAGCACTTTGCCACAGTAAAACCCGTCTTTATTAGTCTTTTTTGATAAACAATATTTTTATTCAGGATGTCTGAATGGGATTATTAGTTGGTGCAGAAAAGTGGGACGTTTAACCCCAGGGTATTTTTTTACGTGCACGCCAATGTATACACGGGGCCTCCGTTTTTCGTCCCATCCGAACGACTAGACAGCTGCCCTTGTCCTTATATAATATATGGTTGGAAAAAACTATATACAATGACGTTAAGCCAGGTAGGTATAATGCAGGCATCAGAAACAGAAACTTCATCGCGATCCACATGAACAGATTATCCCTGTCTCCTTTAAAATCCGTTACATCACCACATTTTGGGTTTCTAAACGGTATATCATTGGAACATTTCAAGAAAATGTTTATCGTTATAAAGAGACGGAATCACGTGGCTAAGTGGGTAAGACGCTGGCTCGCTAGCCTGGAGGTCGGGTGTTCGATCCCTGCATTGGCCGAGAAAGTTCATCCAGATTTTCCGGCGTGGTTCCCCCTTGTCAGTGATGCAGGACGGGGGACCTGACAAGGACAGTTGGGACGAAAAGACCCCTTGACAGTTGGAATTCGATATAAGAGTAGGCAGTAGTGCCGCTGTCCGGGCAAAATTTCCCTCGTAGCACACTGTATGGATATGCCCGTCTTCATTAGCCAAGTTCGGAGCAGAACAGTAGGGCGTTAAACCCCATTTCATTTCATTTCTATAAAGAGACATTTTGTTTTTAGATGTTCGATGGACTAAACATTGTCTTAATTTATAAATTACACGAATAGAAATTAGAAATTAGAAATTAGACGATAGAACGAATCTAATACACCGCCATGCTTCCTTTGATCCAGGACCCTCAACCGATGTTCTGTATACGAAGATCAGGAAATTGAAGCTGACTGTTCTTAGAGCATACAATGGTGAAGCCCCTTCAGGGAATGCGTAAATATCCAAATCACCAAGAAAGAGATTGTACTCCTGTTTGGCGAAAGATAGGTTTAACTGGTTTGGGAGAGAGAGAGAGAGAGAGAGAGAGGGAGAGAGATGGGGTTTAACATCCACTCGACACAAACTAGGTCATTTCGGGACTAATATGTGGTTTAATTTTATTTCAATAATTCGCTTGTGCGTAGGGGTCTTTAGCAGTGGGAGGAAACCGGAGGACCCGGAGAAAACCCACGAGGTTGGACAGGCGACCCTACTCCTTGTCAAGTACAACCGGGAATACGAAACCACGCCAGTTGACTCAATGACAGACCTTATGATACAGCGCGCACGTGCTAACCATTCGCCCCCCCCCCGCCCGCCCTACCGGCTTGGGTTGTGGACTGACAAAATAATACACCCAAGAGTGTCCATTATGTTTTAGGAATACGGTTGAAACATGTCCAGTAGTCAACAACTATATGCGAGGTGTGTCCAAATGTGATTACAAATTATTTTACTGGGTATGATCAAGCCTTTCCTGAAAGTAAAACCATTCATGTACGCCACATTCATTAAATAATTCGCAGTGATCAAGGACGACAATATGAAGTTAAAATCAAAGAGTTATGTTAACTAACTGGAACTGATAAATCGAGAACTCCACTTTCCCGTTCCCAAGGCAATGGGCAGCTTGAACGATTTAACGGAGCGTTACCAGAGGAGATATTGGAAAGACCTATGCTGCACCGCTTGTAGGCTTACATGCGTTTAGTTATAGCTGTCGGATACAGAATATCCATTCGAATTGATGTTCGATCATAAACCAAGCCGAGTTATTGATGTATTGCTTGGATTCATCAACAACGAATGATGCGATAAGTGACACGAAAGACAAGATGGAATATGCCTACAAGACTGCTTCTGCTGACGTAAACAGGGGCCATAACCAAATTTGTGCCAACTGAAACGTAATATTACGAAGTGTGTTCGTACTGTCCAGGGGAAATATCTTTAGCCGATTGGTTCAGAATGCCAATAAACTAAACCAAGAAAAACTAGAGTTAACAGAAGGAAGAACCTGTGTATGTTAGGGTTGGGGTTAGGGGATGTGACAGAAGAGCGCCAAGTGACACCAGTTTCCGATGACGATATATCTGTTGAAGAAGCACATCTGTTTCTGAACCACGTTCCAGGTTTCCGGGGACGTGTTGGGATGACAATATCTTTACTTCCAGCTGACTTCAGGTATTTGGCCACTGCCAGACTACGTGTCTCGTAAGGTATACCACCAGTGTTTATATGTATTGGAACTTCTTCAGTGAGTATTTTGGTGTGTTTCTAAAGAAAAACAGAGGGCATCCTTATTTTAGTATTTGTGGTAACTGATCTTCGTTTTAAAGCGGAACTATATATTGGGATGCGGTAAAAGTTATTTGATAGGTTTTTATGGGATAATTTTATCCAAGGATAGTTAATTAGGCTTGCATGATGTAAATATACACCTAGTTCACCTTTAAGGCTAGTTTTAGAAACCGCTCTAATATTAATTATTAATTAAGATATTATTTCAAGTGTGGGTATTAATAGATTTATTAGTATTATCTATTCCAGGCTTGTACAGGATAACTTTACTAGAGCAACTAAACATGCAGATCTTTCTTTTGGCCTCGAATTACATATGAATTATTAACAGGCCTGGAAATAACGGTGCCGCGAGATCTTCCAAAATGTGCCGCGAAATTTTGAACGGCACACTTAGAAAATGCGAAAAGCCACTTGATCCCAATTGAGTATTCACTGGCGTCTACTGTACGTTCATAGCTGTGTTTTCTTTATTTAGTTTGAGTCATTGTATGTGTCTATGACTAGTCTCTGTCTACGGTTGTATGCCGTCTATGACATGCCATGTTTTAATTTAGAAAAATTCAAATATTTTTCATATATATTTAGCCAGGCGTGCCGCTATTTTTACATGTGTTCGAATGTGTGCCGTTGCCAAAAAAAAGGTTGAGAACCACTGGTCTAGTGTTTCAAAATTCAACTGCTGACAAATTGTTGTTGTACTTTTTTATTCTAATTCCAATTAACCAATATCTGATTATGATCACTGCAATCTGGTTAAAATACAGATCTATATTTCGTTTCGATCTATATTTCGTTTCGATGGCCTACACTATAATGGAAGGTCGCGTCAGGGGTCATGCAGGTGGCTTTTGACCCTATGACGTCAGACATTTGATTAACCAATCAGCATTGTTTCTAGTGGGTTACACACAGTTCTGTGCACCACACCAAAAAATCCCCGTAACAGACCGTTTATTGGCTAATCCCCCACATCATCCAGAACACGGGTTATATAACAACTCTTCCATACGCTAGTGTACATGTAGTAAAGACAAGAAAAACTAAATTTTGAACTATAAAAAACGAAACGAAATAGGATCTGTGTTTTAATCAGATTGTTATCACTCTTGTGTAAAGGTTCAAACAACAAAAATGACATCAGATTTTATTGGCATAGAGATGGTTACCAAATCACAACAATTTTCACAATATAGTTCTTGATCACTCACTAGAATCTTGTGATTCTCCGGCACCACTGACAAGGGGAAACTATCCAGAAAAATCCAGACGAACATTCTCGGATGAATCCCTCCTGGTTAGTGAGCCAGTGCATTACTAACTGAGCACTATGGCTACCTTGAGAATAAGCTGATTGAATTACAACAACTTCGTGTATTTATTTCTGGAGTTATTGCCTTTAATCATGTTGTATAATCTCATTAAGATCCAGTGATGTTTTTCAGAGAGCAATCAGTGTCATTGTGAAAGAAAAGTAAAACAATCTGACATTAATTTTTATAAATCAACGTTTTATTAAATGTATCTATAAATACATAATTTACAATTATACATCAATGGTTTATTCAAAATATTTATAAATATTAGGGTACATATGGTTAAGGCTTTAGATTCTGTCTACAACTCAAGGCTCTCTGCATTGCCAGTAGGCCTACACAGTGAACAGTTTCGTGAATTCACACGACTTACAAATGTCTGTATTAAAATAAGAAATGAAATCTTAGAATAATAATTAAATATTAATGAAATATTCCGCTTAGCTATTCTAAGAGCTCTTACTATCGAAATTTGTTTCATTGACCGTAGAAAGATCATTCCGACATGACATACACCTACATGTCATGTCATGTCATGTCATGTCGTACTATACTACCTGTTTTAAAAATTAAATGAACCTTAATTCAGTACAGAAACGAGAGAGAGAGAGAGAGAGAGAGAGAGAGAGAGAGAGAGAGCAACAAGGTCATTTGGGGTTAAGGTATAGTAGGCCTACGATTTTATTTCAATAACTGTGTGTATGGGGTTTTAGCAGTGGAAGAAGCGCAGAGAAAACCCTCCAAGTATTTACAAGTATGGGATCAAAAGCATGCCACTTTAATAAAGGGTCAATAACACTCTTGCTGGCTTGACAGCCCCAGAAAATAAAAAATAGCCTTATTCTAAGTACTAGAAGTGTTAGTGTCCTACCTGTTGTGTAAATTATCCATTAAATCCTATTTTACTTGTCCAGAGGGTTCAAAAATATTTTTAAATCCAAGTCACATTTGAAAAGCTTTACGTCAGGCTTTTCAAATCATTTAGTTGAATTTTTCCAATTTTTTAAATTAGGTGTGTTAAGATGAAATTTGTATCATCAATTAATTGGAATATTGTAAAATAGTACAATTTGTTGACCAGAATAAAGATTGGGACATATTATTCAGTTACAACAAGAGTGGAATTGAGCCTTTGATATCTAGCGTAGTGGTTCTCTAAGTGTGCCGCAGAATTTTGAACGGCACACCAAGAAAATGTGAAAAACCACACGATCCCAATTGAGTATTTGCTGGTTTCTACTGATAAGTTCATAGCTGTGTTTTTCTTTATTTAGTTCGAGTCTGACTTGCCATGTTTTTATTTTGCAATATTCAAATATTTGTCATATATATTTAGCCAGGTGTGCCACTAAGTTTTCATGTGTTCCAAGATGTGCCATTGCAAAAAAGGTGGAGAACCACTGATCCAGCGCATGTGTTAAACCATTCGGCCATCCAACCAATTCAAAATTAAAGTAGACATTTTCTTCAATGTTAGGACTGATTGGTGGACAGATTCTAAGTGCCCTAAGATGATTATTTATCAATTGTATGATCAGACCTGGAAATAATGGCTTTAGATGTACCTGACAAAATGTCAGGAACTAATGAAATAGTACCTGACATTTTCATCAAAGTGCCGGGCATGTATTAATAATAACAATAAAAAAGACAAATCAGTGCCGGACAAAATGACAGGCAACAGAGATTTAGTGCCTGACAAAGCCTGAATCTGTGCCTGACATTGTCTGTGACAGGTGTCTTATTTCCAGGTAATATGATGTACCTGTTATAACTTACTTGGGGGGGGGGGGGGGGTCGATGGCCGAATGGTTAGCACGTGTGGCAGTGTATCATAATGTCTGTCATTGAGTCAACTGGCGTGGTTTTAATTCCCCGGTTGTACGTGGCAAGGAGTAGGGAGCCTGTCCAACCTTATGGGTTTTCTCCAGGTCCTCCGGTTTCCTCCCACTGCTAAAGACGCCTACGTGCAAGCGAATGATTGAAATAAAATTGAACCATATGTTAGTCCCGCAATGACCTAGTTTGTGTCGAGTGGATGTTGACCCCCCCCCCCCTCTCTCTCTCTCTCTCTCTCTCTCACTCACTTACTTTGAATAGCTCTCTGTAACTTATCATAAGATCTAAAGGTTTGTTTGGTAATGATGTCATCAGTGCCATAGTGAAAGAAAAATAAAACAATCGGACATTATTTTTTTATAAATCATCGTTTTATTAATTGTATCTATAAATATATGATTTTACAATTATACATCAATTAAAAAACAAAATCAATGGTTTCTTCAAAATATTGGGGTACATATATGGTTAAGTCTACTGTCCACAACTCAAGCAGTCAAGGCTCTCTCAAGTTATAACTTACTTTGAATAGCTTTCTGTAACATATCATATGATCTAAATGATTGTCTGGAAACAACTTTATCCTCTAATCTATGAATACAGTTATATAAAGCTTTATTTAATAAAAACATACTATTAGTTGTACTAGGATTTTCTACACTAGATAGTATATTTAGATGGTTTGTTAAATAGGACCAACCAACTCGATAATCACAATCGGCTAAACCCAGCTGACCTCCAAAACCACCATGTCCAAACTGATACGTCACCTAAAAAAAGGTTTCATTTACAATAATAAAATCCCTATTTAACAAGAAATAACGGCAAAGGCCCCCAAAACCACAATGCCCAAACTGATACGTCACCTAAAAAGGTTATCATTCACAATAAAAAAATTCCCTATTTAACAAGAAATAACTGCAAATGGCCCCCATTAAACCAATCAGTGGTGTGGTGGTCGTGGGGTACTAGGGATGTCTTCCCCCATTCCTGCAAGTTTTTCCTGACTATAGTATGATAAACATGCAGCCTCTAAAGAAACTTTTCAAAGGGCACCAAAGCCGAATTGTCAATGACAAACCAATCTTAAGTAAGTTTCTTTGGCCAAATGAACTATAAACAAGAACACCCAATCTGATTAAAACACAGATCCTATTTCGTTTCGTTTTTATAGTTCAAAATTTTGTTTTACTTGTCTTTACTACACTTGGATCTGGAAGAGTTGTTATTTAACTCATGTTCTGAATGGTGTCAGGGATAAGTCAATGAAACGGTCTGTTACGGCGAGCTTTAGGCATGTTTTGCATGGAACTGTGGGTAATCCACTAGTAACATCAATGCTGATTGGTTAATCAAATGTCTGATGTCATAGGGTCATAAGTCGGTCTTTTGACCCCTGACGTGACATACGGCTATAACTTGTCAGATCTTCATGTAGTGTAGGCCATCGAAAGTATAAAAAAAACAAAACGAAATATAGATTTGTATTTTAATCAGATTGCAAGAACAACATGTTAATCAGCAATCTGATTAAAACATAGATCTATATTTCGTTTTTTTTTTTTTATACTTTCGATGGCCTCTACTACATGACAATCTGACCGGTTGTAGAGAAAGGTCGCGCCAGAGGTCGCACCAGCGGTTTTTGACCCTATGATGTCAGACATTGATTAATCAATCAGCTCTGACGTTTCTAGTGGTTTACCCACAGTTCCATGCATAGCACGCCAAGAAGTTACCGTAACAGATGGTTTCATTGGCTAATCCAGAATGCCATCCAGAATGCAGGTTATATAACAACTCTTCAAGATCCTAGTGCAGTAAAGCAAAGAAAAACGAAAATTTGAACTATAAAAAACGAAATGAAATAGGATCTGTGTTTTAATCAGATTGGCAGATCAGCTAGTTCCAAACTATCTATCTTCTATACTAATATTTGTGACTGTCGTTCGTCTGTCTGTTCGGGGTTGGCGGCTACACTAGGTCTGCCCCGAGTCTGAAATTTGGGGTATAGGGGTAGCTCGGACCGGGGAGTAACATAGGCCAGGTGGCGTTAATCTACCACTTCCAGTTTCGGGGTTATGACCCCCAGGCGAAGCCGGGCATTCTTCTAGTATTAAATAAAACCAACCTTATTTGCCTCTAGAGCTGGTATTACTGTTGCACCTAAGCTGTATATATCTTCCATACCGTAGGTTAAATCTATACCCCAGGATAACGGTTTCTGGAATCGTTGGATCAGACTTTCAGACAGTAAACGTTTACCATTCAATGATCCACCATCCGCTAATATTGAATGAAATTTGGCCATAGCTACTGCAGTTCCAAATCCATGAGTTGATCCACATGGAATATCCATGAAATCTGTGTCATTCATGGTATTGATCTGAAAGTAAACCTATTTTTAAAGCCACACCCTGAAGAGAGAGAGAGAGAGATAGAGGAGAGAGAGATGGGGTTTAACATTCACTAGACACAAACTAGGTCATTTTGGGACTATCATATGGTTCAATTTTATTTCAATAATTTGCTTGCGCGTGGAGATCTTTAGCAGTGGGAGGAAACCAGAGGACCCGGAGAAAACCACGAGGTGGGACAGGTGACCCTACTCCTTGTCACATACAACCTGGGAATCCAAGCCATGCCAGTTGACTCAATGACAGACCTTATGATACAGCGCGCACATGCTAACTATTCGGCCATCCACCACCCCTCCACACTCTGGAAGTAATTTCACCAATATTTTTCAACCAGCTCTTTTAATTGATTTTATAGCATCACTTGATCTTCGAACTCGTTTCAGATTCGTGGATATGAATTGTGAGGATATGGGATAACACTGAATTATTCAAACTTCTAGAATTCTTCGACATGTGATGCTGGTGACCTTTTTCGAATTCTGAATTACTCAATAATACGGATTACTCAAAGCTTTTTTGGCTGAAGTAATAAGGAAATAAATCAGGACATGAAAATGATGTCGGATTTCACAGAATGTCGTAGTATTCAGATGTCGGATGTGACAGAGTCCACTGTATAGATGAAATCTATGAAAATACAGTGCAACTAATCAACCGGTATTATCCCTACAAATGTTCGATTTCTGGTTGCTGACTTACCTACCTGCTAAATTGTGATATAATCTCACCAATGAAATCCCCTGCGATCTCTATCCTGTATTAGGTTCGCAAAATTTAACTGGTTTACACACTAGTGTTTTTTGAAAATATGCATTGAAAAGTCCCACTAGCATTTCATTTCAGTTTTGGGCTTTTGGATCAATGAAGAACCAAACCAAGTTTAGAAATAAATGTCAAGAATTCTCTCACCATATTGGTGCCCGAAGCAGGAATCAATTTCCAGAATATGTAAAAGCATATAAAAAATACTTACATGTTTCCAGTCCCGTGGATTCTTTTGGGTTATTTCAGACACTCTAATATCACCTTTAAACGTGTCCAACATGCTCTCCTTATATTGTACATATGAATTTACAGCAGCTATCCTTGCACAACGATACTGTAGAGGTTTTGGTAGACCAATATATAAATCAAGGCCTGACACGAATAATACATAAACGATATATTATTGATATAACCCAATTCAACATGGCTGTATATTGTTGTCTGTTCACAAACTTCAAGTTATTATTGGATTTTTAAATAACTCATATGAGACATACTTCTTTAATTAAAGTAATCACTCCAAACAATCAAGTTATTTCTACTGTTTGCAATAGCAATCAAACAAACATCCACTTTTATAAATATTGATAATAATAATTTACTATTATTAGTATTATCATAGTAGTGAAGTGATTAATGTCATCTTTTACAACAAAATTAGAATCTGACAACTGCATTAGAGAGCAACCTCAATGAGATGCTCTGCTGTGAGAAAGAGAGAAATAGGATTTAAACTCGACACAAACTAGGTCATTTCGGGACTATAATATGGTTCAATTTTATTTTAATAATTCGCATGCACATAGGTGTCTTTAGCAGTGGGAGGGAACCGGAGGACCAGGAGAAAACCCACTAGGTTGGTCAGGTGAATTGAAACCACACCACTTGACTCAATGACAGACCTTATGATTTCACGTGCACGCATTAAACCACTAGACCCCCCAACCCTCCCTCCTTTGCCATGAGTCAGTGACAGTTGTGCAGTAGCCACATCACTAGAGCTATATTTCAATCCTCTTATTAACCTGCCGTTGAATGAAATCAATTAAACAGGATATTGCCATCAGAAAACTTGAAAATTTTAATATACACGTATGCTTTGTTTCATTTGGACAGTTCAAAATTAAATTTCCTGTTTAGTATCATTTTTATATTGAATTAGATAAAGGGCTGAGGGTCTCTAAAAGGTTTTAATCTGGACCTGATTTATAGGCTTATTGGGCCTTTAAACTCACCAAATGGTTGTGCGATTTCTTCCTCAAAATATTTCGATAAACTTCGGAACTTTGGATCAACTCTTCTCACAATCTGGTCAAGATACAGGGCAAAGGTATAAGGATGATAACCATGGTATTTTCCTGAAAATGTTCCATTAATTAAAAACATTATTTAAGAAATAAGAGGTTTAATGTCCTACTGCTCTGCTCCTGACTGGGCTAATGAAGACGGGCATATGCCATACAGAGTGCTTTTAGGTACATTTGCCTGGGGGGCCTACTCTTATATCATATTTCAACTGCCAAGGGATCTTTTACATGCACGCGAATGTGTACATGGGACTTCAGTTTTTCATCCCATCCAAACGACTAGGCAGCTGTCCTTGTCAAGCCCTCCATCCTGCACCACTGACAAGGACAAACCACATCGGATTCGGATACATGTACTGAATCTAATCCACAACTATTTTAAACATACATTATGCAAGGGCTAAATCTGCCTATTGCAGGTCTTTCTTTAGGCCTGAACTGTTATCTAAATTATTAATTAGACATTAATTAACTTATCCAGACCATAATCAACTCTCGATGTCATCGCTATTCTGTGATGTTTATTGGATTAGGTTCCGATTTCCTGTTCGACTTCCATTCATAATTTAATCATGAAATGGATAATCGAGACTATGTTTTTTATCGTACCGACTTTAGTAATGATGATCGAGGCTAGGGCGAAATTCCAATCGCTAAATTCTTGGTTCAGAGTGGATCAATTTGACTGAAATTTTCAGCTAATTCCCTTTACATTATCTAGTTTTTAACTATTATAGTGAAAACTGCCAGCTCTTTATCTAATCTCCCATAATGTATCTTTAAACAATTTAACATTCAAACACTACAGCTTCTGTGTTAGGCCACATAACAAAATTATTCTGGTTCTCAGATAATCCTGCTTCATTTTAGTCGGTCACAGGAAGTAACTCTATAAAAAAATCTGAATGAACCCAGAAATGTGCCATAGACGGCTAAATCTATTTATTAAGGCCGGCTCAATTTTTGTCAAGGTCATTGAGATGTAAATAAGGTTAGGGAACCTGGTTGTTGGTGAGATTCTAGGTTAGGTCTAGGATAAGCATTGGGGCTATGTCCTAGGTTAAGTTTAAGAATTTGGGGGAGAGGTTAAGTCTCCACATAAGCACTGAGTGACCTAGGGTGATGAAAATTTGGTTTATGATATTTCCTAGTTTTATACAAAAAACAACAAAGAGAGAGAGAGAGAGAAATGGGGTTTAACGTCCACTCGACACAAACTAGGTCATTTCGGGACTAACATATGGTTCAATTTTATTTCCATAATTCGCTTGCGCGTAGGGGTCTTTAGCAGTGGGAGGAAACTGGAGGACACGGAGAAAACCCACGAGGTTGGAAAAAAAAAAAAACAACATGGCATTAGCGCTAGCCCTGTTACATCTCGTGACCTATGACAAAAAATTGAGCTGGCCTTATCATTTAAGATATATATGAGAAGTCATTCAGCCCATGTGATCATTTGAGAAAATATAAACACAAAAACACAAACCTCCCTTCCGCATCAGATTTTTGGTAAGGGTTGTCAGAGATCCAGAATATTTTTTCTGTATGGCCTTACATTTACAGTACAACTGTATGGCCTTATAATTATCGGTACAGTACCGGGTACAACTGAACTTCCTCAAAGATACTCAATAACATAAGAACTGTATGAACCAATAACTACCTACAGTAGTCTGCATTATTGTGATGTCAGAAGTATTTTGATGTCATCTCATGTCATCATGATCAACTTAATATAAGATAAATTTTATTGTACAGAAAGATTGTTTTAGGGCAGTGATTCTAAACCAGTGTGCAATGGCACACAGGTGTGCCGCAAGCTCTTCCTAAGAGTGCCGCGAAATTTTGAACGACACACTAAGAAAATGTGAAAACCACGTGATCTCAATTGAGTATTCACTGGTGTCTACTGATAAGTTCATAGCTGTGTTTTTCTTTATTTAGTTTGAGACATTCTATGTCTAGTCTGTGTCAACGGTTCTATGCCGTCTGACTTACCATGTTTTCATTTTGCAAAATTCAAATATTTTTCATATATATTTAGCCAGGTGTGCCGTTATTTTTTCATGTGTTCCAAGGTGAGGTGTGCCGTTGGCAAAAAAAGGTTGAGAACCACTGTTTTAGGGTAACATAAATATTTGTGAATAAAAAAAACATCAACTTAAAGATACATTATGGAAGATTAGATAAAGAGCTGCAGTTCTCATTATAATAGTCAAAAACTAGATAATGTAAAGGAAATATGCTGAAAATTTCAGACAAATTGCTCCACCATGAACCAAGATAGCCTCGATCATCATTACTAAAGCTGGTACAATAGAAAACATAGTCTTGATTATCCATTTCTGGATTTAATCATCAATGAACTTTGAGCTGCAGATCAGATTTAAATCCAGTGAAAATCTAACACATAAGATGGCATCATTAGTTGATTAAGGTCTTTTCATGTTAATAAATTTCTAATTAATAGTTTATATAGCATTTCAGGCCTAAAGAAAGACCTGCAATAGACATATAAAAATGAATTTTTTAATCATTCACAAATCATTTTTTAAATTTTCAAATAAAGATGAATTATCCAATGATTACCAGGAAGCCAAAGTGGTTTTTGTTCCGCCAGGATATGTCCCAATTTCCGTGGATTATCTTTTAACCAGGCCAAATCAAATGGAGTTTCACAACCAGGTAAACCAGCCTAGAATTACATCAATTGAAACAAAATAAACAAGAGCCCAAGTGGGCTTAATCGTTCATTGCTGGGTTGGGTTCGGCCAGTAGAGTAAATCTGACCAACTGTGGACATTGTCATTTTGGTATCATAAAAAACATAGTCTTGACTATCCATTTTTGGATTTAATCATCAGTGAGTGTTGAGCAGCAGATTGGATTCTAATCCAGTAAAAATACGACTCATAAGATGACATCAAGAGTTGATTATGGTATGGATAAGTTATATAACTTATAAATTAATTGCTTATATAACATTTCAAGCCTAAAGAAAGACCAGAATTAGGAAGATTTAGCTCTTGCATGATATCTGTTTAAGTTAATAATGCTTATACTCTGGTATAAACAAAATAAAACAACATTGCAAATAAACAGTATAACAGTGCCTTATACAGGTCAGAATTCTATGGAATACAATTACTGCTTATTACTGAGCGACGTTTCGACTAGGCTTCTCTAGTCATTATCAGTAATAAGCAGTAATTGTATTCCATAGAATTGTGACCTGTATACTCCAGTTAAATAACTAAATGCAATTGAAACAATATTACTACCTTATTGCTAACAAATTGTTCAAGTGTTATATTTTCCTTTCCATTTTGAGCAAATTCTGGCCAATGTTTACATATTACATCTTCATAATTTAAACACCCTCTGTAAAAATTAAAATTTATATCCATTTTATATATAAATGCTACCTTAAATCAAATTGTGTTCTTTTTTTTATTTTAAATGTAAATATGCTTTCCTTTTTGACAGATATGTTTTCCATTCCAATTAATATGTTAATCAATTTAAACAAGGCAAACCATCAATTACTTCCATCATTCTCCCTCCCTCCCTTTTTCCAGAGTTTTTTTTGTGAAAGAAGAAGGTTTGAATTACATTTTGGGCCAGTTTTGGGGCAGCATTTATTATTTATAGGTGGAAAGAAGGTTGGTTGCATTGATATGTACAGCAGATATCTACGTATTGATTGGCATGCCACTTTCAATTTTTGTATCTCAAAACTTTGATGGCTAACCCTCATACAAACTTTGGAGTTGCTCCATCTCTGGTAGAGAGCATTCAGTCCAATGAAAATTTGGAAAAAGTTATATTAGAGCTAAGAAAAAAGACAGAAATTAAGTTCATTCTAAAAGGGGAAAATTTTTCGTGGGCTGTCTCCAAAGTTACTTCCCTTTAGTGTGTCAAGGGAGCTAATCTTATTAGCCAGACAGTTCACTCACATATAGTTGGAGGCAGACCACCATTAATTTCCCCATTGACTTCATTGTTTATTCTGACCTCTTTGTTCTCCTCCAACTTTTCCCCAAATTTTCGTTGGGCTGAATGCTTTTCACTACAGACAGAGGAACAAATGGTCATGTCTTTGCACTAAAATTTGAATGAGGTTGATCTCCAAAATTTTGAGATACACAAACTTGAAGAAGCATGCTACAAACATGTAACTAGTTGCCATACATATCACTGTAACCAACCTGTTATCCTTCCGCCTCAAAATCATAAATATTTACCAAAACCTGGCAGAAAATGTTAATTCAAACCCTCCTTGTCCATTCTAGACCAAAAAATCAACAAAAATGGGCATGCAAAAGGGGAGAAAAAAGACAGAGAGAATTACTATAAATAACCATGCCAGTTGACTCAATGACAGACCTTTAGATACATCGCACACACACTTACCATTCGGCCATCCAACCCCCCTGCGTGCCACCCTAGGTCATTTCGGGACTAACATGGTTTGATTTTATTTCAATAATTCGCTTGCGCAAAGGGGTCTTTAGCAGTGGGAGGAAACAGGAGGACCCTGATAAAACCCATGAGGTTGGACAGGAGACCCTACTCCTTGTCACGTACAATCCAGGAATCGAAACCATGCCTGTGACTCAATAACAGACCTTAAGATAAAACGTACACACGCTAACCATTCGGCCATCCAACCCATCTGCGTGCCACACTTACCTGCATGTACAGGTATATAGTCTAAATTTTTTGCATCAAATAATCCAACAATAAACCTACTTATCAACTAAATGAGCTATCACTACTGATGACAAACTTTTAGTGGTTGAGTAAAAACATGAAACAGTATCCTTCTTCCACTGACGTTTACACAATGGATCAGCTTCTCCTCCCCATATATTCACCACTAGCTCTCCTTGATAATATGCAGCAAAACTACCACCTTTCTCTAGACCGGTTGCTAGGTTTTCTCTTATAAATAAAAATATTATCATTTTATTAATAACATTTAACTGAAAGCTTTAAACCATGGATTTTTAGAAAATACAGGGTACACCACACTGAGAATGAGATATGAGTCTGCGGGTGTTGTAAGCTCCCAGCCCCTTAGAAGTTAATGTTCTCATATAGTTTTGAAGGGGGGGGGGTATAGTTTGTGGTCGATGATGGAGGGGGGAGGGGTCTTTTTGTCTTGAACTTCGTTTTTAAGGAATTGGTAAGATTGTCAGAAACATCAGGATATTATAGGCCGTCTCTATAGAGTCTAGAAAGCACCATTTAGTCACTTTTTCAAAAATATTCTTGCCCCCGGCGGGGCGTCTGAAAAATTTGATCCTCAGACCTCAGTCCGTCCCTGATGCAAAATTGACCCTTCGATCAATTTCCCGTCAAAAGTCAATACCTAGTACCAGTAACTCACTTTTTTTTTTTTATCAAAATTGAGTTAGGACCAAATTTGTAGTTACTAGGGTATTTGCTTCCTGTTGTTGTACTAGATATTCCAATCTTTTGATTTTGTAAGCAGTTACACCCATGACACAACCTAGCAACTTCCTTCATTTGCTTAGTATGCCACAGAAAAACCTAGTAACTCAATTGTCAAATCAATGGATAACCTGGGGTTTAATATTCATTCATTACGTTTTCCTTTGTTTTCTCAAAATAAGAAAAACGTGAGTTACTAGGTGTTGCCTTTTGACGGGAGCAATGCAGTTTGATCATGTTTTATAAAAGGATTTGATTGCCTGGCTAAACTGAGATCAAATTTCATGTAAATGCCCGTACCTAAATATTTCCTTTACTTCTTCAAATCCAGGTTTTACAAAGCCTCCTGGTAGTAATATTTTGCTCTTTTCTTTCATATTTTTGTTATTTGACGAGTGTTTGTGTCAAAACTCCTTTCTTGTCAATTCGTCATGCTACTTTCGTTTTTTCCGTAACCTTTGCACCCTAAGGGAAGTAACTCCTATCGAAATTTACAACTTTCATAATGATCAAGCCACTAATTATTTCTCTACATCAATGACATGTATATGATCTGGGTTTGTAGCTTATTTTTTTTTTGTAAACATTAAGTGGAGTCTAACCTAAGCAAAAACCCCAACATGTCACAAATATGATCCCAATTTTGAAGTGGGTTACCGTAGCTTGACCTACACAGATTCTAATGATCCAATTGTGGAAATGTTATTTTTCATGATAAATATGGAATACCCCAAATGGACATCTGTATTCTGATCCTTCCAACACAAAATCATTCATATTCACTAAAACCTGGCAGAAAATTAAAATTCAAACCCTTTCTATAAATTCTATATCCAAATATCGTTATACTCCTATGTATGAATAATTAAACAACATACACCCACATTTTGCAAGAGATGGACCAAGAACAAGCTAAAAAATAAATATGATTTTTTCACACAATCATGGAGGGGCCATAAACCAGAATGTTATCGTCTGATATGCATCAATTATCGAAAGGTTCCACGATCTTTAGGATATAAGTTTCATCAAAATCTGATAAAATGTGGACGTATAGAGAGAGAGAAATGGGGATTAATGTCCACTCGACACAAACTAGGTCATGTCAGGACTAACATGTGATTCAATTTTATTTCAATAATTCGCTTGCGCGTAGGGGGTCTTTAGCAGTGGGAGGAAACAGAAGGACTCAGAGAAAACCCACGAGGTTGAGCAGGCGACCCTACACCTTGTCACGTATAACCTGGGAATCGAAACCCACCAGTTGACTCAATGACAGACCTTATGATACAGCACACACGCGCTAACCATTCGACCATCCAACACCCCATGTGCGTTAAAAAATGCCATTTAATAGTTATAAATACATCCATTTTATTATTCTGTCAGTTTACATTATATACATATTACAACTGATATAAAACAAACATAACAATACAATTAACGAGGACAATAATCAGTTACCAAGAACAGTCAGTCAATGACGAAAAGAGATTTGTCCAAATACCATATTGTATAAGCCATTAATAACTATAAACAAATGATTAATTTACATACAGCGAGTTTATCTACTTGCAATAAATCAAGGAAAATGGTGTTTTAGTATTATGAGAAAAACTTGTTAAATATTATCAAAGACAAAGATTGGTAAGAATTCATCAAACTGCAGCTGTAGTTATGTTTGTCGTCCAATTAACATCGCTGTATCACTGGGTAATCATTTCTTGTATTTTATTCTTTGTACAGACAGGCTGAATTAAAACTCTTAAATTATTCTAATAGTGTTTTAAAGCGATAATTGCATTTTTTTTTTTTCAAGTCATATGTTTAAAATATACTAAAATAAAGCCTTAAAATACATGGCATCTATACACACAGTTCTACCTTATTAAAGAATAATACCAATTCCTATAATTCACTTCTGTCAGTTGAGAAATTGGCAAATATATCATTTTCTTTTTAAATCCAATGTTGACTTTTACGGTGTTATTATCACATTTGCAGGTTTAAAAAGTCTTGCTCAACCAGGCATCATTATCCTTATCTGTTTAACCACGGAGGAGTCAATTCTCACTTTCATTGTGTAGACTTAGTCATCCAGTGAAAAGAAATGATACAAATTAAAAACACAGTCGGCGAGTAGAAATTATTTCTAATTTTTACATGAATGTTTTTTAAGCGCTAGAATGATTCCTATGATTGTATAGTAGTGAACTGACAACCTATTAAGTAATTGATATAGAAATAATTATGTTTTGACTTTCTTAGAAAATATGCAACTATCGCTTTAATATCAAAAAGGCCTCAAATTCTTTATACACTCATTACAGTCACTATTAACAGCCCATTATCATCACTTGGAACAAAACTTTCAGCAATAAAAACATATACAATTTTATGTCAAAACCATAAAGTTGTCAGGCAACTCATGTATGTGCACTTCACATTAGCTTTATAAAGATTTATTAAGATATTTAACAAAAAAACATCTACAAGGCAAACCATGTAAAAACAGTATCAAACACACAGAAACAATAAACTATAGATTAAGATTTAAAGGAACTACATCGCTATTCTTTAGCACCTAGAAATTGACACAAATGGGTCGCAACGAATATAATAATGAAATATGATTGTATATAAACTGGTTTACACTCAATCATTTCTGTTTTCACTGTAATTTCTAATCAGTTATGTTTGGCGAAATACGCAAAGAATTTGATTTGACTGGCAGTATTTGGCGTTTGGTTATTCTAGTCTACACTGGTAGTATTCTCCTGTGGGGTATGTTTAGCCTTGTTCATTACAAATGATGCTCAAAAGCATTCTGGAACGCAATTCGTGTGCCAATTTTAAATATCAGATATCAGAAGCCCATCTTTTCACCGTAAGATAACAACATCAATGTTGATTTAAATCGACCAACAAGTCGTGTTTGCAATGTCGAAGACTGTGGGTGATATTGAATTAGCGACTTGGCTCCTTTAAGATATAGATTTTGATCAGTCTTTGCACAATTTTAACATAAAAGAGAAATACAGATTGTCTTTAAATAGGCAATATTCAATATTTCCAGTATCACTAACATTAAAGGTTGCACAATTATCAAAACTTAGCAGTTATAATTCATTTTATTTGAAACAATATTTATATTTAAATATTCTAAACAGATATAATTTCTTATTTTAATCCTGAAAGGAGTTAGAATGATTGCTACTAATGTAAACAGCAAATGGTTATATAACTGTAGGATACAGCTTTGCGATAATGTTGAGGGAATACTTTTCAAAACGTCACCCAAAATATATAGTAGTTGTTTCCCATTAGTATGTGTTATGGCTTATTGATAATATACTGGTTTACATTTCAGCAATCAGAAAATAGTTTTATAACTGTAGGATACAATTTGCGATAACTTTGAGAGAATACTCTTCAAAACGTCTCCCAAGTAGCTGTTTTCTACAAGTATGTGTTATAGTTTATTGATGATAATATACTGGTTTACTTTTCAGCAATTAAGCAGAACTTTCTACATCTATATGTCATTATAGTATACAAAATAAGAATTCTCCTGAACTCACTCAGTTATATAAAAAGCAACTAATAAGCTTTGTGACTGTCATTGTGACCTGTAATTTCTTATATGCACTGCATATTTTAATAGGAGGTCATTCAAATTTCAATTTATAAAATTGAAACATTAAACAAATAAGCTTCAAATACATAAACAAAATTTACAAATATATCTTTTAAAAATTTTAACAAACCAAACATTTATTTTGCTGTATTAATATTTGAAGTCAACGAATTATTTTATTTGTAAAATTTCAGATGACTTGCATGATTAACATATTTGTTCAAGATTTTTAATCCGAATTCATGGTCAATAAAGCATTAATTGTAGTTTCTTTGTTTCCACGGTTAGCTTCTAATACAGATTTAATAACCTCTAAATCCATATTAGGGAACATATCTTTAAACTCTTTTAGGTCGTCATCAGTATATAACGGTCGTTGTTGGACAGGTTGTTGGGGATAGGTCATAGGGACACCTAAAAAAAAAATTTAATAATACATTATCAGATAGAGATGAAAAGAGGGGGTATAACACCAATCAGGAGATTATGTGGCTTCTATACATGTTCATTATTCTGTACTGGCCATACAATTTTATAGTTACATAGTGGAGGTCGACCATAGCAATGTTTGAAAATTGGGTTTTGGTTTGGAAAAAAAAGGTTATTTTTTTCCGGCGTGCAAAATGACTGATGGGTCAGATCTAGTAATGGTGATTTTCCATAGCCCATGGTCCCAACCGGCCTATTCGACCGACGTGGAACCCATGGTATATAGGCTTCTGCCTGTTCTCCAATCAAGTTTCTGTGAATAAATATTGTTAAAAAAAATAAAAAAAGATGACAAAGGTTCTTTACAGCCTACACCATGATTTAATAGCAATCTGATTGAAACACAGACCTGATTTCGTTTTGGTTTTTATAGTTCAAAATTTTGTTTTACTTGTCTTTACTACACTTGGATCTGAAAGAGTTGTTATATAACCCACGTTCTGGTTTAAGTGAGGGATTAGCTATGAAATGGTCTGTTACGGTGAGTTCTTGACGTACGATGCACGGAACTGTGGGTAAACCACTAGCAACGTCAACGCTGATTGATTAATAAATGTTTGACATCATAGGGTCAAAATCCGCTTGCACAACCCCTGACACAACCTTCCACTCAATCTGATTAAAACACAGATCCAATTTCGTTTCGTTTTTATAGTTCAAAATTTCTTTTTACTTGTCTTTACTACACTTGGATCTGGAAGCGTTGTTATTTAACTCGTGTTCTGCTTGAAATGAGGGGTCAGCTAATCAAATGGTTTGTCGAATCGAGCGTTTGACCTTTTTTGCGCGGAACTGTGGGTAGACATTAGCGACAATAGAAATCAAAACAAAGCAAAAGTAGATAAAAAAATACATGGCGGTCGCTAATTGGTTAATCGAATGACTGACATAATCGGGTCAAATGTCGCTTGCTTGGTACCTGACGTCATAGAACGTGAACTCACACTATAACTTGTTAGATCTACATGTAGTGTAGGCCATCGGAAGTATAAAAAACGAAACGAAATATAGATCTATATTTTAATTAGATTGCCTTCCACTATAACCAATCAGATCTTCATGTAGTATTGGCCATTGAAAGTATAAAGAAAAACAAAATGAAATATAGATCTGTATTTTAATCAGATTGGATTTAATACAACTTTATTTTGTTTTCGAAATGTGGTATATCCAAAATCTAACACATAATCTGGTATTTTTTTTACACCTTTAGTTTTACTAAATGAATTATATCAATATCATAGCTTGCAATAAAAAATGACTTTTTTTTTAAAATCAAGATAAAATAAAATAAAAAAAAATATCTTTTAGAATAGTTTTAACTGCAGTCTATGTGTAATATCTTATAATCATGGTTCTTACCAGGTTGAACAACTGGAGGATAAAACATGGGCATCATAACAGGTGTGTTATAAGCAACATTTATGGCTGGTTGCTGTAACTCTGACATCGGCTGTAAAATAACCACAAAATGAGAAATTCAAATGAATCTAAAATAAATATTAGCATTTTATCAGACTCATCACAATGGCTAAATCTATTTGTTAAGGCCAGCTCAATTTTTGTCAAGGTCGTTGAGATGTAAATAAGGTTAGGGGCTAGCGTTAGGGTTGGGTTTAGTGCTAGCATGGACCTTATAATGTATTATAAGGTCCATGGTGCTAGCCATGTTTACATCTCGTGACTTATCACGTAAAATTGAGCTGGCCTTATCATTTAGCACTAACTCATCACTACATATTATAGCATCCATAAAATCTAAAATACTGAATCTCACAATAAACATTAAGATCTTATCATAGTTCATCACACATTTGTCACGTTTCTGGCAAACCGACGAATCTGATATATTTAAGTATTGAGAATTATACATTTGAAATTTGCATTCTGTTGTTATCTATGTGTCCATCAAATAATAACGTTTATGTAAATAGCATTCCATGTCCTAATGTATATGTATGAAATATTAAATCACAAATAAATGTTATTATTTGATGGCTACAGAGATAACAACAGAACGCAAATTTCAAAGGCATAATTCCCGATACATGTATTTAAAATATATCAGATTCGTAGGTTTGCAAGAAACATGACGAATTAAATCATCTATTTATGAGATGTGCAAAATAACACACAAGTTTTGGTTACGTACTGGTCTATTAACAAGTGAATTTAAACAACTTACAGTTAATGACAAACACAGATTGATGGTACCCTCTTTTTCATCGCCTTGTCGACCACTCAATGGAAACCAATCATCAACTGTTTCACCAGACATAATTTGTGTTGGAATGTTAACATGAGCCCATGCTATTCTATCATCCATAGTAAATGATCGCTGCAAGTAAAATATCTAACAAGTTAGTTTACTTAAAATGTTTCAGGTCAAAAATAAAATTGTTAAACATACATTATGCAAGAGCTAAATCTGCCTATTTCAGGTCTATCTTTAGGCCTGAAATGTTATCTCAATTATCAATTAGACATTAATTAACTTATCCAGACCATAATCAACTCTCCATGTCATCGCTAGAAGTAGATTTATTGTGTTCCAAAAGTGACAAACAGCCAGACGCTTAACCTGAGCAGATTTTTAACAAGCAGTTGCCATGCAATATACGCCCACATTTTACAAGAGATGGAAAGAGAACAAGCTATCAGGGGCCACAATAGAGGAAGTTACTGTCCGATATGCACAAATATTGAAAGGAACCAAGATCTTTGGGTTATAAACATACATTTCAAGTTTCATCAAAACCGGATCAAATCTGTGACCTCTTGAGTGTCCACAACCTTGGTTTTACATATTTTTACACTAGCAGCCATTGTGACCTCCATGGTGTCCACAAGCTAAAAACGTGATTTTTTTGTGCAATCAGGGGGCATAATCAATACAGTTACGGTCCGATACATGCCAATATCGACAGAAAACAAGATCTTTTTGAGATAAACCTATACTTCAAGTTTCGTCAAAATTGAAATTAGATAAAAACTGTGACGTGTCAAGTGCCCACAAACATATTCTAGACGGCCGAACAGGGGCGACAACATTATACGTCCACATGAAAATGTGAGCGTATAATAGAAAGATCAAAGAATATGACCTACCTCATCAAATATTTCGATATATAGTGAGTCAACACCAGTTGGTAAATAGCTGAAAACAAGTCAACACATTGATAATATATTTCCCTTTTTTTATTTTACTACATGTATCAGAATATGTGTATAATTATTTTAGCATACTTTAAAATCTGACAAAGACAGAGAAATAGTGCTTTATAATGTCCCAACAACACAAAGAAGGTCATTTTTTGACAAACATATTGTACTTTATATATTTATTTCAATAGATCTTACTACAGCTAGAGATAGAAACCAAGAAGCTTATGATCTAAAGTGCAAATAAGAGAGAGAGAGAGAGAGAGAGAGGGAGAGGGTGGGTTTAACATCCACCAGACACAAACTAGGTCATTTCGGGACTAACATATGGTTCAATTTTATTTCAATAATTCACTTGCCCGTAGGGGTCTTTAGCAGTGGGAGGAAACTGGAGGACCGGAAAAAACCCACGAGTTTGAACAGGTGACCCTACTCCTTGTCACGTACAACCGGAAGTGCAAATGATATTCAGTTTGATTTGACATGTAGTTGGAATGAAACTTACGTCTGCATGGATTTATTCCACCTTGGGTTTTTTGCACCATTGTAAGCAGTAGGTGTCTCAAATACAGTGTGACCTATTCTTATGCGACAATATGGATCCATCTTTGTTATACCATAGTTCTTGACCAATTTTGCCTAAAAATCAAATTTAGAATAAATGATTGATTAAATTGGCAATGTGTCTATTGAGCAATGTCATTTTCTTAAATATATATGAAGAACAGTTCACAGTTCAAAACCAAATTATCAGTACTCTTATAGATCATTCTAACTACTAAGAATTAACACAAAGCTTCCAGGCTTACTTTACTAATTCCTTAATTAAAGAGGGCTTTTTATTTAAACAATATTTTTATTCAGGATATGTGAATGAGATTGGGGAACAGGCTTAGCCTATGTAAAACCCTCTATCTGCAGAGATACTTAATATCTAAAAGGTTTCATAATTGCTTGTTAATCTTAATATTTCAGAATGAATTTCACTGACATACTATAATTATCTATCAGGCATTTAATGGCAGTCCACAAATTTTTCTATTATTTTAACATGCCAACAGTGAGGATGATGTCCCTGCTTGGCCCCTTCATTCCCCCCAAAAATAGAGATATACATGCAGATAAAAATAGAAAGAAAGAAATGGGGTTTAACGTCCACTCGACACAAACAAGGACATTTTGGGACTAACATATGGTTTTATTTAATTTCATTTTCAATAATTTGCTTGCGCGTAGGGGTCTTTAGCAGTGGGAGGAAACCGGAGGACCCGGAGAAAATCCATGAGGTTGGACAGGCAACCTTATTCCTTGTCATGAACAATCGATGATTCGAAACCACGCCAGTTGACTGAATAACAGGCCTTATGATACATCGAGCATGTGCTAACCATTCGGCCATCCACCCCCCCCACCCCCACAAGTGTATTAAAAATTACAAACTCACCTCAACTACAGAAATACTAAGTCTTCCAGCAGCATTAGCTGGTGCCATAGTAAACCCTCCTGCTTGCTGAGCTTGTATAACTTGAGCTATTCTTGCATCTTCCATAACTTGTTGATTCTGGCCTTCTGGTGATGCAGAAACTCGCAAAAAGTCATTTGGCAGATCACCCACCATAACCTTGAGAACATAAAATGTTACAATGTTTAAACATATAGCCTATAAACTTATTAAATATTAAAATTCTGGTCAAGTAATAAAGTCTTTGTTTGACGGTTGTTGAAATTGTTAAAATGTTGGTGTTTTATTTGTTTTTTTTAGAAACCAATGACACATACTGGTAACACAAATTCTGATGATGATTAAGAAGCATTTTAGCTTATATAAGTTATACCATTTACTTAAAGGTACATTATGGGAGATTAGATAAAGAGTTGACAATTCTCACTATAATAGTTAAAAAAATAGATAATGTAAATAGAATATGCTGAAATATCAGTCAAATTGCTTCAACTCTGAACCGAGATATTATTAGGTTTTGAATTTTAGGCTAGTCTTGATTACCCACTTTTATGTTTAATCAGCCTTCAAAAATGTATTCCAATCAGCTAAATATTGCAGGCTAGCGATGACATTGTGAGTTGATTATGGTCTGAATATGTTAATTAATGTCTAATTAAATAATTTAGTTATCATTTCAGGCCTAAAGAAAGACTTGCAATAGGCAGATTTAGCTCTTGCATAATGTATGTTTAATTAAAGATATACGAGTATGTTTCTTCAAGACTAATTGGGTCATCTTGTTTTACCTTCCCAACCTATTTTTATCTGCATATGTATTTCTAATAGCAACAAAATAAATAAAATATCAAATTATAGGCTCAAATTACCTAATTTAAAGATACATTCCCGTGAAAGTATTTATAGGTAGTTATAAATGTCCAAAAACATTTGCTTTCATTACCGTAAACTTCAGTGTTAGTTTTGTAACACGATCGTTTAGCAGTAAAAAGTTGCCCAGTAAAATTGACTGGGGGCCGATTCTTTTTTGACAAGGAAAAGGATTCAATAGGACGGTTCCTGAATGTAGGCCTACAGGGCGAGTGTAATGAGATCTACGTTCAGAGCTGAACTAATCTAGGACCTACTAATATGTTACAAAAGAATTCTACTTTATTTTACTTCAGTTTTATTATGAAGCAATGAGAGATTTAGTATTGGACTGGAGCACCACTAACTGTGACAGTAGATTGAAATCGCCCACCCAGCTCAGCCTCATCAGAATTGACATTTTTAAAGAACTCTGATATATATACGACCATGACTAGAAGGTCATTGTCTGTTGATAGATATCCGATGACTATTTTTATAATGACTGTATTGACTGATACATATTGCATGATTGATCATAAGGTTATTTATAGAGGCCTATTGTGGACGGCACACGTTTGACAGTTCCGTTTTCTCGCAATGAATATAATAACTCACTGACGTCAAGTTACAGTGACAATGCAAAGAATTAATTACAGAGAAACGACAAAAGCGTATGTTGCCCGAAAGAGAACCCCATGTCAGCTCCCATAATAAATCCAATAAATATATTACTTGAGCTCGCCGATCTTCGCTTCTTGTTGTTGACGCCATTTTGGATTCTAAAATAGAAGTGACGTTTCCGAACATTCGGGATACTTCGTACGATGTGAGTCAAAATGTACAGGGACTTGTTGTGAAAGAAAAAAAATGGCAAATACAATAATATTTTACAATAATCAATGTCTAGGTTTACTACGGTTACTGATTTCGAGTCGGCATTGTTTTGTTTTTTTAATGCACCTTCTGAAATGAAGTCGGCAGTGCCTACCCTTCGATTTTGTTGAATTTGAGTTTGTGCATCCAGGGTCAATCCTTAGGTTTGTTTTTACTAGTCCCTGTGACTGAATGCCAGCAGTCAACAACTCAAATAGCAAACGGGGCATTAGGTAAGATTAAATAAAGAGCTAACAGTTCTCGCTATAATAGTTTAATGAAAACAGAATATGCTGAAAATTGCAGTCAAATTGCTTCACTCTGAACCGAGATATTAGCAATTCAATTTTAGGCTAGCCTCGATCGTCATTACTGCCGTTGGTATGATGATAAACAAAGTCTCGATTATCCAGTTTTACGTTAAATCATCCATCTCAAAACATATTCAAATCTACTTAATATCAAAGGCTATACGAAGGCATCGAGAGTTGATTATGGTCTTGATAAGTTAATTAATGTCTAATTAATAATTTAGATAACATTTAAGGCCTAAAGAAAGACCCGCAATAGGCAGATTTAGCTCTTTGTATAATGCGCTTTTAAGTCGTCCACAAGTATCAAAATTCGTTGGTTGAGTCGTCGACAGAACATGGTTTAATTTAATATAGGGACACAAAAAGTATCGATAGTCGTATGTGTCCTGCAATAGACATATTAAGCTCTTGCATAATGCGTGTTTAATTCGTCCACAAATATCAAAACTGGTTGGTTATGAGTCGTCCACACATATAGGGACATATAGAATTCATCGTACTTCTATGTCAGTGAGTGGTGCTTTATCAGCATACCCTCGTGGTTTTCATGTTTGATATGAGTATAAATTTCTTTACGTCATTAATTGGCACACTATCGCAAAGCTAGAGCGGTTGTTCATGAATAACAACAAAATAAATCACTTTATTCAACAAATAATCAATAACAATTACGGCCCACTTAATATTATGGCTAGATCTATTTCTTAAGGCTAACTCAAGATTTCGCCAAGGTCGCTAAGATGTATATAAGCTTAGGGCACGATTGTTGGCGAGATTGTAGGTTAGGGATAGGGCTAGGTCCATAGTTAGGGTCGGGCTTAGAGCTAGCCCTGTTTACATCTCATTGACCTTTGACCAAACTTGAAGTTGATCGACCTTATGAAATAGATCTAACCCTACTCCCCCCCCCCCCCCACACACACACCCCTCCAGTTCATATCTTTCTCAGATATTAAATATTTTACCAGCAACAGTGTCAAACTTCTTCCGCTGCCTAGCCGAAAACCGTTTAACGGTAAATTTGATAATCCCGTAAATCTACAAGCTGGTTGTTCACCAGTCGAGTAGATCCAGTAAGTTGCCGTTGTGAAAATAGCACGTGGCAAATGAAGACGCTCCAACAATTATCGCATTTACCGGTAATTTTGATACTGATATCCCAAACTATTCTCTATAAGCACAGAAATACGAATGGTGCCATTCACTTGTCGATATATTCATTTTGAGATATATATTAATAATAATCATCATTTCTATACACAAGAACAACTTTAGTCACAACTCCATTTGAAATTCACGTCGAATATGAAACTTTCCAATGACGATGCATAACAATAGATCACCTTCATTTCTCAGCCAATCAACGCTGGAAATTTTGTTACCTTATCCAGTTCCATGCCATATAAGGCATTGAATAATACGCGTGTAGTAACCATGGTTAAATTTGGTGCGAAAATTGCACGGACTTCATGGACATGAATAACAAAAATACCTGATAAACGTGGAGTCCCTATGATGCCTTTTGGTGAGTGATTAGTGATAAGCTGCCAATGCAATTGTTAAAATAATTTATATTCAGATTTCATATCAAATCAATTAAATGTACGTCTAAACATTAAAATGGTAACACCAATTATATCTTTGAAAGGGATAGATCTTAAGATACCACCCCAGGATCACCTCTGTAAAAAATGCAATGCAAACAAAACTAAATCTGAACAAAATTGTCTTATGGAAAGCCAAAAAATATGAAGATTTAAGAAAACAATAGCCTATATGAACCTTTTTATTTGAAAATCTATTCAACCCACCTAACCGAGTATCATGAACATAAGTGTCGCAGCCTTTACCTACATCTCTTTTTTTTTTTCTTTTTTTTTTTTTGCCGAGAGCCAACTGAACTGTTAAATATGCATGATAATATTTTATTATCTTTTATGTGCGCACGTTTTGATTTGTATTTTCATATATTATGTACCCTGTGTGTGGGTTTTGTTTTATACTGTTTGGTTATGTGATTTTATACTTTGTACGCTTTAATTGTTTCGTATTTTCATATATGTATCAAGTGTGCAGCTAAGGTTTTATACTGTATTTATGTGCTCTGAATTTATGCCCAGCCCATTTTTTTGTACCCGTCCAAATTTGTGTACCCTTTCCAAATTTTTGTACTTGTATTCAATACTTTGTATATTGTATGCTGTCCTCAAAGGACGTTTCGGTGCAATAAAATTATATTCTATTCTAACCAATACCTTTTGGACGACTTAACTAGAGATTGTGGACGAGTTTGTTTTGGACGAGTTGACTGCCACTCCCTGTGACTTACCTGTTCCTTGCGGTTATCTCCCTTTCATTGTTTGTTTTTTCAACAATAATCCAAATATTTCAGCGATGAGGAGAATATTGTGCACCTATTGGCCATTGTTTGTTTATAACGATATACTTTTGTTATCGCTATTAATGAATTAATCACCTCATTAAATAATACTTACTCTCTTTTGGTGAGCTTTCTTACGTTTGGATAACCATATTAATATTATATTACAATTCATTATAATATCATTGTCATTAATTATGTTTACCTGTCTGCATGCCAGCTAGTATTGAGCTAATCAAATGAAACAGTCTGTTTGTCGTACCTGTAACCTACCTTGTTTGTAACATTATGATGATTATGTGGCACCGTTTGATAAATATTGATAACATGTTTATTGCATCAAAACATCCATAAAGTCTGATCCAAAGTGTATTATAAATTAGAATTCCAGACCATTTGACGGTTAATTAGTTTTTAAGTTCACCAGATCGGGATATGGTTGTAAATTGTGATAGAGATAGGCCTAACCGAAGTACCGGTAGTGTAAATAATCTAGACTAATGCATGAGATTGTAATTGTCGTTACAGCAGATTGACAATTTTGTATGCTAACTAAAATCAATGCAGACATTTTTTATGGGAGGGTAGGCCTATGTGGTAATAATATAGATTAATTTGAAAGATTATACTACCACTTGATAGCCAATTATAAATGGAAATATTGCCCTGCACTTAAGTACTATGAAACATTTTTGTCCACAGCCTTTCGAGAAAGCAAGGAGTATTAAAATGCAGAGCATTTTCTGCTTAGACTTCAATCTGACTGGTCAAAGACTTTGAAAAATAATATAACGCTCTTTCTAATTGAGGTAGAATGTTCAAAATTGGTGTAGGTGTCTACTAGGTGATTGCCTTGACAAGAGTTAGATCATGCACATTTTCCACTAAGGGTAAGCAAAGCTAAGCAATTTGATTGGTTGAGACTTTGGAACACAATAACTTTGGTTTTAATTGGAGGAGAATGTTTAAACTTGATGTAGATGTTCATTAGGCAAATGTCTTGACTGAGTTCAATGCTAACATTTCCCACTTAACCTAAGCAGAGCTAAGCAAGATTGGTTGATGCTTTGGGTCAAGATAACTTTGATTCTAACTGATGTAGAGTGATGAAACTTGGTGCATAGTTTCACTACCAGGTACTTCAAAACCTTGACTGAGTTTGATCATGAGAATTTTATGCTTAGACTAAGGAAAGATAATCAGTTTGATTGCTTGATACTTTTGAAAAAGATAAATGTGCAATTAATTAATATGTCGTTATTTATTTTGGGATTACGGCGGGGGACATCAGCCCCACTGCTGGCTGATTTAATTTCTGATGAAAATAACCAGTATTCCATGCAAATCATATCTTTAACTTTTTGAAGATATCCTAGCAGGATCAGAAATCTATAATTAGACTTTGAGCACATGCATAGTCAACATTGGACATGACTAAGGCTAAATCTATTTGTTAAGGCCAACGCAAATTTTGTCAAGGTTGCTGAGATGTAAATAATTAAGGTTAGGGCACATGATTTTTGGCGAGATTGTAGGTTAGTAGGGTAATCGTTAGGGTTAGGGTTGGGATTAGCACTAGCCCGGTTTACATCATGTGACCTTTGACAAAACTTGAAGTTGGCCTTATCAAATAGATCTAACCACATGACTAAAAATAAGTATGACAAACTCTTCTTTGATAATTTTTATTAGACTATAATACATGGCCTTTGATTTTCAAGCTGTAGTAATTTAAAAATCACATCCGATTTATATAGATTTATAGAACTAACAATGGTCATGCTGTTGCTTGCATCACATTTATGCATGAAATATTCCTCCCCCTCTATGTTTGATAAAGGACAATATTGGTGCCAGTCATTATCACATATGTGATAGAGCTGGTTAAACACATTCCAGATATAATTTTAACACAGAGATCATTGCTACGATAGCTGACTAATACAGGTTTCCTGAGTCGGAAGTGACGAACGCCAAAGGAAAACACGAGCCATCTCTCTATATAACTGACTAATGTGACGAGTGATAACGGATATACGGGCGAATTTCTGCTCACTAATAATTCATTTGAAAACCAAAAGTTGTTGTATGAGATTGTGAGAGGATATCTGACAATTCATAAAAAGAATTGACTGCCACTAGATAAGTGAACACGAAAGAAAAACAGAAAAAGTCCGTGCATTACCATGTTTTTATAAGATATAGAATGAATATAAACAAGGGAATGTACGGACTATTTCTATTTTTCTCGTGTTCTCTTATCTAATAACATTCAATTACTTTATTGAATTGTCAGGTATCTTCTTACAGTCCCATATATCAACTTTTGGTCTTCGAAGTAATTATTAGTGAGCAGAAATTCGGCCGTATATCCGTTATCACTCGTCATATCAGTCAGTTATATAGAGAGATGGCTCGTGTTTTCCTTTGGCGTTCGTCACTTCCGACTCAGGAAACCTGTATTACTCAGCTATCGTAGCAATGATCTCTGTGTTAAAATTATATTTGGAATGTGTTTAACCAGCTGTATCACATATGTGATAATGACTGGCACCAATATTGTCCTATAAGCTATTCTTCATATCATGGCATCACCTTTCACTGCTCTGTGCTCATTATCCCAATCTGGAATTATTTTCTCCTGCATGAACACCCACCCAATAATTTGGCTGGCATACTTATATGTCCACCGTTCCTTGTCAACAAACTGAAGAGTAGATTTCTTTGCTAAATATTAGGTGGGTTGGATGGCCGAATGGTCAGTGCGTGAGCGATGTATCATAAAGTCTGTCATTGAGTCAGTTGGCGTGGTTTTGATTCCCCAGTTGTAAGTGGGTTTTCTCCAGGTCCTCCGGTTTCCTCCCACTACTAAAGCCCCTTACGCGCAAGCGAATTATTGAAATAAAATTGAACCATATGTTAGTCTTGGTTTCGATTCCCCAGTTGTAAGTGGGTTTTCTCCAGTTTCCTCCCACTACTAAAGCCCCCTACACGCAAGCGAAATATTGAAATAAAATTGAACCATATGTTAGTCCCGAAATAACCTAGTTTCTGTCGAGTAGACATTAAACCCCATTTCTCTCTCTCTCTTGCATGGACTGCAAGGCTGCTAAGACATATAATGTATTTTTAACAACATTCAGTAATCGAAATATCTAACAGACTATTAGTTCTTAACTGAAGTCAGTAGCTAAATCTATTTAAGGCCAGCTCAATTTTTGTCAAGGTCGCCGAGATGTAAATAAGGTTAGGGCATGTGATTGTTGGCAAGATTGTAGATTAGGGTTAGGGTAAGCATTGGGGTTAGGTCCAGGGTTAGGGTTAAGGTTGGGATTAGCGCTAGCCCTGTTTACATCTCGTGACCTATGACGAAAAATTGAGCTGGCCTTATCATTTAGCATATTGGGTACTACTAGTGGGAATGTCCATCTGCTATAATCATAATCATAATCATAAAACCATTAGACATACACTGTACATCTAGTAAATGGTATCTATATTAATAATATCAGTAGTTTGTTGTGTGGCCATATTGTAGTGTATAGTTTATCTAATTACCTGATTGATTATTTTAAAGCTGTATGCAGATTGATGGATAAATTAATTAATGGGTGAGAACTGAATATTTTACAATAAACGTTAATATCATGCACATATTTAATCTTTATTCAGAAAGTGTAACATACTCACAGTGTTTTGTTCAGTTAATTGGATCACATGATTTTCAATATCAAAAGGGAGATAGAATTAATTTTAGGGTTCCTTAAGGCTTTTAAAGATCACTAGAGGTATATGTTTGGAGCACTTCAAGATATATTTATCGGCAAATTAAGGGTTTCTTAAGGCTTTTACAGATTGCTAGAGGTTTGAAGCACCTCAAGAAATATTTATCAGCAAATTATGATAAATATTTGATAAATTGTAAAAAGGCAATGAAACAGATTTTTGATACCAATGTAGATATGCACTAATGATTGGATCTATAGTATTCTTTTGTAAGGGGGGGGGGCAAACAATTACACAAGACAAACCCACAGAGAGGACACAATACATCGCCACCACCAACAGCAATCAGGCCCGTAGCTAGCAGGGGGCAAGGGGGCAGCCCAACCAATTTCACTCAGCTTGCCCCCCACCCACCCACCCACCCCGGCTGCTAGCTACAGGCCTGGTATTTGCACATATCAGATGTAGAAGTGGCCAATATTGTATTTTATGAGTGTCTTGAAGTGCTTCAAACAGACAATTTAGAGATCAACCAAAGGTAGGGTGGCCCATGCACCTACAGAAATACAGTCAACCGCTGATAGTTCGAGACTACCACTGAAGCTTGCACATTCGCCGTGTCGAGGCCAATTTCTGACAGTATGATACTATAAATAGCCATGGCACGTGCAATTCTCTACAAATCTATCAACTATTACAGCCGTAAAAAATTTATTGTTGACGATTTTGAATAGCAGTAAAATTAAGCTTCTTGTTTATTACAGCAGATTTAGAAATTACGTTCGTTTCATTTTTTAAATCGCTTTATCATTAACTGTACCGTTAAGAGCGGCATCTTTTGGTTTAGTACAAATACTATCTCTGAAACACTCAGGTTAGACAGGAACATGCTACTAGCAGTAGTTTCATTTTACTTTTACAAGCTTCTTAAAACAATTGTTGAGCTAGCTAACGTGCTCATTTCTTAATTCAATTTCTTGTTCTAGCTTTCTGTTATGTTTCGTAAAAAAGTAGTCTTGATTATCCTGACCTGTCAATCAGCCTTAGAATGGTCGATAGACTGGTTAAGCGACTCTAATTTCAAAACAAGGGCACGTAACCTATCTTTTACTCAAAAGTGTCTGGATGTTGTGGACGACACATGGAACCAGTTTTCAGTCTATTATTTATAGATGATTAATGGTCATAGCTTATTAAGTACAACATGATCGTTAATTTAGTGACTATAATTGTGTGAAACTGATTTGAGGTTTGGCATATATATAAATATTGTGGCGAAATTGTCGAGGTATATGGAGATATTTATTTATGGTGGGTCACCCTACCAAAGGTCAGAAAAGCCATCTGAAGAAGAATGAGAAATTTATATCCTTAAAGATACATTATGGCAGATTAGATAAAGAGCTGGTAGTTCTCACTATAATGTAAAAAAACTAGATAATGTAAAGGGAATTTGCTGAAAATTTCAGTCAAATTGATCCACTCTGAACCAAGATTTTAGCGATAGAATTTTCGCCCTAGCGTCGATCATCATTACTAAAGTCGGTACGATAAAATACATAGTCCCGATTATCCATTTCATGATTAAATCATGAATGAAAGTTAGGCAGCAAATGGGATCCTAATTCAGTAAATATCTCAGGCTAACGTTAACATCGAGAGTTGATTATGGTCTGGATAAGTTAATTAATGGCTAATTAATAATTTAGATAACATTTCAGGCCTAAAGAAAGACCTGCAATAGGCAGATTTAGCTCTTGCATAATGTATGTTTAATACTTTCATTCCCACTTTCACCTAACACTGTTCTATAAAGTTGAGAGAATTCTAATAAATTAATTCTGCATAAATAGATAAGTAAATTATTATCTTAATAGTGCATTTCGAATTGATTTTTTTGATGGACAATTAGAAAGAATGTTCTGGAAATACAGTAATAATTTGTTTATAATGATAATAAATGTCCATTTGTAAAACATTTAGAATCCACAAAGAGTTCTCAAAGAATAATTGTTGTATGAATTGTTTGATTGGTTTCTATAAAGTGTTCAATTCTTTTTTTAGAAAATTCAAAATATTTAAAGGGGCATTATGTAAGATTTGGATAAAGAGCTGGTCGTTCTCTCTATAATATTTCAAAAATAGATAATGGAAAATGAAAATATTGGAAATTTCATTCAAATTACATTATTTTGAGCAGAGTTATCAATGGTTGTAGTTTTAACAAGATTTGTGCATTGATTGTACATTGTAATAACCATACTGGTTATTCGAGTCAACAATTTCCTATAATTACTATTGGAGTTATCGCATGAAGTGATCAATATGAGCCTACTCTAGAGTCAAAAGTTATCATCTTATTGACTTTAACTTTATACACTGTGTTTATGTTCATGAGACCAAGACTATTGATTTTTAACAATCTTCTTTACAGCCAAATCTTGAAAAATCTTGTGGACACTACTTTAGTGACTGAAGTTATTATGCAAGTTATTAAACCAAGAAACCTATTAATTTTTAATAACACATTCTTTAATTAATTTAAACATGAGAAAAAGTCTAGTGATTTTGAACAATTTCCGTTAATTATTTTCAAATCTTGAAAAGTCTTGTGGTCACTACATTAGGGACTGAAATTATTATGCAGTATTTATGTTCATGAAACCAAGAAACCTATCGATTTTCAATAATACATTCTTTATTTAATTTAAACATGAGGCACATAGAGTCTTTCTGAAAGTTAATTTGAACATGAGGCACGTAGAATCTTTCTGAAAGTTAATTTGAGTAGCCGTCACCATTATCAATCGTATATGGTAAACGGTCGACCTTAATACTTAAAGCATGTTATGTATATTTTATTTTTAAAGGAAATGTATTCACATATCTAAGAAAGATAAAACAATTTGAAATGGATAGTCCAAAAAAGAAAAATACCAAGGAGGAAACAGTGAATAACAATAATGAACTTATAGACGATAAAGAAGCTTTTGTGGAAAGATTTGAGATGCTGTACAACAATAAATATCTAAGTGATGTAACCCTTTGTGTTAATGGAGATCGTTATTATGCACACAAGTTTATTTTAATAACTGTCAGTGAAGTTTTTGAGTAAGTAAATAAAATATCAAATGTGCGAAGAAATGCAAGCAGTTTTAGAGGCGTGGATTCCTATATGGGCACAATTTCCCGCATAGCACACTGTATGGCGTATGCCTGTCTTCATTAGGCCAGTTCGGGGCAGAATAGTAGGAAGTTAAACCCCATTTCATTTCATTTCACCTCAACATTGACTGCATCTGTGGAAGTAAAATTTCGATCCTAGACAGATATCATCCCACAAAACAAAATATATGTATGTAGAATACCTGTCACGCTATGAGCACATGAAATAGTGGAATGACTAGACATCTTATGCCCCACCTGAGTCATGGCAATAACTCTCATTATTGTAGGATCTTTTCTTTTACTAGTTCTTGATGGTGCCACAACCATTCATGTGACTTAGGCGGTTTGGGGTGTTTCTGTTAATGTGTTTCCCAATCTCTAAATGCAACTTACAATCACAATTCACGTGAGTCAGGCAGTTTGGGATGATCTTGGGAATAGTAAGGGTTAAAATCATGTCTAAAGCTAGTTTCATACATTACCAGAACACAATCACTGGTTTTATTCTAAAAGCACAACATTTCGACAAGTATCCTCTAATAGTAATTGTTTCTGTTAAAGGGACAATAACACTCTTGCTAGCTTGACAGCTCCAGAAAATAAATAATAGCCTTATTCTAAGTATTAGATGTTTAAGTGTCCTACCTGTTGTGTAAATTATCCATTACATCCGATTTTACTTGTCCAGAGGGTTCGAAAATATTTTAAAATCCAAGTCACATTTGAAAAGGTTTACGTTAGGCTTTTCAACTCATTTAGTTGAATTTTTCCAATTTTTAAAATTAGGTGTGTTAAGATGAAATTTGTATGATCAATTAATTGGAATATTGTAAAATAGTACAATTTGTTGACCAGAATAAAGATTGGGACATATTATTCAGTTACAACTAGAGTGGTATTGAGCCTTTAATGTGTTTCCCAATCGCTAAATACAACTTACAGTCACAATTTTGGGAGTATTATTGAATTATGAAATGATAAACACATTAAATAATGTAGTTATTGACAGATATAAAATTCACCTTTTTCAGAGCTATGCTGCAAAATGCATGGCAAGAATCATGTCAAAATGAAGTTAATCTGTCGGAAGAAGATGCATGTAGAGATGTTTTTGGTTTGTTTTTGAAGTAAGTACCAGTACATGTTTTAAATGTGGACACTTACTATTGCATAGATAGCAATGCTTTCATTAAAGTTTCTATTGAGGTTTTATATCTTCTCGGAGGGGGGGGGGAAGGGCGTGAATGGTTAGTGTGTGCCCGTGCGTTGTATCATAAAGTCTGTCATTGAGTCAACTGGTGTGGTTTTACGTGACAAAGAGTAGGGTCGTCTGTCTAACCTTGTGGGTTTTCTCCGGTTTCCTCTCTCTTACGCGCAAGCGAATTATTGAAACAAAATATTGAGCCATATGTTTGCCCGGTAATGGGCTAGTCACAACCTAGTTTATGGTGTTGAACCCTCTCTCTCTCTTTCTCTCTCTCTCTCTCTCTCGTACATCTTCTCCCAGAATATATTTCTTATTGAGCCATGTTATTGGGGTATTTATTTTGTCTATGTTTTGTTGTGCAGTTCTCAAACATTATTGACCATTATGGCAGGTACTATGACTCTTTCGTTTGCGATGCCAGATTTGAGTAAATTTTAATTTTCATATGAAAGTTTAGGAGTATGTAAAAGATCCTTTGGCAGTTGGAATTCCATAAACATTGGCCTTTTGAGTTTTATTTTTGGCTCAAACTCCTTCTCTAATGTATTGCTGTCACACATAAATTTAGAAAATAAATATATCCCCATGTTAGTCAGTCTCTCCACCAGCTATGTGGTTTTTACTCTGAGAACTTCAATTTTCCACATTAAACAGCAGATTCTTTTACCCACAGGAATTTTATACGCCCACATTTTCGTGTGGACGTATTATGCCATTGCCCCTGTCCGTCCATCCGTCTGTAATTTATTTGTGGACACTCTACAGGTCACAATTTTTATCCAATTTTGACGAAACTTGAAATATAGGTCTAGCTCCCAACGATCTCAGTTCCTTTCGATATTGGCATGTATCGGACCATAACTTCATGGATTATGGTCCATGAATGTACAAAAAATCACATTTTTAGCTTGTGGACACTAGAGGTCACAATTTTGATCCGATTTTGATGAAACTTGAAATGCATGTTTATATCCCAAAGATCTTGGTTCATTTCAATATTCGTGCATATCGGATTGCAACTTTTACATAAGATATATAAGAACTTTTTATTTTTTAGTCGTCAAGAAATGAGACTCTGTTCCTTTCTTTCAAAATATTTTATAGGTTTTAAAACTATATTTTTTTGGGACTTGGTATTTTTCAGATATTTATATTGTGGATCAGTGAATTTAAATACAGATACAACTTTACCTGTCTTACTGTTAGCAGATAAATATAGCGTAAAAACATTACAGAAGTCGTGTGTTGATTACATGTTGACACATATAGTAGCTTCACCAGACACAAATCGTACACTTACATGGTATCAGTACGCTAAAATGACTGGACAAAATGAACTCGTAGAAAAAAGTCAAAAATTCATTCTGTCTAACTTCAATGTTATATTAGACACGCAAGATTGGACTTCATTAACCAAGGCAGAAATCATAGAATTACTCAACAGTTCGGATATGATAGTAAAAAGTGAAATGGATTTATGGTTACATGTAGAAAGCTGGCTGGTAACGGACAGCAATAAAGAAACATTGGCTGCTAATCTGAAAGAAATATTACCCCTTGTCCGTTTTCATATGATATTACCTAAAAACTTATTATTAATTGAAACGTCGGATTTATGTCATGATTATCCAGAGCTCTTCAAAGAACGGTTGAATTCTGCTTACCGACATCATTCGTTATCTGTAGATTGTGAAGAGATGATAAAAAGTAACGAGTCGTATAGAAATTACTACGGAGACGAATACAAAATTTGCTACCCTTTTAAATTGAAAGATTATAAAAGTACCCAAAGAATTGACAGTAAAATATCAGTTAAATGTCGGGTACCTTTAAGATTTATCTCCCCTAGCCACCAGATGTCCGACAACCAATCTATCCCTTTTCAGGTATATTTTTATCCCCAAGGTTTCTTTTCGGTGATTACCTTATATGGTAGTTACATTGGCAGACGTACTGATAAAACATCTCTGCGTGTTTTACATCGTTCACCAATAGAAGTGCCAACGAAAGTCCATGTGACCTTGGTTCTCTACAGTCAGAAGAATTTGTTTAAATATATTTCATTCACTCATACATCAGAACATCTTCTTACAAAAGAACGCAATTTTGAAAGTAAAATAGAAAATGTTATTGATGTGGATCATTTTTCTGAAAATTCTCCCTATTTAATCGATGGAGACTTAGAAGGTAAAATATTTATTAAAATAGAAGATGTTGGAGATCATTTAGTAAAACCAGATGAGAAATAATTAACACTTAAAATACAGATGTGACGTCACTTAGTAAAATCAGTTGAGAAATAGTTAACACTTAAAATACAGATGTGACGTCACTTAGTAAAATCAGTTGAGAAATAGTTAACACTTAAAATACAGATGTGACGTCACTTAGTAAAATCAGTTGAGAAATAGTTAACACTTAAAATAAAGATGTGACGTCATTTAGAAATTTCTGATCAATTTAATACAATTTCTCTTGAATTAAACTGATTAATACAGGCTCTTTTTTCAAGTCTCTAATTTCAGTGTCTCTAAAAGTAACCAATAATTAATATGTAATTTAATATATAATATTTAAAATAACTGTGTATTCCTTAGAAATGCATCCTAAGAATCTCCAGTTCAATTACAGACAGTAAATGCCATTGAAACAATAATATATAAGATTACCTCAAAACAGGAAATATAGAGCTATTATAAGAAAGCATAATATAATGGACAGTTTTCGGCCATTATCCATCCCTTAAAATATAGATGTGACATCATCCTTTGATGTTGGCGTACTAATATGTGCCAATCGTGCAGTATTTATACTGGATGCGAGTATCAATATATTACTTAATGGCTAGCTCTTGATCATTGAAGATCCAAACTTTATAGAAATCTTAACTATACATATACCATATTTATCAAGTATGTATTCATCACCCATAATATAGTAAAAGTTGTTCTTAATCATCTGTTTATGGCTTTTTCATCAAAGGATACATTAGTGAATTTAGGATGATTTGGTCCTATCAGATGATAAATGTTCTGTTTACCAGTTTGTTGCTATGTATATATAAATGATAGATTTAGATATTGATACCTATATTTTTATTATCTAGGAACATGTGTCAAATTGCATTTATCAAAATTGACTTACAAAGTCTCTTGCTTTTGTACAGAAATACTTGGCACATTTTAATGTGGTGACACCGTGCACTACACAATTAAATGTTTTGTATTTTATTCATATTATTTAAAATTTAGTCATTGATACCTTAATGATGTTATTATTTATTTACATTATAAGTGGGACCAGAATCCTATAATACATAACATCTATGATGATATATTTTGTGATCCCCTTTTATGTGGGAGTATATTGTCATCACCCTTTTATGCCCCCCTTCATCTGTCTGTCTATGCAATACATGTACATTTCAGAGAGTTTTTGAGATACTTTTTTTCAAACTTGATGGAAAACCTGAAATGCAGAACTACTCATCAATTATTGCCCGTCACTGAAACATTGTAAATGCCCAATGATTTTGAGATTTTGTTTGGCAAGCTTGTAATTTTATTGATTAACTTGTTGTGATTGTTTAGCTGGTTTTAAGAAGGAACTGTTTATGAAAAACATCTTTGATCCAGAATCTTAAAACTTTGCACATAGTTTCTTATTGATGTATTTAATACATTAAAACAACAAAAGTTTAATTATTAAAATTTTGAGTAAATTCTTAACTTAAGTTTAAGAATGTTTTGTGAAATCGGGGCTAGGACCTTTTTTTTTTAAAACTGAGTCACAGAACCAGTATATATTACTTAAATAATTAAAGATACATTATGGGAGATTAGATAAAGAGCTGGTAGTTAGTTCACACTAGAATAGTTAAAAACTAGATAATGTAAATGGAATTTGTTGAAAGTTTCAGTCAAATTGATCCACTATGAACCAAGATTTTAGCAATTGAATTTTCAGCCTAGCCTTGCCCTGCATTGGCCGAGAAAGTTCATCCAGATTTTCCGGCGTGGTTCTCCCTTGTCAGTGATGCAGGACGGAGGGGCTGACAAGGAAAGCTGTCTAGTCGTTCGGATGGGACGAAAAACCGAGGTCCCGTGTACACATTGGCGTGCACGTAAAAGATCCCTTGGCAGTTGGAATTCGATATAAGAGTAGGCCGTAGTGCCGCTGTCCGGGCAAAATTTCCCTCATAGCACACTGTATGGCGTATGCCTGTCTTCATTAGCCCAGGTTAGGAGCAGAACAGTAGGACGTTAAACCCCATTTCATTTCATTTCAGCCTAGCCTTGATCATCGAGAGTTGATTATGGCCTCGATAAGATATTTAATGTCTGATTAATAGTATATATAACATTTCAGGCCTAAAGAAAGGCCTTCAATAGGCAGATATAGCTCTTGCATAATGTATGTTTAATATATCATATGGATTATAATCCTCTCTCCTCTTTAGTATATATTATTGTCTTAGGTGTCATATTCACTTGTTTATTACTTATATGTTATGTATGTGGGAATTTTTAGCAATTAATATAATGTATGGCTTTTATTTATATAATTTATTTATATCATGTGTACAGAAATGAATTTAATATTTATTTATTTATTGACCGCTTTGTCTTTCTATTGTAAATTGCATTTAATAAATCGATGGAAATCAGACCCAGTTTCTTCCATAGGATAAATAATTCTAGAAAAATGGTTGTCATAAACATTATGAATCTTGATGGATATTTTTTTTAACATTTATTTTTTACACACCCACATTTGAATTTTTGTTGTATGTTGTCATCACCTACGTCCTTCCATCTTTCGTCTAAACTTATCCGATTGACTTGAAATTTTTACACAGTGTTTATGTTCATGAGATGAAAAGGCCTATTGATCAACTTAAAAAATCTTGGTGACGCTCTAGAGGCTAAAGTTTGTACCTGATTGAATTGGAATTTATAAACAGGACTTAGGGTTGTGACAGGAAAAATCCTATTGATTTTCAATAACTCAAACAGCTAATGTTATCGTCTGATTACTAGTGGGTACATAATAAATGTAAGCCCTTTGAAGAACAGGAAGCCAATCAAATTTTAATTACGTCTGATAATTACTGAATAGGTTTTTTAATTTTGGTCAGTTTTTAGTGTATAAATGCTCCTATTATCTTGAAACATATAATTGTGCAACAACTTTTTGAGTATGTACGACTTTGCTGCTGTGGGTGTTTGTTTCGTTGCCTAGCAACCTATCTTTTGAAAATTTATATATTTTAATGAATGATGAAGGTGCTGTTAATGTTATTGTATATTATATTCCATTCATAATATAAACTGAAGTTATCTATGTTACTACCTGGTCATGGTTATCTAGATCCGATATTATATTATACAATGCTTACTAAAATAAAAGATATAAATATATTATATTATACAATGCTTACTAAAATAAAGGAAATTAATACAAACATGTAATATTTCTTGTATGATTAAGGAGAATGCTAGATCCGCGACGGTCCTGCACATTTTAGAACATATGATGTCATATGTAGACAGTGGGTATGGGTAAGGGTTAGGACCTGCAGATTTTGTCGAAGTCTGGAGATGTAAACAGGGCTAGTGCTAACCCTAACCCTAGACCAAGACTTACCCTTACCCTATCGCAAACGCACAATCCACATATGTCATGTGCAGGACCTTCACCTATCTAGCGTTCTCCTATGATTAAAGATTCCTAGTGAATTTTCACAATTTCTGTTTATTCGTTCTAGAGTTATTGTCCTTTGTCACATTGTAGAAACATGTGCATGCTCTTGGAACAAAAGTTATCATCCAATCTGCTTGAAGCCAGGTGGTCTATTTTGTTTTTAACTATTTCTTCTAGAGTTAAGGGCCTTGCTGACTCTGAAAAACTGAATTACTGCCCTTGATTATGTCATAGAATCTTGTCAAAATGCCATTAATATACAGTATAAAGATTTTACTTTTTATTTACCAAAATGTGACAGTCTTTATCAACTTCTCGAATGAATTAGCCGTTGTGGCAACTTGGTTGTTGTGGTGTATGGTTTATTGTTGTTGCCTGGCAACCTATTAAGTTGTAAATATTGTGTAAAAGTAAGATGTTCCAGCTATAAAACATCACTGTTGATGGAAATTTAGTTATCTATTTTGGAAAGAAGTTTGTTTCATCCCTTTCTCTTCATTTATTACAAGTAATACCATGCTTTAAAATACAGATGTGATGTTGGGAGACTGGGAATATAGTTTTAACTGGGGTACTTTCACCGCCAGCAAAACCTGGAATATAGTTTTTATCGGTCAGCTTAACCACATATATAAAGAAAGCTACTGGACCATTAAGGGAAAGAGAAATGGGGTTTAGCATCCACTCAACACAAACTAGGTCATTTTGGGACTAACATATGGTTCAATTTTATTTCAATAAATCTCTTGGTTATTGGGGTTACTAGCAGTGGGAGGAAACTGGAGGACCCTGAGAAAAACCACGAGGTTGGACAGGCGACCCTACTCCTTGACTCAATGACAGACCTTATGATACAACGCACGCACGCTAACCTTTCGGCCATCCAACGCCCCCTTATGGGTGTCTGAAGAAGAGGGTAAATGTTTAATGGTCTTTCAAAACATTCTCAGCACTTTTCTAGGTTCTTAAGAACAATGTCTTTGAAGCATTTAAGAAAAAAAACATTGAGTTTAATAGAAAATCAGACACCAAAATCCATTAACAAAATAAAATAGCATTTCCACTTCTCGCAACATAATGATTTACTGTTTACACAATCTCAAAGGTTTATAGCACACAGAGTATTTATTGCACAGTTAACTTATTACACATCAAATTTCTCTTCACATATTGTTTGACCATGTTCTTCATATTGTTGTCTTGTGACCACCATCTTTTTCTGGAAATTTGGATCTTTAGATAAAAGACATCCGCCTTCCCAAGCATAAGTTGAAGGGCTGAAAAAAAATATCGCAAGGATTAATATTAATAAGTTTGACCAGCCTCTTATCTGCCAGTGTCTATGTTTAAATTAATAACGAGAGAGAGAGATGGGGTTTAATCGCCACTCGACACAAACTAGATCATTTTAGGACTAACATATATTTCAATAATTCACTTGCACGTACGACCGGGGAATCGAAACCACGCCAGTTGACTCAACGACAGACCTTATGATACAGCACGCACATGCTAATCATTCGGCCATCCAACCCCCAAAATTAATAATAATATAACCTTTAACACGTATATGTACTTTAAAACACAAATTACAACAGCAGCATTTCATTGAATGGGCGTCCTTGCTAGAGATAAAGGGACATAATTTATAGGCGAGGCCGTCCCACGTGACAACGTGACCTCATCGTTTACCTTATAGCACAGTTTTCCTGTACATTCATTACGAACTCGTGTGTTGACAAACGTTAGTTTTTGTCGTTAATATGGAATTTAATACCATCGATCAGGTCACATGGAACTGAGTTTTTACAAGCGACACCAGGTAGAAATTCCTTCAGCGAGGACGCCCAGTGGATTTAACTTTTATCTCTAGAACAAACATACATACCTATCAGGAACTGTAACATTTACATCAATATCAGCATCAGTTAAACTACGAATATCTTTATATCTACAAATATACATATACACCAGAGGGATCTTAATCGTTCGATTACAGTCAGCTTAAATGAGCTAAAACGCTAATATTTTGGACCTAGAAATTGGCACAAATGGGTCGCAACACATATAATAATGTAATATGAATTTATATAAACTGTTACACATTCAATCGTGTCCGTTTTACTGGGAATTGTCATCAGTTATGTTCGGCGAAATATGCCAGAAGTCTCAACCGCAAGCAAGTTTCTAGCGTCTGGTTATTCCAGTCAACACCGATATTATTTATTGCGCATGCTCTCCAAATAAGAACATGAATATCACCGTTTTGACATGACTTGTGGAATATGTCTAACTTCATTCTTTGAGCACCTTGTTACAAATGGCGCTGAAACGCATTATGGTACACGATTCATGTACCAATGGTAAAATGTTCATTTTGTCTTAAATATTGGATATCAGAAGCCCATTTTTTCCAGGTAAGATCACAACACCATTGCTGATTTAAATTGCAAAAAAAATCGTGTTTTTAATGTCGAAGATTTTGGATGATATTGAGTTACGGACTTAGCTACTTTAAGCTTCTTCAAGTTTGAAAAAGTTGAACTGGTCACTATGACATCATAATTACAACAGGTTAATTATTACTTGTTGATTGAGAGAGAGAGAGAGAGAGAGAGAGAAATGGGGTTTAACATCCACTCGACACAAACTAGGTCATTTCGGGGCTAACACATGGTTCAATTTTATTTCTATAATTCGCGTATGGATCTTTAGCAGAGAAAACCCATGAGGTTGGACAGGCGTGTTGATTAAGAAGTCAATCAACTAGCTTGTCAGCTACAATAACAATCATACAGACCCCGGGACTGTACAGCGCAGTGGACGCTTAGAGCTAGCCCCCGGATCCATTCACTTAATTTGATATGTACGTTTGTTTGTGATTTCTGCGTAATGTGCCTTGTCCGTAGATTTGTTTTGTGTAATTAAGTGTGGTGCAGTCCCCCTGCACTTACTATTAGTGAGATCGGCCATGTTGTTCATAATCTGATGAATTAGCATGTACAAATATATATATCTAATCCTTCTAAAATATACATGGACGAATATAGACTAGGATGGAAAATGCACAAAAAAGAGCTCAATTTTATTGATAACTGAATAGCTATAATAATAATAATACTTACAATCTGTCTTTAAAACCTGGTAAATGACAGTTTCCACCTGTTGCAATAATATTCCCTAATAAATGAGGTCTCATCTCTGAAATATTAAATAATTATATATAATACAAATCAACAACTAGGTGGAGGTTGTGGTCTAAGGGGAGATAATATTGTGTTAGGGACTTTAATGCAGAGTTACCTCCCCATTAAAACACTAGACAGCCATTGGGAGAAAAATACAACCATGATAATACAGTTATATAACTAAAATATAAGATACATGAAATCTTTATGAAATAGGGTGCAATGTCCTACTGTTCTGCTCTGACTGGGCTAATGAAGACATGTATATGCCATACAGTGTGCTTTGAGGGAAATTTTGCCTGGGCAGCAGCACTATGACCTACTCTTATATTGAATTCCAACTGTCAAGGGATCTTTTACGTGCACGCCAATGTGTACACGGGACCTCGGTTTTTCATACCATCCAAACGACTAGACAACTGTCCTTGTCAGGCCCTCCATCCTGCTTCACTGACAAGGGTTAACAATGCTGGAAAATTTGGATGAACTTTCTCGGCCAATGTAGGGATCGAACACCCGACCCCCAGCGAGCCAGCGTCTTACCCATTTAGCCATGGTGAGTCTAAACCAAAATATAAGATATTAATACCTTCATCTAATGATTGAAGTGAATGTAAAACAGCTTCACATATTCCCATTTCATTTATACCCACATCTGATGGTTGGAATAATATCTCAGGTACAGCAAATCTTTCATTATTCATACGAATAATCTACAATTAAATCATTAATTCTATACTGGCATTAAAGCAAATTTATCTTTAAATATAAACAAAATTCTGAATAGTAAGTGAGGAAATCAGATCATACCCTCTATCTCCATCATCACCTTTAATACACCTTTAGAATAGGCTAAATCTATTTGTTGAGGCCAGCTCAATTTTTGTCAAGGTCGTTGAGATGTAAATAAGGTTAGGGCATGTGATTGTTGCTTGATTGTAGGTTAGGGTAAGCATTGGGGCTAGGTCCAGAGTTAGGTTTAGGGTTGGGGTTGGGATTAGTGCTAGCCCTGTTTACAACTTGTGACCTATGACAAAAAAATGAGCTGGCCTTATCAATTAGCACCTACCCCTTAGAAAAGGGTTGATGGGAACTATCGTTCCAAATCCCTATTTCACACACCGATTTTGTTTGATTAGTGTTGGGATTAGCGCTAGCCCTGTTTACATCTCATGACCTATGACAAAAAATTGAGCTGGCCTTATCAATTAGCATCAACCCCTTAGAAAAGGGTTGGTGGGAACTATCTTTCCAAATCCCTATTTCACACACCGATTTTGTTTGATCTGTATGTGCCTAAAATATTGGTCTGGATTGGCAAAAGGTCGACCGCTAATATGTCCAATCGGACATCAAGATATTGCGAAGCAGACTCAAAATTTTAAATCATTCAAGGAGATTACTGAAAAACAAATAATACCTGAAATTTGGGCAACTAAGCATGGAATTTAACTTAAAATCATTCAAGGAGATTATTGAAAAGCAAATAATACCTGTTCACTGCCCTGAGATTTTCCTGTTGTTTCTTCGATTGGCCTTATATAACCTCTTTTAATGTGGGTATAATCAGGTAAAACATAATCACGTGCTATTGTATTTTCTTTACCTCTTTTTCTACAATATAAAACATGAAATATAAAAAAAAACTGATCATTACCAGGTATATTCTTTAAACATGCATTATATAAGAGCTAATTCTGTCTATTGCAGGTATTTATTCTGACTTCAATTGTTGTATAAACTATTACTTAAAGATACATTATGGGAGATCCGATAAAGAGCTGAAAGTTCTCACTATAATAGTTAAAAACTAGATAATGTAAAGGGAATTTGCTGAAAATTTCAGTCAAATTGATCCACTCTGAACCGAGAATTTAGTGATTGAATTTTGGGCCTAGCCTCGATCATCATAAAAAACATAGTCTCGATTATCCATTTTTTGATTTAATCATAAATGAGCATTGAGCAGCAGATCGGATTATAATCCAATAAATATTGCAGGCTAACAATGCCATCAAGAGTTGATTATGGTCTGGATAGGTTAATTAATGCCTATTTAATAATTTAGATAACATTTCAGGCCTAAAGAAAGACCTGCAATAGGCACCCTTAGCTCTTGCATAATGTATGTTTAAACATATTCACATTCATAATGGATAATTGAGTCTTAAGTCTTGTTTGTCTAGTACCATTGTTACACATAATAAACAATCAACACTACATCCTAAAACACTCATAACTTCGCTCAGAATATAAAGTAATTTGAAAGAAATTTTCAATATATTCATTTTTCATTATCTATTTTCCAACTATTAAACAAAGAACAGCAAGCTCTTTATCTAATTTTTAACTAATGTATCTTTAATGAAAGTCTGGCTAGATATTCATAACTCCCAGTGGAATTAATTAACTGATTGTTAGAACCAATTATAAACCATCAGATTACATTTGCATAACTCCCAGTGGAAGTAATTAACCATTTAAACTTGATATTAATGAGTATGTTAGTCAATCAATGCAATGTAATCACTCTTTTACAAACAACATCAATATTCTGTGGTTTATTACTGACAAGAGAGAGAGAGAGAGAGAGAGAGAGAGAGCATTTCAAGACTAACATACGGTTCAACTTTATTCAGGACTAACATACCGTTCAACTTTATTCAGGACTAACATACAGTTCAACTTTATTTAAATAAATCGGCTACATATAGGGATATTTAACAGTGAGAGGAAAGTAGAGAACCCTGAAAAAAAACCCATAAGGTTGGACAGACGACCCTACTCCTCGTCACATACAACTGGGGAATCAAAACCACATCACTAGATTTAATGACGCACACATGTTAAACCATACTGCCAGCCAAACCCCCTAAAGTAATTATTGTTACACTAACTTAGCTATTTTCATGTCTTCCATAAAATCTGTGGAAACATAAGAAACATCTTCTTTAACTTGATTCACTACATAAGTCTCATCCATAACCATCAGCTGTCTAAAAAAAACATATTATGCTGGAATAAACGTTAGAGTTAGACCATACACAAGCTACATGTACTTTACTAAATATAGCTTTGCCTGGCAACAAAAACATATGCACCAACTGCATTGTGACAGGTGGTTGTTAACTTTTAGCTTCAGGGGCAATAACTATGCATAAAATTGATGGACAGCTCTGAATTTCAGTAAGGTTTCTCCTTAGGACTGATCTAGCAATGGCAGCAAAATTGAAAAAATAATCTCAAAAACTCTGACCTGTCAAGTGTTTACAAGGTTTCGATGATAGGGGCAGTAACTCTGTGAAATATCACCATGCGATATTTCATTGGCTAAGCTAAGCCATCAATCAAATAACTATACTACATCTTTAAATACATGTAAAGCCAAAACAAACAGAGCATGAACTATTTAAAGGGGTCATTTTGATATTATAAATATGACAACTTAATATCATAAGAGAATATATCCAAAGTACAGGGCCCTTATTCACAAAAACTTAAACTAAGTTACAACCGAAATTTTAAGAAATACTGCAACTTCATTGGATATATGCAAATTGATTTTACTGGTCAGCCAATCGAATTGCAGTATTTCTTAAAATTTCGATTGTATCTTAGTTTAAGTTTTCGTGAATAAGGGCCCAGATTTCTAGTTTAAAATATTTCAATAACAATACAACTCTTGAAGTGATACCTATATATATGTCATATCTTCTGTACAGTTTGTCTATGTGAAATCTACAAAATTTTACATGGCTAGAATTGGTTGAATTACATAATGTTATTTTTCTGTCAGTGATTATTTCTAAAATCCTGCTAATGTTTTCTGAATATGTATTAGCAGTTTAAAATTTGGCAATGCAGACATGTTGTTCTTCTTCTTAGTGTTCAATGTCCGCTTTCACCGAAGGTGATATCGCAGACAAGTTGTCTTAGTTTCAATTCATTAAAATTATCTCAGCTCATGTGCAAGGGTCTTTCCTGTGGGAGGAAACCGGAGTACCCGAAGTAAACTCACAAGGTTGAGAAGGCGCCCCTATCTCCAAGTTACATACGCTCACACCACAACCGCAAGCCAGAGGTAACCGGTCAGCTAGAGGTCGAAGCACGGCACTCTAGACCACTAGGCCATCCCAACCCTCAAATGCAAACATGCTGTCATGTACAAATTTTATACTGTTGTACACTGGTGACCTGATGAACAGAGCTAACTTTTGTGTCCATTTAACCCCCGTCCTAGACGATTTCAATAAAAATAAAAGTAATGTACTTTATTAAATTGAGAATTTTGTGAAAATCTTCTATTTATAATTACAGAATATAGTACAGTAGTATCATTATTACTAAATTCTAAGTTCTTTGTTATGAAACTCAACATTCAGAAATCTTTTCTTACTTAAAGTTGGCATTAATCCAAACTATTCATTAATCCCCTTGGATTAGTCTTGCTTTAGTTACACATGAAGGAGGAATTATGTGACAACAAAGTGTGGATATTATTATGTCTAATATGTTATTAGAGTGATTGAGTTCCCAATATATTACATGTTATATTCTTAAAACAGTTTTATTTTTTATCAAGAATTATCAAATATTTTATGTGGTGATATGCCTACAGTTTAATAAATTAATGACCAGGGATCAATGTTTAGTTTTTCTACAAATCAAAGAGACTAAACCATAAAAATAAAAAAGAATCTTTTGGATTAGGTTTGACGGTTTGAAGAAAACCTGATAACCTTGAAAGAAAAACAGCTTCAGACTTTGCAATATTTGTATGAAAAAAAAACATTCTTCAAAGGCGTCGTCACGGGCAAGGCCGTTGGTAATCCAGGAATTTGAAAGTAGTTCCAATGGCGGACTTCGTCATACAGTCAAGGCTAGATGTAGGGTACTGGAATCTGCCGAGGTTTGGGAGTAGAAATCTCGCGAGACGCGTCAAACTATGAAATGAATACGTGACAAATTCCACACATCTAATGTCCAAGAAAAGATTCTATTTTGATGGCATATTCTCAGATTTATGATCATATTTTGAATGGGGTTTATGTTTTTAAATAAAGAAATAAGTACACTAGGCAATGTTGACAAATATGTCAATTGGAATAGTGTAAGTACTTAATTGTTTTAGACGATAGCGAGTCGAATGCGATTATTTAGCAGAAATCCCATCACTGGTTTGACCAATTATTCAAATGTTGAAATATAGTCACATGTTTGATGTGGGTCATTCCATGTCATATTACCAAATGGAGTAAACCGTACCCTCATTAATTTTGCTGAACTTAACGATAAATGCATGCAGTTTAAAGTGCAAAGACACTCATATTTACATGCTTGACTTTAATTTACAAATCATACAGATTAAAAAATAAAATACCTCCATTGGTTTGACACTTTGCAGAAAATATTTAAGATCAAGTAGAACCACAAGGTCCAGAGAGAGAGAGAGAGAGAGTTTTTTTAAAATCCACTGACACAAACTAGGTCATTTCAGGACTAACATATGGTTCAATTTTATTTCAATAATTCGACTGCGCATAGAGGGCTTTAGCAGTGGGACAGACCCAGAAAAAAAACACGAAGTTGGGCAGGTGACTCTAATCCTTGTGAAGTACAACTGGAGAATCAAAACCACCTTGTGATAAAACGGTCATCCACCACAAGGTCAAATTCAAGGTCAAAAGGTAATCACTCTTCTGAACACCCCCATGTCAAAAATAATGAATTACCGTTCAAGATATATCCATATCAGAAATTTTTACCAATCGGTTAATAAGCTATATATGTAAAATTAGAATTTGGGCCAAAATTGAATGCATCATATCTCAGGAATTGTTAGATCTAATGTATCAAATTAAAAGTTGGAATATCAACAGCAAAAATAAGCATATAAACCAAATTTCTGTAAAATTGGAATGGGGCATGGTTTACTTTTTCCATTTTTGGGGTGATTGGGAGGGAGAGAGAAATGGGGTTTAACGTCCACTCGACACAAACTAGGTTTTTTCGGGACCAACCCATTTTATTTCAATAATTCGCTTGCGCATTGGACCCAGAGAAAACCCACGAGGTTGGATTGGGTGATGGACAAAGTATGAATTATTGCTGAACATCTGAGACAATTTATTCATTTTCCAATGAGAAAATTAAACATGTCACTTTTAAAATCTTGATTTTGAATGAAAGTCATTGAAAGCAATCTGATTAAAATACAGATCTATATTTCGTTTCGTTTTTTTATACTTTCGAAGGAAATGAAATGAAATGAAATGAAATGGGGTTTAACGTCCTACTGTTCTGCTCCTAACCCGGGCTAATGAAGACGGGCATACGCCATACAGTGTGCTATGAGGGAAATTTTGCCCGGGCAGCGGCACTATCGCCTACTCTTATATCGAATTCCAACTGTCAAGGGATCTTTTACGTGCATTCCAATGTATACACGGGACCTCGGTTTTTCCGTCTCATCCGAAGGACTAGACAGCTGTCCTTGTCAGGCCCTCCGTCCTGCATCACTGACAAGGGGGAACCACGCCGGAAAATCTGGATAAACTTTCTCGGCCAATGCAGGGATCGAACACCCGCCCTCCTGGCTAGCGAGCCAGCGCCTTACCCACTTAGCCACGTGGTCCCCTACTTTCGAAGGCCTACACTACATGAAGATCTGACCAGAAGTAGTGGGAGGTTGCATCAGGGGTTGTACGAGCTTCTTTTGACCGTATGACGTCCGACATTGATTAATCAATCAGCGTTGATGTTTCGAGTGGTTTACCCACAGTTCCGTGCATCGCACGCCAAGAACTTGTCGTAACAGATCGTTTCATTGGCTAATCCCTCCCTTCAACCAGAACGCCGGTAATATAACAACTCTTCCAAATCCTAGTGTAGTGAAGACAAGTAAAACGAAATTATGAACTATAACAAGAGCATCGCTAACGCAGCAATATACGTCCACATTCCTGTTTTGTTTGATATGGTCCAGTTTGCATTGAGGGTCTGTGAAATAAAACTGGGTTGTAGGACTGCTATCAGTTTAACACTTCGTTCACATTAACAGAACACAATTTTTATTTTAAAACAATCGATGTCTTTATTCCAAAAAAATGACGTTTCGAATAGGTATGCAAAGTTTCAAAAGAATCTGTTAAGAATTGCGGTCTGTAGGCAAAACACAAGACACACAAACATTAGGTGTGGCTCTGTCCCAAGGGGTCGAGCATGCACCAAAAATAATAATAGAGGTCGGCCTTAGGATTAAGGAATAAGTATAAAAAGTAGCCTTAGGCTATAAGGAATAAGTATAAAAAAGTTTTCAAGATGATCGATTAAGAAATGCGGTCTGCAAGTGACACACAGACATAAAAAAAGAAAATGGGCGTAGCTCTGCCCCTGGGGGTTGGGTATTCACCACAAATAATAGGGATGTTCCTTAGGATAGAAGGAATATGTATGCTAGGTTTCAAGGTGATACGATAAGAAATGCGATCTGTAAATATAAGGGATGGGCGTGGCTCTGCCCCTGGCGGTCGGGCATGCACCAAAAACAATAGGGATCATCGTTAGGGTATAAGCAATTCATATGAAATTTTTTCAAGACGATTGATTAAGAATTGTGGCCTGTAGGTGACACACAGACATAAAAAGAAAAGGAAATGGGCGTGGCTCTGCCCCTGGAGGTAAAAAAACAATAGGGATCATCGTTAGGGTATAAGCAATTCATATGAAAAAATTTAAAGACGATTGATTAAGAATTGTGGCCTGTAGGCGACACACAGACATAAAAAAGAAAATGGGCGTGGCTTTGCCCCTGGGGGTTGGGCATGCACCCAAAACGATAGGGATGTTCCTTAGGGTACAAAGAATAAGTATGCAAAGTTTCAAGATGATACGTTAAGAAATGTGGCCTGTAGACGACAAACAAACAAATACAAAAAATGGGGGTGGCTCTGCCCCGGGGAGGCGAGCATGCACTAAAAACAATAGGGATCATCCTTAGGGTATAAGGAATAAGTATGTAAAGTTGATACGTTAAGAAATGCGGTCTGTAGATGACAAACAAATAAATAAATATAAGGAATGGGCGTGGTTCTGCCCCTGGGGGTCGGGCATGCACCAAAAACAATAGGGATCATACTTAGGGTATAAGCAATTCATATGAAAATTTTTCAAGACGATTGAATAAGAATTGTGGCCTATAGGCGACACACAGACATAAAAAGAAAAGAAAAAGTTCGTGGCTCTGCCCCTGGGGTCGGGCATGCACCTCAAACGATAGGGATGTTCATTGGGGTACAAAGAATAAGTATGCATAGTTTCAAGATGATACGTTAAGAAATGCGGTCTGTAGATGACTAACAAATAAATAAATATAAGGAATGGGCGTGGCTCTGCCCCTGGGGGTCGGGCATGCACCAAAAACAATAGGGGTCATACTTAGGGTATAAGGAATAAGTATACCAAGTTTGAAGAAAATCCAGTAAGAATTGCGCCCTGTAGGCGACACAAAGACACACGAAAAGAAAATGGGAAATGGGCGTGGCTCTGCCCCTGGGGGTTGGGCATGTACCCCAAACGATAGGGATGTTCCTTAGGGTACAAAGAATGTGTATGCAAGATTATAAGTTAAGAAATGTGGCCTGTAGACGACAAACAAACAAATACTAGAAATGGGCGTGGCTCTGCCCCTGGGGGTCGGGCATGCACCAAAAACAATAGGGATCTTCCTTGGGGTATAAGGAATAAGTATACCAAGTTTGAAGAAAATCCAGTAAGAATTGCGCCCTGTAGGCGACACAAAGACACACGAAAAGAAAATGGGCGTGGCTCTGCCCCTGGGGGTTGGGCATGCACCCCAAACGATAGGGATGTTCCTTAGGGTACAAAGAATGTGTATGCAAAGTTTCAAGATTATTAGTTAAGAAATGTGGCCTGTAGACGACAAACAAACAAATACTAGAAATGGGCGTGGCTCTGCCCCGGGGGGTCGGGCATGCACCAAAAACAATAGGGATCTTCCTTGGGGTATAAGGAATAAGTATACCAAGTTTGAAGAAAATCCATGAAGAATTGCGCCCTGTAGGCGAACCACAGACACACACACACACACACACACATACATACATACACACACACACACACACACACACAGACAGGGGCGACGGCATAATACGTTCACATTATGAATGTGGACGTATAAAAAATGAAACGAAATAGGATCCTGCGTTTTAATCAGATTATATTGAAAGCAGAGTGGAAGCGAGAGAGAGAGAGAGAGAGAGAGAGAGAGAGAGCTTAACGTCCAGTCCAGTCCACTCGACACAATCTAGGTCATTATGGGACTAACCATCCAGCCATCCAACCCCACCCCCAGAGTGGAAGCAGACATTAAATCCCCAATTAACCATAACAGACTCACCTGTATGATATTATTTCTTTTAAATGATTTGTTAAAATTTTACCACCAACATTAATTCTACAAAATAAAAAGAAATAAAATAATTGTAGATATCACTTGTGTGATAACTTTCATATTTTACAGGAATTTAATTGGTCAATTAAAAAGGGTGGGTTGGGTGATAAATGAAATCTTCTACTCGTCAAAAATGACTTGTAGGAGATTCTCTATTAAACACAATTTAAATCAGAAACAGAATTGTTCTTGCATAAATAGTGTATAAATTAAAAGATAACCAAAAAAAAAAGTAGTGTAAAAACACCATTTAGTGGGGAAAAAATCATTAAGAGCTGATAAAAAATAAACATGTTTTTAAATGTGATTTATTCCTTAGAAACAAACTCACAGGAACCCATCTTGACGGGTGCATAAGATTTAAAAGATCACATAAATAAGTAAGGGCTAAATTATTAAAACATTATAATTGATATAAGCTCTAATGATCAGAAGATCACCTGTGACCCTGGTACTGACAATTCCCCTCTCTTGAGAGCAAGTGTTTGTGACCTCATACCAACAAGCGAATCCATACCGAAGACCATATATTCTACTTGCCAAGTGTTCTATTAATAATAAAGATCGTGAAAGCAAACCTTCTAATAGCTTCTTTTAACTTCTTGCCTTTAAAATATGGTATGATGTGTGAAAATGAGTAACCAGAGTCTATAACTAAATGGCATAAATGTTTTTCTGTACTCTCTTTTTCTGATTTATATTGACTTAGTGTAGATGCTGAAAACAAGATTATGCAAGTAATAAAAACAACACTATATGAAGATCTGAAGTTGTAGAGGGAGGTCGCATCAGGGGTCTATTTTCTAAATTTATGTGTGACAGTAATACATTAGAGAAGGAGTTTGTGCTAGAAAAAATCTGATTAAAATACACATATATATTTTGTTTTGTTTTTTATACTTTCGATGAATGAAGATCTGAACGTTTGTAGTGGAAGGTCGTGTCAGACATTTCATTAACTAATCAGCGCTGATGTTCCTAGTAGGATACACACAGTTCCGTGCATTGCATGCCAAGAACTCGCTGCAACAGACTGTTTAATTGGCTAATCCCTTACATCAGCCAGAACATAGGTTTATATAACAACTCTTCCAGATCCTAGTGTAGTAAAGACTGTTCTGTTCTGACTGGACTAATGAAGATGGGTATGGGGCATACAGGGTGCTGAAAATTAGGGAAATTTGTCTGGACAGAGAACTGCCAAGACATCTTTTACGAGCATGCCAATGTGTACACGAGACCTTGGTTTATTGGAATATTTCAATTTGTGGTAAATGCAATGATTACCATTAGTTCTATGTAAAGCTTTAAACTGATACTCTTCAAAAAATACTTCATTCATTGATTCTTGTACTGATGGGAAATTAAAATGTGGTTCTGTAACTATAGCTGTTGTTTCATTAAAATCTACCTGAAATTTAAACAGGTATTATGTGTTAGGTCTGGTCTAATTCTCTACAAAATAAATACTGTCAAACCAATTAATTGATTGAAAATACTACCGAAGTCGATTTTTTTTGTCCTGGGAGTGGAAGCAGGTATGGAAATCACAATTTTAGTTGTTTCTGGCAAAATGTCTGGCATTACTAAAGTTATAGGTGACATTTATACCTTTGTGCCTGACATGTCATAAATATCAATAAAAGCACAGAAAACATATAAGCCCTTGACAAAATGACAAGACACCAAAGAGATTGCATCTGACGAAGCATGAATTTGTGCTAGACATTGTGACAGATATTTTACCAATTATGATATTCCTGGAAAGGTTTTCTCCATAATTATTGCTATCAATAAATGGAGTCAGCAATATGTGTGACATTTTGTACATACAGGTTTCATTTGTTCACTTAATTTAAGATACATTATGGGAGATTAGATAAAGAGCTGACAGTTCTCACTATAACTATAATTGTTAAAAACTTGATAATGTAAAGGGAATTTGATGAAAATATCAGTTAAATTGCTCCACTCTGAACTGAGAATTTAGCAATTTTATTTTTGACCTAGCCTCGATCATCATTACTAAAGTCGGCACGATAAAAAACATATAGTCTTGATTATCCATTTCATGATTAAATCATGAAAGAAAATTGACTAGCAAATCTGATCCTAATCCACTAAATATCGCAGGCTAGCGATAACATCGAGAGTTGATTATGGTCTTGTCATGTTAATAAATGTCTAATTAATATTTTATATAACATTTCAGGCCTAAAGAAAGACCTGAAATAGACAGATTTAGCTCTTGCATAATATATGTTTAATTATTTTAATAAAAAAACAATCAACAATAAATAATTTCAGCCATGTCAGCCAATACAATTTTCTTCTAAATTGTTTAAATATTTGAGAAGAATATTACCTGACAAACATCTTTACCAAACATATGATCCCATACTTGTCTTTCTATATCCCAATTAACTAAATAACCCTTTAAAATACAAAAAAAAAAAGAATAAAATTCTGTAAGGGTTAGTCTATATAAATTAAAATATTCAGTCGTTGAAATCAAAATAGTCAGTCTATGACCATTAACAAAAGGAAATTGTTCTTACAATAAAAAACACAAATACTCTATCATGCACGTAAAACAATTTAAATTTTAAAATACATTTTGTTTAGCAATTCAGCATCCATACAAACAATATTACCTGAATAATAATATTTAACGAGAGCATCGCTAACGCTGCAATATACGTCCACATTCCAGCTTTGATTGATATGGTACTTTTTAAAATGAAGAGAATGAAATATGAAATGGCTGTAATATGATCAGAGCCAAATTTAAAGACAAAATACTAACAAAAAATGAGGGTGTGACACTGCCCCAGGAGGTCGGGACAAGCATCAAAATAAACAGTTGCCGTCCTTAGGGTATAAGGAATAAGTATACCGAGTTCCAAGATAATCCATTCAGAATTGTGGCCTTCGGAAGCTAAAGGCAAAAATTGGGCGTGGCTCTGTCCCTGAGGGTCGGGGCATTCACCAAAATCAATAGTTGACGCCCTTAGGCTATAAGGCATACATATACCAAGTACCAAGTTGATTCATTCAGAATTCCGGCCTGTAAACGATAAACACAAAAATTGGGCGTGGCTCTGCCCCTGGGGGTCGGGACATGCAGTTGTCGTCCTTAGGCTATAAGGAATACATATCCCAAGTACAAAGACAATCCATTAAGAATCGTGGCCTGTAGGCAACTCACAGAGACAAAGAAAAAATGGTTGTGGCTCTGCCCCTGGAGGTTGGGCAATCACCAAAAAACAACAGGGGGCATCCTTAGGGTATAAGGAATAGGTATGCAAATTTTCAAAAGGATCTGTTAAGAATTGCAGGCAGTTGGCGACTCAAAAGGCGCAGAAACATTGGGCGTGGCTCTGTCCCAGGGGGCCGGGCATGCACCAAAAATAATAGAGGTCAGCCTTGGGGTATAAGGAATAAGTGTAAAAAGGTTTTCAAGACGATCGATTAAGCATTGCAGGCTGTAAGTGACATACAGACACACAAAAAGAAAATGGGCGTGGCTCTATCCCTGGGGGTTGGGCATTTACCACAAACAATGTTCCTTAGGATAGAAGGAATAAGTATGCAAAGTTTCAAGGTGATAGGTTAAGAAATGCAGTCTGTAGACAACAAACAAATAAATACAAGAAATGGGCGTGGCTCTGCCACTGGGGGGTCAGGCATGCACCAAAACAATAGGGATTGTCCTTAGGGTATAAGGAATTCATATGAAATTTTTTCAAGACGATTGATTAAAAAGTGTGGATCGTAGGCGACACACAAAAATACTGCCCCTGGGGATTGGGCATGCACCCCAAACGATAGAGATGTTCCTTAGGGTACAAATAATAAGTATGCAAAGTTTCGAGATGATATGTTAAGAAATGCGGCCAGTAGACGAAAAACAAACAAATACAAGAAATGGACGTGGCTCTACCCCTGGGGATCGGGCATGCACCAAAACAATAGGGATCATCCTAAGGGTATAAGGAATAAGTATGTAAAGATTCAAGTTGATCACTTAAGAATTGTGGCCTGTAGGCGACACACAAAAAGAAAATAGGCGTGGCTCTGCCCCTGGGGGTTGGGCATGCACCCCAAACGATAGGGATGTTCCTTAGGGTACAAAGAATGTGTATGCAAAGTTTCAAGATTATTAGTTAAGAAATGTGGCCTGTAGACGACAAACAAACAAATACTAGAAATGGGCGTGGCTCTGCCCCGGGGGGTCGGGCATGCACCAAAAACAATAGGGATCTTCCTTGGGGTATAAGGAATAAGTATACCAAGTTTGAAGAAAATCCATGAAGAATTGCGCCCTGTAGGCGAACCACAGACACACACACACACACACACACACACACACACACACACATACATACATACACACACACACACACACAGACAGGGGCGACGGCATAATACGTTCACATTATGAATGTGGACGTATAAAAATCAATAACTTAGCTTGATCTTACCTTTTGAAATGGAAGAATGTAATATAATCCTGAGAGATCCTTGCATTCATCAATCTGATCTCCAATAAATATTCTAGTTCGAACATTCTTTGCTTTAGAAATGCAGTTTGGAACAATTCTATAATACAAACAATGCAACAGTGAGACTGATGTCTACAACCTCAATCCCAAATAGATGACATTAATTAATTAACTGCACATTTATCTTTTTATACACCTTAAACCAAGTTTTATCTCCAATCATTTGTAATATAAGTTATTGTGTCCTAGAGCATATCACTTCGGTGGAAGCGGACGTTAAATAAAGATATTTCACACAAAGCATCAGCCCATAACGTTGATCATCTCTGTTTACCCAAAGCAGAAAATACTCATATTAAATTCAATTAAGACATTCAGCCAATAAACACCTAAACCAAGTTTGAACATTCTATATGTACCTTAATTAGAAGACTTACAGCATTCCAAAAAGTGTCATGGACAGACAGAACAAAGGAGAGATAGACGAATGAATCCTTCAAAATTAGTACTGTAGTACTATTGAAAGTCAATCAATTGTTGTTTGTATCTTAATATCCTGTAGTACCTGTCACTTTATGACAAAAATATGAACAAATTGCATAAAAGATTTCAAATAACCACTCCAGTCCTTTTGTTGCCCCATATGCATACATGACATCTCTACTGAATCACAAACAGCAACCAATTTTTTATTTTCATATACCATACATATGCAATACTGGTATCTTAAATTATCAAAGATATAAACATTTAAAGTTAAAAGTGAAAAGATAGAGAAATGGTCCTTTCATGTACTACATGTACATAGAAATATAGTTCACATGAAAGTTTTGTATTAGATCACTGAATGTCAGGGTGTTTAGGTTTGTGTTGAGAATGTTAATCAATGTTCTATGCCTTTAAATGAAATGGGGTTTAACATCCTACTGTTCTGCTCTGCTAATGAAGACAGACATATGGCATACAGTGAGCCATTAGGAAAATTGCCCTACTCTATTATATCAAATTCCAACTGCCAAGGGATCTTTTACGTGCACGTCAATGTGTACACTGTGGGAACCAATGCCAGAAAATCCTAATGAACTTTTTCGGCCAACGCAGGGATCAATCTTGGGACTCCAGGTCAACTAGTTCAGCTCTGAACATAGGTCTCATTACACTCGCCCTGTACGTTCAGGAACTGTCCTATTGAATCATTGGCGAAACTGAAATCGCTTCCCAGTCAATTTTACTGGGCAAATTTCGTTTCATCTTATGTGGCTGAGTTCGTAAATTTGTGAGTTACCCTATATTTAGATTTCAATGAAGTCCGGCAAGTCGGTTAGAAGACAGGGACACTCATACTGACTCTAGCAAGGTAAGCAAGGTCTTATTTTTTCACTAAGATGTTCCTTACAATAGTGGACTGATGACAATTGAAATGTCTGGCAATAGCACGTGTAGACATGCCAGCCCTGGACATTCCCATGGCTCATTCCGTCGATTTTCAGTAAGTCTCGGCATCTCTAGCTCGATTCCTTCATACGTCCAACAAAAAATTACAACAGATTGACGTTTCACAGTTCATGTACTGCACTTTAAGTTGAAAACATGCTTTTAAAGGGCTCACACACAATGCTGCACGTGAATATTGGGTTTTTCATGTGCATCTCATGCAATTTTTATTTTGAACACGGGCCGATATTTTTTGCATTTGGGAGCATTGTGTGAAACAATAGTTCATAGTATTGCATAATATTATACATACAAAACCACCTGGTAATAAAATATTTTGGAAAAAAAAGTGATGCGTTTTCCAAATTCCATACATGGCGCTCAGTACGGTATATATTTATCCAGGTTAGGCGTGCCGCTATTTTTTTTATTATGTGGCCCCGAGTGTGCCGTTGGCAAAAAAGGTTGAGAATCCCTGCTCTATGCCTTCAAGGAATGTCACGACTAGTGCAGGAAAGTCCGCACCACAAAACCCATGTCAAGTCCGCACCACAAAACCCGTCCCATGTCAAGAAAAACATAATACACAAACACAACATGTGAAATAAACCCAAAACTCAATGGCATTTAAAGGGCGTTTCTTAGAAAAGATTATTTTACGACATAACAACAGATCTTTGTGAGATTTACTGACAATTTTTAAAAATGTTAACCTTGGTTCCTTATCATTAGAAAACCCTATTTTTATGCTTCCCGCTCCGTTGTCTAAAACAAGCGTGGCCATTTTTGTTGTTTACGTTCCGGTTGATTTTCCATTATCCAGCCTTATCTTACGAATATAGCCTCTATCACCCAGTCCAACATGACTGAAATCGTCGAGTCGTCTGAGTCGTCTCTTTAGCACAAGATATCGGATAGCTGCCTAGTTCGTGGGTTAACGGTACAACGCATGGGAGGGATTATCAATCAAGGAGAGATTAACAGCAAAGCGTTACTAACCGTAACAAACAAGTTTGTGAAGGTGTAAAGTAAACATGTACTTGTAGATAAGAAACTGTAAATTTATTAAAAAAGAAAAAATGAATTTTTTAATAATTGAATAGGTTTTAAAACTTTATAAAAATAAACATGACTTCTGCAGATTGTGGCGTATTGCGGACTGGTCTCCAATCCATTAGTTCTTTAAGACAAAGTTTACCTTCCGCAAATACATATGATTTTGCGAGGAAAGATGATATGGAATTTGAGAGACAGATGGACAAACTTTGTATTTGGTTGGAGAAATGGGATCATAAACAGGTAAACATTCTACCTTCATTATAAGTTTTTGTTCTTTTTCTTCAAAAGACAAAAACAAACTTGTGTAGAGTAGCAATTTAAAAAACAAATGTTAAAATAGGCCATGTAGATCTAGTATATCAGTTTTAAAATAAAGCTAAAAGATCTCTTATTTGATAGCCTATACTATGGGTAAAATATAAAAATGTTAATTTCATTAAATCGTATCTGTTGATTTAAAAGTTGGTAGCTGTCTACATTTAAAATTATAAGTCCACAGATTCAGCCAATAACGATTTCTGTTTACTATTTCAAAGTGAAAAATTTAATCATATAGTAAAAAATTTTGTCAAGGGTTCGATCCGTGGATGCCAATTTAACATTTACAAGGACCTCCTTTTTTTTTGTCCCATCCGAACAACTAGATACTTTTCCTTCTCAAGGCCTCTGTTCTGCATCACTGACAAGGGGAAACCACGCGCTGGTAGGTTACTTGAAAATTAACTGTATATTATTATGAAAATAAATGATCTGAAGAAAAGCAATCGAAATATAAAAAATATACATGTAGTTTCAAAAATAAATTAATTACAGAATCATAATATTACACTTTTTTAATATTTACATGGATATATTTCATTTTTGCTAATATTTTAAATATATGCATACATATTTTAAATAATGGAAATGATGGTCCCAGTAAGCCAAGCATGTGTTCCGTTCCCAGTCAGCCCCAAATCCGGTCTCAGTCAGCCTGGTCCCTATCAGCTATGGTCCCAATCAACCGCATAAGCTTATACTTAATAAACCTCGATCTCAAAATAGACAAATATGTATATGATTGAAAATCATGCAATTGTTTAAAAGTATTTTGTCCAATTTCATATTTCAGTTTGTGAAGTTTTGGTGATGAATAAAAACACCCAAAAACTATTTAACAATAATGAATTTAAATTCATTGTGTGGTTTAATTAAGACCTCTTATATATATTTGATACAAATTTTAAACAAAAAGTTAGAGAGAGAGAGAGAAATGGGTTTAACATCCACTCTACACAGACTAGGTCATTTCGGAACTAACATATGGTTTAAATTTATTTCAATAATTCGCTTGCGCGTAAGGGTCTTTAGCAGTGGGTGGAAACCGGAGGACCCGGAGAAAACCCACGAGGTTGGACAGAAACCCTAATCCTCGTCACGTACAACTGGGGATTCGAAACCACGCCAGTTGACTTATAATGACAGACCTTATACAATAAGTTAGTATGTTCCATGTTTACAATATCTAATAATACATGTATTATTCTTATATTATACATGATAATAAAAGGTTCCAATCCAGTTACTGTAGCTAGAATTCAATCCCTGCATTGTCCGAGAAAGTTCATCACAATTTTTCAACATGGTTTCCCCTTGTTAGTGGTGCAGGGCGGAGTGCCTGACATGGACAAATATCTAGTCTTTAGGATGGGATGAAAAACCGAGGTCCTGAGTATACATTGGCATGCACGTAAAAGATCCCCTGGCAGTTGGAAAATCGACTTAAGAATAGGTCATAGTACCGCTGTCTGGGCAAAATTTCCCTCATAGCACACTGTAGGGGGTATGCTTATAAATTTCTTCATTTAATGAGACATGTATACCCTCAATAACTGGCTCATTAAATGTCTATATGCTTAACAAACTGGTTGGAATGTATTCTATATTATCCCTTATTATTATGATATCTCCACAATTGTAAGGTGCTAAAAGCTATGTAATGATCAGATCTGTTTGTGAAGAAACAACTTAAATCTTATATTGACATAATTTATTGGTGTTTGGAATTCAATAGTGATCAAACATCGATCACACTGGCTTAATAGAGGATGTATTAGTCCAGACAGGTCAGCAAACAATAGAGTACAGTATGATTCGAATAAAGTACACAGTAATTTATCAGGTGTATTCAGGTAAAATACGAAGCTTAGTATACTAGAATAAGTACACAGTAATTTATCAGGTGTGTTCAGGTAAAATACGAGGCTTAGTAAGGTAGAATAAGATATGGTTAATACGACAAGACTTTATTGTACTGTTATTATTTTATGATCTGTAGATTGTTGTATATGGCTATTGTTAGACGATATATAAGCGTATTTTGTTAAATAAGACTACAAATAGATCAAGAAAAGTGACCCAGTGTTCTTTATAGAATAGATTTTTTGTTGCAATTTTACTTTGAATAAGTCAATATATATATTATTACACTTTTAACTTGATTTTATTAGAATGGGTACATCAGGTATATTATTTTATTATTACCATATGTGAATAAGTTTAGATTAGATCCATCAGTTTTAATATGAAATATCTTAATAAAAACATTGTTAGTTGATGGTACTACTGTCCCTGTAGGGTTATTAATTATTTCTGTAACATTGTATAGTCTATAATTCACTTTTCTTGAAATAACCAAGAAAATATCAGGCCCTGATCCAGGGGGAATGGACGCACACGGCGCACGCCCCCCCCCCTTTTTTTTGCGGTGGCAAACAATTTTTTGCCCCATATATTCTCACGGTAAAGGAGAACAAAAATATTTAAAAATAATTTAATACTTTACTCCGAAACGAGCCGGTTGGTGACTTGGTTGATTGCCCGTCAGTCCGCCCACCGAGGGCCGGGCTTCGCACTCCCAAGTGGGAGCAGCACCCCCCCCCCCCTTTCTGAAAATCCTGGATATCCTCCCCTGAATATATATTTGATATAAATGTGTTTTTTGTTTCAATTTTGCTTACAATGTATTATCTTTCCATCAATATTTGTGAGTAAAAATAAATATCAGCATTCAATTATTATATTACTATACCCTGTATGTTGTTCGTTTTAATAGTAGGAGTTTTTTTCCTAATTATTCCAGTTGATCAATCAAGACATCTTAAGGCTTATAGATCTCTGTCAGAAGAAAGGGGAATTACTATCAGATATTTTATGGATAACAACTAAGTGTCTTGAGTATTTTGACTGTATTATTTTGTATGTTATTAATGAAGGATATTCATCTATCAGTCAAAGAACCCAAACATGACGATTCCCCGAATGTCCAACCTTGTGGGTTTTCTCCGGGCCCTCTGATTTCCTCCCACTGCTAAAAAAACCCTACAAACCAATTTTTATAATAAACCTCTCTCTCTCTCTCTCTCTCTCTCTCTCTCTCCAAACATGACCAAATAAAAGCTAAATATGGAGTTTCAAAACATACACAATCAAAAGTACTTTTGCAAAAATATATTTCTGGTCCAAAAATTATTTAAACAAATTGATCAATTCCAAATCAAAACACTGCAAAACTACAATATTGTGTAAGTTGAATCTTTAAGAGGGATATCAGTCCATAAGTGATTCAGTTCCATTCGGCATTGATAAAGGTGTTATGAATTAAAGATTTGCCAACATTCAGCATCCTCTGCAGATAATTTAAACGGGAGATGTTGAAGTATATCTTTGCTAAAATCTTTTGATGGACCCCTTATTAATCCAATTGAATCCAAGCCAGGAGATTATATCTACTGTTAATATTTTGATTTTTTTTTCTTATTTAGATGTTGAATAATTAATTTGAATTCAGCTTAACCTGGATTAAGCTGTGGAAAATTTGATATTTTCCCCAAAACACAAATGAAACACATGGCCATTTAAAGTTTATATTGCTTTTAATTGATTTCACAATTACACATTTATTGTACATGTAATGATAATTCTGGTATCCTTTTAGTACAGGGGTCACCATTTACTAAACTACGGCCCGCGGACCGGATCCTGTCTGTGACGTCAGTTTGTCCAGTCTGCTGTCTGTTGCATGCTGAAAAAAAAGCCCATGGGTATGCGTTGTTGCTAGGCCACGGTTTTATTTATGTGCAGGGTTGTTAAAGACCAGAAACACTGCTGCCCTATGATTGGCTGGTATGTATTTCGCACGACGTCAGTTTCACAAATTTCATTAACTTTTGTGTTGCCTACGGTATATGGCTTACTTTTAATGCAATTCAACTACCGGTATGTGCGCACTAGATGTGATATGTCTCATTACATCGTAAACTTTGTATAAATGTTTTAACTTGGTGACATTTTGGTAAGATTAAAAGATGTTATTGTTTTTATTATTTTGTGTATTTCATGTATTGATAAATAAATAGAATGACTCCTTATTTTTTGTGTACATTCAGTGAATTCTGTATTCAGTGTATTGTATTGAACAAAATATTTATCCAGCCTGCGCTCGTCATTCTTTCAGTTATATCTGCCCCACTATGAAAAAAGAGGTTTTTGAATACATGTATTTGGATGTGCTGACATTAAAATAGTGCATGTATATTTTTTACTTGAAAATTATATGTCAAAAATTTGTTGTGTTGTACCTTTAATGATTTTCTTTTTATATTTAATTGTAGAGATGTCAGATATTAGAAAAACTTCTACAACAAAGTACTTATACACAGTTCCAGTTTCTATATACAGTGATGCAGCCATCCCTTCATCGAGATCTCATGTATACAGCTCAAACTGTATTTCCTACCATAGATTTTACACCAGTCAGTACACATACTAGTCGGGAATATAAGGTGAACAAAACTTTACAGATTAAAGGAGCTAAAGCGCTAATATTTGGGACCTACATGTAGAAAGTGACACAAATAGGTTGTAATGCATATAATAATGTAATATGAAAGTATATAGACTGATTTACATTCAGTCAATTGTTTTTACTGTAATCAGTTATAACTGTATGTTCGGCGAAATGTGCCAAAAATCTCAATCAAATGGCAATCTCTAGTGTCTCGTTATTCCAGTATACACCGATAGTATTTATTGCGCATGCTCTGCAGATAAGAATATGGCGTCACCGTTTGACATGACTTGTTGAATATGTTTAGCCTCGTTCTCCGAGTCCCTTAATTGTACCAATGGTAAACTGTTTATTTTGTCTTAAATATTGGATATTGGGATGAAAAACCGAGGTCCAATGTACACATTGGCGTGCACATAAAATATCCCATGACAATTGGAATTCGATATAAGAGTAGGTTGTAGTGCCGCTGTCTGGGCAAAAATTCCCTCATAGCGCACTGTATGGCGTATATGCCCGTCTTCATTAGCCCAGTTCGGAGCAGAACAATAGGACGTTAAACCCCATTTCATTTCATAGTAGGATGGGAGTCCACCAAAAACTATTCAAGTGCCTTTTTATTCACATTTTTATAATGAGTAGTAAATAGAATAATAATGAAATGCTCAATAGAGCATTTGTGTGAGTTTGGTCCAAGATAATTTCTGCACAGGCTTTTAGAATCACTCCTCACTCTTTTGGAAAACTTCCTGGATAGTAGCTAGCATAGTGATGTCCTAAGATGATTGACTCCATTCTTGAGTTCACTATTCCCATTAAAAGTCATTTTGATTTATTTTTATAGGAGAAGGTTAAAAAGATTCGTAAAGGAAATATACATCGAGTGAAAAGTGCCTACCTTCAGTTAGATGAGGAAGTAAAAGCCTGGTTAACAGAAAACTCAACAAAGTTACCGCCTATAGAAAATAACACAGTTAAAACAAAAGATTTGTAAGTGAATTTTGGCCAGTTAAAAGAATTTAATGTTTCATGAAATTAATGCAATCTAAAAGGTGTCAACATGGAAATGTATTGAATTGATTGTGACCTGCTGTCTAATACAGTGGCTTGGAACTTGAGAGAGAGAGAGAGAGAGAGAGAGAGAGAGCGGGAGAGAGAGACTCACACAAACTAGGTCATTTCGGGACTATCATATGCTTCAATTTTATTCCAATAATTCACTTGTGCGTAGGGGTCTTTAGCAGTGGGAGGAAACCGGAGGACCCAGAGAAAACCCACGAGGTTGGACATACAACCAAGGAATCGAAACCACGCCTGTTGACTCAATGACAGACCTTATGATACAATGCACACACGCTGGAGTAAGTTTTGAATTAATTCTGTTTTTAAAAATGTTTTCTCTATTTATTGTAGAACACATAAAACATCACCATCAAGACTGACAACACTACAGCTGACAAGTAACAGATCACCACGGTTACACCGTCATGTATCTTTGAGGAGTGAACGGCAATTAACAGATAAAAAAGATAAATCTCAGTATGTATTACTTTCAGGCCTGGAAATAACGGTTTTAGATGTATCTGACAAAATGTCAGACACTAATGAAATAGTTCCTGACATTTTCAACTTATTGCTGGACATGTATTAATAATATCAGTAAAAAAGACAAACCAGTGCTGGACTAAATGACAGGCACCAGAGGTTTTGTGCCTGACAAAGTCTGAATCTGTGCCTGACATTGTCAGTGAAAGGTGCCTTATTTCCAGCCTTGATTAATTTGTATTAAAATGAAACCTGAATTAACTCAACGATAATTTTTATATTGAGTGAAATATTATTCAGTATAAATAAATCATCAGACGATTGTTCAAATACTTCGTTGAATTTCATATCTTTTGCTTTACAAGAAAGGGGGGTTAGCTGGCCGAACGGTTTAACGCGTGCACTTTAACAATTCTGTCATTGAATCAAGTTTTGTGATTTCGATTCCCCGCTTGTACATGACAAGGAGTAGGATTGCCTGTCCAACCTCGTGGGTTTTTACCATGTCCTCCAGTTTCCTCTCACTGCTAAAGAAACCTATGCGCGAGTTCTTTAAATAAAATTGAACCTTGTTTTAGTCCCAAAATGACTGAATGGATGTTAAAGCAGGGTTGCGAATACCTGTAACTGCACGCTACACACACTTTACTGACCACAAAGTTATGGCGGTATTTTGAAATATAGAAATGTTTAAAGATTCTCATTTTAATATGTCCTCATGGAAATATATCATAGATTCAGTTGTCTATTTATGTCTATTACAGTTTGAATTTACCAATACGACGTCATCTACAGGAAATCAGTGATGTTGACACAAATAGTAGTAATCTTAGTATATCTACTATGAGTTCGGTGCCATCAGAAGCTATCTTCATCACAGCTGTAAGTAGAATTCGAACATTTTATTATTAATTGGATGGTCCAGATACTTCTCCTTTCAAATTAGAAAATATATATCGAGAAAGAGAGAAATGGGGTTTAACGTCCACTTGACACAAACTAGGTCATTTTGGGACTAACATATGGTTCAATTTTATTTCAATAATTCCCTTGTGCATAGGGGTCTTTAGCAGTGGGAGGAAACCGGAAGACCCGGAGAAAACCCACAAGGTTGGACAGGCGACTCTATTCCTTGTCACGTACAACCAGGGAATCGAAACCACGCAGAAATTATAGATATTTATGTTGAAAGAACAAAGGTTTTTAAAATATTGAGAGATATCAACAAGACATGTAAATTCTATAGAACTTTAATTCTTGATTCTTTTATTCATTTTTGATTATTTGGTTTTATTTCATACATTGTAACATTGTAAAGTACCCCTGAACACAGGAGGGCGATATAAAATTTATAAAAATAAACACACTTATATGGATACCTGTATGTGTATTGAAACGTAGCATGTTAATAAAATTCAGAAGTAGTATATCCATATAAGTGTGTTTATTTGTAGTGAAATCTATTTATATATATGTCTTATAAGGATTATAAAATTTATAATAATTAATAATAGTATATATACACCTTTAGAGCACTAGTTTCGAATTTGTCATTGTAATTAATATTCTATTACACACTGGAAAAGCACCTGCCACATGCACATGATTTATAATGATATATTTGGGATTTCAGAAAGGAACAGTAAAGACAAGTTCACTATCTGATGAAGCTAAGATATTGTTAAATTGGTATACAAATGATTGGTCAGGTAAATAGTTTTCAAATCCTGTAATTTTTAAAGGAATAGAAATGTAGAAAAAGATCTTTAATGAAATATGAAAATTAGATATCAACATAAATGACTCTATTCAATAAAATAAATGCACTGGCCCCGACTTCACAAAGCATTCTCAACTTTCAATCACTGTTTATGAGAAATATCTTTGATCCAGAAACACAAAAATTTACACATAGTTTCTTATTGATGTATTTGATACATTAAAACAACAAAAGTTTTATAAAGGGCTGTATATTAGTTAAAATAAGACAAACAATTTTGAGTAAATTCTTAACTTAAGTCTGAGAATGTTTTGTGAACTCGGGGCCTGGTGTTTGAATAAAACATTACCGGTGGTGTTGAATAGGCCCTTCAATCTATTTCAGTTTATTAGAAAAATATCTTTAAGTATCTTGCTTGGTGTACTTTATGGTACTTGTATCACTGTGGTACTTGTACAGGTTATTACAAGTTTATTGCATAGGGAAATTGATGTTATCAAGAAGGGGTGCAGAGTGCTTCTTTAAATTCCAAGAAAAATCATCAAAAGAGCACTTAATTATTGGAGCTGGGCATATATTTCTTTAAACTTTGCCATTGTCAGCATATGCTTTAAGAACATCAAAAAAGTTCAATTATAAGATCAGAACTTTTAATTATTTTAATGGTTTCTTCTGCTTATTAATTAATTCGGTGTAAGCCAATAGGCCAACTAGATGAATATTTATCATTAATATGAAAACGTGACCTGTATGTCGTTATTAAATAATAGAGAAGTAGTCATATCCATATATACCTTGTGTTGTGTTTTGTTATGAACAGAAATTTACATTTGGATGAAATTCGAGTACAGTAAAGTAGAGCCTAACGTTACTAGAGAATAAATTATAAACGGCTTTAATATAGCTCTCTAACTAAACATTAATTATATACTTTACCATTGATCTCTTGATCTTATCTAAATCTCTGTACAACTATTTTTAGAAGTTTCGTGCATGTTGAATATCTTATATAAGTAGAGGATTTATTATTTATGACTTGTGATCTTTAACATGCAATTAAATTATTACAGATAAAAGAAAAAATGAGTTTTTACACAAGTTGGTTGTGCTGCTAGATCCTAGACAACATTACTATCTCTCTAGTTTCTTATCAGTAAGTTAGACTTCAATAAATTATATAATGTATTAGACACTGATTCATATCAGCTGTTAACATAGACTAAATATAAGTGACTGTTCTTAAAGCTATAAAATATTAAAGTATCACAAGTGTCTTTGATCAAAGTCAGCACTTTGCAAGTTTATTGATTATGAATTGAATGCAATAAGCTAAGCTATAAAATAATTTGTATATAAAGAACAAGGCCATGCAAAGAAATATTTCTGGTTCTCAAACAATCTTTCCTAAAAATGTGTTTTTATTTTGTCAAATAATCACTGAGCTGGATGAATGAACGTCACATTTCAAGGCACTACATTTATCTCACGTTTTTTGATAGGAGTGTATGATTATCAAATATCTTTTATGATTATTGGTAACATTTATCAGGGTCTTGTACTTGATAATTGATCTTAAGGTACATTTCCGTTTAAATTTGAACTCCTGTAATTTGGGGAAAACATTTACATGCGGTAATTAATGAAACCCTGTTTATTGAATATTAATTAAAATAAGAACAGGTCATACACCTCTTTTTAATTGAGGAGGGAGTATGTGGGAACCAGAATGTTTTTAAGGCCTAAAGTTAGCAAAGAAAGTGAATTATCATACAAATAGTCAGATTTATAGTAATTATAACACTATTTTAACACTATCAATGGATGTGTCCAATAAATTATTTTTGAAATATATAAAATATTGGCATGGGAGAACTCTGTTTATCATATTAAAGTCAAAAAGACTTTTAAAAAATGTGTTATGTTTTCAATTCCATAATAATGAGACATTTTTGAGCAACAGTTAGGCTTAATGATTTTTTTGTAGCATTGCATTGGAACAAGAATAGATGAATAAATAGATTCTTATTCATTGAGGAAATGAAAACAATTATTTTTCATTTTTATATTGTTCACAATTTTCTTCTTTTTTTTAATAGGTAAAGCAGCATCGGGACTTTATAAAGCTTTTACCAGAAAAAATAGCTTTAAAGATACTTAGTTATCTGAATCCAAAAGAATTATTACAAGCAAGAAGAGTAAGTTATTCAAGGTTTATTCATCATTTAAAGGGTACATGCATGTACAATTTGTGAGTCGCAGTGGCTCAGTCATTAAGGCACTGGTTCGCTAGCTTGGAGGTTTCTGGTTAGCTGCTGGTGTTGCCTGATAAAGTTTGTCAGGATTTTCTGGCACTGTTTCCCCACATGATGAATATGGTATCAAGAAATTTTTTTCATAACTCTGATTGTGAGAGTAGAGTTGTATTCTGCAATTACTAATAAAATTAAAAATGTTTTATGTGAAATTTCAAATTTTAATTTTCAGGTTAGTAAAACATGGAGAAAGTTTGCTGATAATAATGATATTTGGAAAACGAAATGTTCAGAGGTTAAAGTTGAAGTCCCAGCTGTTCCTGTATGGAAGGATATATATAGAGATAATATGTATCTTAGATTTAACTGGAATAGTGGAATATGTCATACAGTAGACTTAAAGGGACACACAGAGAAGTAAGTAGGATTAAAGAATACAAATGAAATGAAATGGGGCTTAACGTCCTACTGTTCTGCTCCGACTGTGCTAATAAACACAGGCAAATATTATGCTATGAGGAAAATTTTGTTTACCTGGGCAGTGGCGCTACAACCTACTCTTATATTGAATTCCAACCGTCAAGGGTTCTTTAATGTGCACGGCAATGTGTACACGGGATCTCGGTTTTTCATTCCATGCGAAAAACTATACGTTGTCCCTTGCCAGGCCCTTATGAACTTTCTCGGCCAATAAGGGGATCGAACACAGGACCGGAAGTAATCGAGCCAACATCTGACTCACTGAGCCCAACAAAAATATTCTGGTTCTTAGAAAATCTGATTGAGAGAGGGGATCAAGTGGCTAAGTGGGTAAGACGCTAGCTCGCTAGCCTGGAGGTCGGGTGTTCGATCCCTGCATTGGCCGAGACAGCTCATCCAGATTTTCCGGCGTGGTTCTCCCTTGTCAGTAATGCAGGACGGAGGGGCTGACAAGGAAAGCTGTCTAGTCATTCAGATGGGACGAAAAACCGAGGTCCCGTATACACATTGGCGTGCACGTAAAAGATCCCTTGGCAGTTGGAATTCGATATAAGAGTAGGCCGTAGTGCCACTGTCCGGCAAAATTTCCCTCATAGCACACTGTATGGTGTATGCCCAGGTTAGAAGCAGAACAGTAGGACGTTAAACTCCATTTCATTTCATTTCTGATTGAGGGAGAGGTTTTTATATTTTCATGGGATAACTGGGCAAAAAGACCATAAAAAAAACATCACATTTCAAGATTTTATATTTATCTCATGATCTGTGTATACATGTTGTTTATAGAAATTTAAGATTATCCAGTGTCATACAGTAGACTTAAAGGGACACACGGAGAAGTAAGTAGGACTAAAGAATACAAATGAAATGAAATGGGGTTTAACATTATCCAGTCTCATTAATTATTGTTAATAACAATTATTAGCTGCTGAAGTCATCAAAGATCATTCAGCAAGCGTCATTCAAGTTTATAAATAATATAGCATAATTTTTGTTTATCTGTGGCCATCCGAAGGAGGAGGGTCGGGTGACTGATTGGACTAATGTGTGCGCTTTAGATCATAAGGTCAAGTGGAGTGGTTTGGATCCCACAAATTTGAAATGAAATGAAATGGGATTTAATGTCCTACTTCCCACCTTCTTTCCTCCCACTCAGGCGATTTATTGAAATGAAATTCAACCATATGTTAGTCTTGAAATGATCTAGGTTGTGTTAAGTGGACGTTAAACTCCATTTCTCTTCTCTCTCTCTCTCCCGTCTGAAGGATGGTCTAACAAACATTAGTAATGACAACATACAGCTAGCAATCTATGGATGTCATGTTATTCTCTGTGTTAATGAAGACCAGGAGGGTTTGATGGTCAAATGGTTAGCTTGTGTGCCCTGTATCATAAGGTCTGTCATTGAGTCAACTGGTGTGGTTTCGACTCCCTGATTGTACGTGACAAGGAGTAGGGTGGCCTGTCCATCCTTGTGGGTTTTCTCCAGGTCCTTTGGTTTCCTCCCACTGTTAAAGACCCCTACGCACAAGCGAATTATTTGAAATAAGATTGAACCATATGTTTGTCCCGAAATGACCTGGTTTGTGTGGAGTGGTCTTAAATCTTTTTTTTATTATTTTTATTATTATTATTACAGCATGTTTATAGTGCACCCTTTCATATAACATGTTCAGGGGCACTTTACTAAGTGACAATGTAAATCACACATAAACAACAAGATTATGGGCATGTTAACGATTGTATACAGAGTCAGTTAAAAGCCTGATTAAATAAATGTGTTTTAAGTTGTTTTTTAAAAGAATATAGAGATGTACAACATCTTAAACTAATGAAGACCATCTCTATATTTTTCAGTGTTTTGTCTGTAATATTTGATAAAAATAGAGTTGTGAGTGGAAGTCTGGATAAAACTATTAAAGTCTGGAACATCAAGACTGGTGATCTTATTCAAACATTAAAAGGTCATACTAAGGGTATATGGTGTCTAAACTTTTTTACCAAGAATCTTCTTGTTTCTGGAGCATTTGATTGTACTATAAAGGTAAGACTATGATAAACATAACAAATATCTTGTCATCATCAAATAACACACCTTTTTTATGGTTAAAGGACAATATTGGTGCCAGTCATTATCACATATGTGATAGAGCTGGTTAAACACATTCCAAAAATAATTTTAACACAGAGATCATTGCTACCATAGCTGAGTAATACAGGTTTCCTGAATCGGAAGTGACGAACCTCAAAGGAAAACATGAGTCATCCCTCTATATAACTGACTGATGTGACGAGTGATAACAGATACACGGCCAAATTTCTGCTCACTAATAATTCCTTCGAAGACCAAAAGTAGTTATATGGGACTGTAAGAGGATACCTGACAATTCAATAAAGTAATTGAATGTCATTAGATAAGAGAACACGAGAAAAATAGAAATAGTCCGTACATTCCCTTGTTTATATTCATTCTATACCTTATAAAAACATGGTAATGCACAGACTTTTTCTGTTTTTCTTTCGTGGCAGTCAATTCTTTTTATAAATTGTCAGATATTCTCTCACAGTCTCACACAACAACTTTTGGTTTGTGTCAGTAGACGCTAAACCCATTTCTCTCTCTCTCTCTCTCTCTCTCTCAAATCATCTTTAATCTCTTGCCAACTACAATATTGTGAAAGATAATCTCTAAAAGGAATATCATACCAAAATGTTCATGTCTTTTCAGTATTTATAAAGCTATATAATGAATTGAAAATTTGACAACATTCTGTGTCTTCTGATGATGATTTAACGGGATATGATCAAAACATTTTTTGGGGGACCTTTTTTTTAATCCGATAGAATCCAAGCCAGCAGATCGTCAAATATATAATTAAATGTTATATAATCAATTTTATTACATTTTTTAGCCTTGATTAAAGTGTTAAATTTTAGTTATTGTTCTAAAAATGCAAGTGGTCTGATAATTTGATAGATTCACCCAGTTGTACTCTCAGATACATTATTACCTTGATGAAATAAACAAAGATTGTATCACGTCATTCATTTCCAGATAACAGTATTTTAAACTTTATCTCTTATTTTAATTCCAAAGATATAGAGGATATTTGTCGTTTTGTCGTGAATAACATATTTTATTTCATCGAGAAGCAAGAAAACTTATATTTTCACGAATGCGTAGCATGAGTGAAAATATAAACGTTTTCTTGCTTAGAGATGAAATAAAATATGTTATTCACGACAAAACGACAAATGTTCTATTTATTTTATGATTTTACGATCATTTTAGGTAAAAACAACATGGACTACTGCTAGCCAGTGGAATAACACTTTTATTTCACTGATAAAACACGGTATTCCACTACTGATCATAAAATAATTGATTTTATTTTTTTTCTGTATTAGATTTGGAATCTCAGAATGGGTACAGCAGCAAGAACATTACTAGGACATGAGGGACCGATATGGGCTATGGTTAGAAATAAAAATATTTTAGTTTCAGCATCACAAGATAAAACAGTAAGTTTCTAGTGTATTAGAGAAATACTTTATCCAACCCTCTACTTAAATGTTTATTATTATTATTGTGTTGGCCGAGAAAGTTCTCTAGAATTTTCCAGCGTGATTTCCGCTTGTCAGTGGTGCAGGACAGAGGTCCTGGCAAGGACAGCAATCTAATTGTTTGGATGGGATTCTTTTGTATATTCTACATATGTATGTTAGTTTTAAAATGTACTATGTCTTCACTGTTCTTGTTACAGGTCAAATGGTGTAACATGCGCATGTTAGATCATATGTCTGTCATTGAGTCTAGTGGCATGGTTTCAATTCCTGGCTTGAACGTGACAAGGAGTAGGGTCGTGTGTCCAACTTCATGGGTTTTCACTGAGTCTTCTGGTTTCCTCTCACTGCCAACGACCCCTACTTGAATTATTGAAATCAAATTGAACCAGATGTTAGTCCCGAAATAGCCTACTTTGTGTCAAGTGGACATTAAACCCCATTTCTCTCTGTTACAGGCAAGAGTATGGGATATTGGTAGATGTTTATTACTACAAACATTAAAGGGACACAATGCTGCTGTGTTTGCTGTTGATATGAATGAAGATGGAACGCTGACCCTAACCGGATCAGCAGATAGGGTAAGATACTATATATTGCAAATGTCTTTATTTCATTGTACAATAATATATTTTTGGTGATAAAAAGTTGAACAATCAAAATGACATCAGTCATTGATTAAAGTTCTATGTAATATGGTACACTTAGTGTGGTTTAATGGTCAAGAGCGAGACATTAAGTAATATGTTGAAACAACACGAGGGGCGTTAGTCTCGGGTTTTTGTTTCAACATATTACGCAATGTCTTAAGCTCAAGACCGTTAAACAACTTAAAATACAGACACTCGCACATGCTTTGAAAAATTTCAACTAGTATAAATAATGTACGCTTGGCACATTGCCCGCATCATTATTTGAAATAGTGGTACGCCAACATCGAAGGATGACGTCACATCTGCATTTTAAAAACAGACATATTTGTGCTCCACCAACTGATGTTTTGTCCACAGTGTCTTGTGGACTCCTTTGTATTATAAGGAAGAACTCTTATCAAAATTCTAAATTTTTTGGCAAAGTTATTTTTCTGTTTACGCTTAAACATTAAAATCAATAAATCTTGTGCATGCAATATAGGACAGAGTTTTTGATGCAATTTCTTAAAAACTTGGTGGGAGAATAAAGAATCAACCCATGTAAAAATTCAAAAGTTTTGGTATTTGAAAAATTTGTCCACGAATTGCATGTGACAATGTATAGGGTCACCTGCCTAACCTTGAGAGTTTTGCTTTTGGTACTCCTCCAACGTTTGTGTGCCAGTGAATTATTGAAATAAGAATATAACATGTTTGTTTCAAATGGATGTTAAACCTCATTCCTTTTTCTTTTCATGGTCTTAGAGTGTTAGAATCTGGGACACTAAATCTGGAAAGTGCAAGAAAGTTGTATGGGCTAGTCAGTCAACTTCCATCATGTCTGTTAGTTATAGTAAAGGTTTTTTTGCCTGTTGCTATGGAGAAACAATATGTCTGTATCGTGTAGAGGGAGCAAAGTTAGTCAACACATACCTTGAACACCATAAACGGTAGGTGAAAGACATTATAATAAAATTTCACCCATGTATATCTTTTTTATGGGGAGCCTCTTTATTAGTATTGAGCTACGATGGCTAAGTGGGTAATACGCTGGCTCGCTAGCTAGGAGGTCACATGTTCGATCCCTGCATTGGCCGAGAAAGTTCATCAGTGATGCAGGACTGAGGGCCTGACAAGGACAGCTGTCTAGTCATTCGAATGGGATGGGGTGGGGGGTGGATGGCTGAATGGTTAGCGTGCGCGCGCTGTATCATAAAGTCGACTGGCATGGTTTCGAATCCCCGGTTGTACGTGACAAGGAGTAGGGTCGCCTGTCCATCCTCGTGGGTTTTCTCCGGGTCCTCCGGTTTTCTCCCACTGCTAAAGACCCCTACGCGCAAGCGATTTATGTAAATAAAATAAAAACCATATGTTAGTCCCGAAATGACCTAGTTTGTGTCGAGTGGACGTTAAACCCCATTTCTCTCTCTCTCTCTCTCTTTTCCATCCTGGAAAAGCTCTACAAAAACATATCTGATTTTACAATTTTTAAATTGTATATCAATTTATGCTCTGAGGTATTCAGTATTAATGGAGCTGCGGTTAACCCCTTTGCTTTAGGTGAAAATAAAATGTTGAATTTGGTTGATTTGATGTATTATTTCGATTCGTGATGGGGCAAGATCTGTCCACCACCCCCCTCCCGCCGACTACGGGCCTGCATAAAAATATTCAATCACAGATTGTCGTCTCACGAAACAGATCAACATATAAAATCCAGTGATATCGATACTTGTATTTTAGATCCAAATTTAAGCGATCTGGTCATTTCAAGGTTGTACAAGTATTAATCATGTTTGTTAATTTTACAGGGTTGAAAGTATAAAGTTGAGTATAACTGATAGTAATAGTAGTAAACCTGAGGGTATAATAGTTAGTGCTGGTAAAGATGGTATGGTCAAATACTGGGATATAAATCAGTAAGTTTAACATACATTATGCAAAAGCTAAATCTGTCAATTGCAGGTCTTTATTTAGGCCTGAAATGTTATCGAAATTATTAATTAGACATTAATTAAGTTATCCAGACCATAATCAACTCTCGGTATTATCTTATGTGTTGGATTTTCACTGGATTGGAATCCAGTCTGCTGCTCAACGCTCATTGATGATTAAATCCAAAAATGGATAATCAAGACTATGGTTTTTATCGTACCGACTTTAGTAATACTGATCGAGGCTAGACTTAAAATTCAAAAGCTAATATCTCGGTTCATAGTGGAGCAATTTGACTGAAATTTTCAACATCTTCTATTTACGTTATCTACTTTTAAACTATTATAATGAGAACAGTCAACTCTTTATCTAATCTCCCATAATGTATTTTTAATCTTTTAAAGAATTAATTTATAAACAGAGCAGATTAAAGTCAAATAAAGAAGGGCTATAACTCTAAAAAAGTTCAAATACATTTTTGAAATCCAATAGTGTGAACAAGGACCATAAATGGAAAGTAAATTGGCTTCCTCCTTTCACTGATTTAACAATGGATATAAATTTCAAGCAGAATTAAGTTGTAATCTAATTTCAATTCTATTGTCATATGTATACAACATAGAGTAAAACTAATTTGTTTTTTGGGTTTTTTTCAGGGACACCAGTTTGAATACTTTTAGTGGACATGCCGAACAGATAAATTGTATACATTTTGATGAACTAAGAATAGCCAGTGCATCTTACGACCATAAAATAAGACTCTGGGATTTTAATGTATAAAGACGTTCATCCACTAATGTGCTCACATATAACCCATGACTCGCCTTGTAAATGAATTGAATAGTATCTTTAAGTGGCATTTACCAATTGTGAAACACATTAACAGAACACAATTTTTATTTTTAAAACAATCACTGGTTCTATTCGACAAGTACTCTCTTATCGTTATCATTGAGCTTGAAAACAATTCAAGGATACTTGTCGAAATATTGGGATTTTAGAATAAAACAAGCGATTGTTTTAAAAATAAAAATTGTGTTCTATTAAATGAATCAGAAGGAGGAAAACTGAATTTTTTAACTACCTTCTATGAATTTGAACCGTTATAAAATTCCATTTCTATCCAAATATGCTAGATTGTGTTCCGATATAAGTTAAATTTTACCATGATATTTTTTGAAACGCATGTATGTTTAAGAGATATCTATATTTTTGTATTCAAACTATTTTATTAAAGCTTATATATACCTTCCATATAAATCCAATGTCTCCCAGCAATGCATTTGAATCTGTAAATAATGTAATGATATTTATGCTATGTGTCTTTGTGCCAAATATTATGTTATCGTTATTGAATATCTGTATATAGCACTGTGATAATTTATGTAATATTATAATATACACTATTAATTAAGGATGTAACGAGTCAAAAAAAATTGAACCGGTTAACCGATGGGCAAAAAACCGACCGTGACCGGTCAACCGATTCACATTTTAGTTGCGGAGTTATTAATCGCCGGACCGTACGCAGGATTAAAGTTTACTTTTTCACACTGTTTAACTTCGTTTTGAATATAAGAAGAGTTTATTTATTGCAGCTTATTTTGTTTTTCATTCAAATTTCTCGGAAGGAAACATTGCGTCGTCTAACAGTCAAAAAGGTCATGGTCTCACGTGGTCGTCACTCGCCCAGTAGCACATGCCGTTGTGTGACAGATCGGAAAATTGATACAATATTATTAGTGTTCGACCCGTTATAAATATAGGAATATTCTATGGCCCCACCTACCTCCATCTCAATGTGCAATGTTATAATGTAATCCATTAATAAAATATTTAATTCGACGTCTTTATTCGCGCGCACGGCATTACTTTCATTTTCATACGCATTTAATAGTCAACCTGTAGTCAAGATTACCCAGCCTGAAGATACAACGCAATAAGTCGCTCTTTTCTGGAGAGTCTTAGATCACGGTCAAAACATTATTATAACTTACATAATTTATATTTATAAATATTGCCGTATTAAAAGCTAATACTATAAAATTTGTATGTTTACCACACGTGACTGAACATGTGACCCCATCGAGCCAATGAAATGACGAAAAGATTATACCATTTGGCCACATGCCAGAGGGACGAAAGATACTTTGTTTACGGCATAATTTTTCTACTACGTTTTCGAGCAGCGAACACGACCGTTTTATTACCGGGAAATTTTTGTATCAACGTGTAATATGAACAAGAGAGCCTGGGCTAATGCTAGTTTACTACTAGGTCGATATACACTGACATTGTTATATAGAACGAATAACGGTCACAGGAATATCGAACCGGTCTGGTTGCAGAACCGAACCGTAACCGGTCAACCGAGTAACCGTTTACATCCTTACTATTAATATATCTATTAAACCCAATTTGTTGTTATTTTTATAAGCCCATATTTAAATGGGGATGGGGGGGGTGGGTGGATGGCTGAATGGTTAGCATATGTGCACGCTTTATCATAAGGTCTGTCATTGAGTCAACTGGTGTAGTTTCGATTCCCTGGTTGTACAGGGGCGGATCCAGGGGGGGTTCTGACGCTTCCGGAACCCCCTCGAGATTTTTCGGTGCCCTTTTTTCCCGAACGGACTTCCATACACCCGCAGATATTTGGGCCGGCAAGTGGCGACGCCGCGCGGTGAATGAAGACGTCAACGTCATACAATATGGCGACCCCCTTGCTAGACGGCAAGATGAAAATTTTTCGGTAGTTTTTGTTCCTATTTGCATCTAAAATGCCGCGACACGATCGTATCAAGAGGAAAAGGGAGGAAGATAAAATTGCTGCAGCCGCTCAGTGTGCTAAAATCAGCTGTTTCTTTCGGTAAGTGTAAAATTTTACTGCATTTGTTGATTTTTAAGGTGAAAAGAGTAGTCTGTGCAGCAGTCGCTAGATATTTACTATCATCAATGTACAATTAAAAGAGCATTTACACACTTCAAGCTTAGTGATTTGGAGGGCACATTAAGGCCTAAAATAGGGCACTGTTACGTGAAAATCATGGGTCTAAGGGGCACATTTTTTGCCGAATCGATATAAAATAGGGGCATCTTTACATCAAAGGGGTACTTTTTGTACCTAAATGATTAAAAAGGGCATTTTAATGTGATACCCTTGAATGAGGAGGGCACATTCAACGCCAAGTCGATATACAGAGGGCATTTTAACGTCAAAACCATGGATTGCAGGGGCAATTGAGGCCTAAAATAGCGCACTGTTACGTGAAAATCATGGATCTGAGGGGCACATTTTATACCGAATCGATATAAAACTGGGGCATTTTTACATCAAAAGGGGCACTTTAAACAATTAAAAAGCGCATTTTAACGTGATACGCTTGAATGAGGAGGGCACATTCAACGCCAAGTCGATATACAGAGGGCATTTTAACGTCAAAACCATGGATTGCAGGGGAAATTTTTACTTCAAAGGGCATTTTCACGTCAAACTCTTGGATTTGGAGGGCACACTTTATGGCGAATTTATTTAAAGAGGGCCTTTTTATGTCGATCCCATCGATTTGAGGTCAGATAATAGGTCTCAATGTTTTGTTTTCAGTCCAATAATTCATGATTCAGTATTTTGCATTTTAAGTAAAATAAAAATTGAAAAATTCCATTAATTTATTTTGTTTAAACTTACAATATTTCTTTCTCATGGTATGTGGAATGTTGTTGCAATGCTGTATTATAAATCTAGTTTTATGCCTCTAAAACCCACCAGAGTGGCTTAGAATGGGCTGAAATTTAAAAAAATTTCCCCAGACCCCCCGCTAGCGCGCGCCTACGACGCCCGCCGGTCATGGATACTATATTAGACGAAAATGGGGTGCCCTTATTTGAAAATGGGGTGCCTTTATTTGAAAATGGGGTGCCCTTATTTTTTTGGAACCCCCTCCAGCTAGAGCCCTGGATCCGCCCCTATGTGACAAGGAGTAGGGTCACCTGTCCAACCTCGTTGGTTTCCTTCCACTGCTCTCCTGGGTTTTCTCCTGTTTCCTTCCACTGCTAAAGACCCCTACGAGCAAGCAAATTATTGAAGTAAAACTGAACCAGGTTAGTCCAAAATAACCTAGTTTGTGGCGAGTGGACCTTAAACCCCATTTCTCTCTCACATTTAAATGGACAGTTCCAGGGTTAGTAAAGTGGAGTACAAATTAAAATGCCAAAATTTGAAAAAGTAGCTGGATTGACCATTTCAGCTCAAGATATTCAGCTTTTTGTAAGAGATCACCATAGGCGTACTGGCTCGATGACAGTTAGGGGGGCAGAACCTGAAATGCCCGAAAAAATTTTGGATTTACAGACAGCGGCGCCGGTCTTCCTCGAGAGGCAAAGAAGCGGAGCTTACCTTGTGTGGATCCCCCCCCCCCAAAGAAAATTTTGGAATATTTGACGGCTGCAAACACGTTTTCCTGCTATTTCTGCCCGTGAACAAAGCAATTTCAAAGTTGTCTAATATAGGCTAATTAAGATGGCTGACTCGAATTCCAATCAAAAGATCAATCATTTACAGTCCACGGAGACGGGACTGTTCAGAAAAGATTTAACTGCCGCAAACGCGTTTTACTGCTATTCCAGTCTTTAAATACAGCAACTTCAATTTGGTCCAATATAGCCTGCCTGGCCCATGAACAAAGCAACTTCAAAGTGGTCTAATATAGGCTAATTAAGATGGCTGACTCGAATTCCAATCAAAAGATCGATCGTTTACAGTCCACAAAGACGGGACCGTTGGGAGAAAAATTGAATATTTAACTGCCACAAACGCCTTTTCCTGCTATTCCAGACTGCGAATACAGCAACTTCAATTTGGTCCAATATAGCCTGCCTGGCCGGCCCGAATTCCAAACAACCAATCAATCGTCGCGGGGTAAGGGGGCCTCACCCTCCCTGAGAAAATTTTGAAAATTTAACCACCGCAAAATGCGTTTTCTGCTATTCTAGCCCGTGTAAGCAACTCCAAAAGTATCCAATGGTTTTGTAACCGAAATCCCATTCTGAATCCTAACCATTCAATCAGACTGTTGCAGCTGCATTCACAAATAATAATCGATGCCCCAAAAAAGTCGCACAGAGTAGAGTGGCTCCAGACAAAATGTTTTAATCCATAGTCAACTCAGTACAAATTTGTGGTATTCAATTAAAAGAAAAGTAAAATTAGTGTTTTATTAGGGCTCGATGACAGTTAGGGAAGCAAAACTAGAAATGCCCGAAAAAGTTTCAGGTTTACAGACAGCGGCGCCGGTTTTCTTCGAGAGGCGAAGAAGCGGAACTGACCTTGTATGGAGCCCCCAAGAAAATTTTGGAATATTTGACGGCCGCAAACGCGTTTACTGCTATTCCAGCCCGTAAAATTGGTGTTTTATTAGATTTCGGGCACTTTATTTTGCCAAGTAGATGAAATAAAATTTTTTTTTCATTTTACCCGTCTGCCCGAAAAGTCAGCTTGCGCGAAAGTTAGGGGGGCAGCTGCCCCCCCCCCCTGCCCCGTACGCCTATGGAGATCACTAAACTTTCTTTACAAGATTTTGTAACTCACTTAAAGTATTCCACTGTGCAGTTGTGAGACTTGGTAATGGTGGTGATCATATATCACTATAACTTATGCAAGTGTGTCAAGGTGGAATGGAATTTGGGGAGGTATCACTAAATACACATGGCCACTGAAAGTTTGTTTTTCTGAGAAAAGGTATGTCAGATATTTAGGACTTGAATTAATATCTCTAGGAGTTTTCCACATAAATATATCTGGGAGGGCTCCTTTAATGTGGACATCTATTTTCATCATGTCTTTCAATATCTATCGAGTTTGATTAGGTTGCTTGGGGAGTTGGAATGGCCTAGTATGGAGCGGAATTTCCCCCAGAATTCTAACTCCTAACCTAGTAATGCGTATGCTAATATGCTTACTTCTATACATTTAAGTTCTTACTAACACATGTTAAATTGGCTATTTACACATGTAAAAATGCTAATTTATATAACTTATTTTTTAAATATTGCAGTTAGAATTTGTATTTTGTTCTATTTCCATTATTACATTTAATTTATTGTAGTCTGTATAGTTTCGTTAACATTTTGACATTTCACAAATGTTACGCTGTAAAGCCATCATAATTCTAAGCTCATTTTGGTAACAGATGGCTCTATTTATTGTATGGAGGCTGATTAGGGACATGCAAAATCTCGCCTTTTTCATAACCCGACAGATAAAAATCATAAAACATTTTATGTACAAAAACAAAATATTGTAGATATTTTTAAAATATATAAATAGGCTTCCCTGTCGTGCATTTTCCAATATACTGCAATATCGATTGATTTGGCATATTTTGTTTCTAAAAGAACAATAAAATATATGGAAAGAACTCATTACGTCATGCACGGGAGTGAATAAATAAATATATAGGTAATTATAAGTTTAGCCTATCTTTTCCCCTCAAATTTATGAAATAATTTTCGCACACAAGTAAAGTATTTTTGATATTATTTTAGCATTCTATCGGATCAAGCCTCCAAATCATCGTGAGCCGCGGTGGCTCGGTGCGTATATCCCGGACTCGGTCTCGGGTTCGCTCCCGGTGTTGGAAGAGAAAGTCCCTCCGGTTTTCCGCAATTTAGTGGTTCAAGACGGGGTTCCTGACAAGGAACACTGTCTAGTCGTTCTTATAGAGTGCACGTAAAAGAACCCTGGATGTTGGGATTTGAAATAAGAGTAGGCTGTAGCGCCGCTGTCCGTGAAAAATCGCCTCATACTGCACATTTCATGGCGTATTCCCGTCTTGATTAGCACAGTTGATGCTCAACGAGGGGACGTTAAACTTGATTTCATTTAATTTAAAGATAAATTATGGGAGAATAGATAGGCCCAAAGAGCAGACTAATGTAAAGAGAATTGCCTGAAAACTTCAGTTCCTTTCTGAACCGAGAATTTAGCGATTGAATTTGGGCCTAGCTTCGATCATCATTACTAAAGTCGGTACGAAAAACCCCCCAACATAATCTCGATTATCCATTTTTTCAGTGCCGGAGTGGTGGGCCAAAGGCCCACCTGTCAGGTCATTGACCAAGGCCCACACAAGTACCCGCCGAAGGCCTGTCACGAACGCGGTTGCGGTCCGAGGGGGGTCTTTGGGGCACTCCCCCCCCCCCAAGAAAATTTTGAAAATTGACACCCGCAAACCCATTTTCCAAGCATTTCTGACCAAAGCAGAAGAAGGCAAATGATTGATTTCCTGATACAATTAGATAACAGAATGACCTAAGAGCACTATCATTAGATGAATTTGGGAATTCTAGTACACTTCTTTTTTTGTGTTGTTTGTCATTTTTTTCCTATCTTTTCTTTCTCCTGTCCTCCCCTTCCTTCTTTCTTTTCTTTCCTCCCCCTCTCCTTCTTTCTCTTTTCCTTTTTCTTTTTTCTTTATAGGCTTAGGCTCACTTTTTTTTAAATGAGCTTAGGCCTACCTCTCACGGACAGGTGGACAGGTGGGCCCAGTCCGGCACTGCATTTTTTGATTTAATCATAATTAAGCGTTGAGCAGCAGATCAGATCCTAATCCAGTAAACATCGCAGGTTAGCGATGACATCGACAGTTGATTATGGTCTGGATAAGTTAATTAATGTCTTATTAATAATTTAGATAACATTTAAGGCCTAAGGAAAGACCTGCAATAGGCAGATTCAGCTCTTGCATAATGTATGTTAAATTTCAAAAACATCGGATAAGCCGCTTGCATTGATCTTATTAATCGCATTCCAAAGTTTGGTGTCATAACTAATTGGATAAAGGCCAAACGAATTTGGGTTGGTGAGTGTGTGTGTGTGTGTCGGGGGGGGGCGCTTTGCTTTAATTTTATATCTGAATTATCATTTACTGTTTCTCAATTCAATCTAAAATAAAATAAGATATCGTTTATAAACCAAAACAAACACACAAAATAACTTTGTTCTACTGGTGTATTTCTATATTACTCAAATCTTTTTATCTTTAGAGAAAACAAATAACCTATTACTTCTCTCAAAAATATCGAGAATAAATATTGCAAAAAAAAGAAGCTAAATCAATTGATAAGGCCAAATTAGGACAAATGCACGAAAAAGTAGCCTATTTATTCATATGACAAATATCTAGAATAATTTGCTTTTGTATGTAAAATATTTTAGTATGTTTGACAGAAAAATGTTGTCTGTCTAACGGGTAATCAAAAGGGCGAGATTTTACATGTCCCCAATGAGCCACCATTTAATAAACAGCGCCATCTGTTAGCATAATGTGCGTTAAAATTCTGACTCCCTTTTAACCCCTTATGATAAGTCATAATTCTAACTCTCATTATGGTAACAGGTGGCGCTGTTTATTATATGGTGGTCCATTGAGGACATGTGAAGTTTTGCCTTTTTATATAACCCCAAAACACGACATTTTTGCTTTCAAACATAGGTACAAAAGTAAGTCATTCTCCACAATTTTTAAAGAAAAATTAGGCTATTTTTTTCTCCAAAAGAAAAAATAAAGTATTTTACGTTCAAAAGTAAATTATTCTAGTTTTTATTGTGTTTGTTTTAGTTTATAAACAGGGGGTTGGATGGCCGAATGGTTAGCACGTGCGTGCTGTATCACAAGACCTGTCATTGAGTCAACTGGCATGGTTTCGAATCCCCAGTTGTACGTGACAAGGAGTAGGGTCGCCTGTCTAGCCTCGTGGGTTTTCTCCAGGTCCTCCGGTTACCTCCCACTGTTAAAGACCCCTATGCGCAAGCGAATTATTGAAATAAAATTAAACCATATGTTAGTCCCGAAATGACCTAGTTTGTGTCCAGTGGACGTTAAACCACATTTCTCACTCTCTTTTGGTTTATAAACAATAATTTATATTTTACAGAAGGTTAAATATTGAAAGGGTTTTCAGCTAAGCGGCCATAACCTAATTTGACCCACAAAGCTATGCGTGCGATTTTCGTACGATCAGGAGCTATAATCCAAAATGTTATGGTGAGATAAGTGCCAAAATCGAACCCCTATTTGTCTATACTACCCCATGGAAACATTAATGGGGGGTCACGGTGGCTAAGTAGGTATGACGCTGGATCGCTAGCCTGGAGATCGGGTGTTCGATCCCTACATTGGCCGAGAAAGTTCATCCAGATTTTCCGGCGCGGTTCCCCCTTGTCGGTGATGCAGGACAGGGGGCCTGACAAGGACAGCTGTCTAGTCGTTTGGATGGAACAAAAAAACGAGGTCCGGTGTACACATTGGAGTACACGTAAAAGATTCATTGACAGTTGAAATTCGATATAAGAGTAGACCGTAGTGCCGCTGTCCGAGCAAAATTTCCCTCATAGAACACTGTATGGCGTATGCCCGTCTTCATTAGCCCAGTTCGGAGCAGAACAGTAGGACGTTAAACTCCATTTCATTTCATTTGGAAACATTAAAATATAAGAGGTAGTGGTGGTGACAATAACCTCGGAACCCCTCAACGGGAGCATAATATGGGACTTTGATGAGAGAGTGTAAACAATGTAGAACTTTACCAATTTTAAATTCGTTTAGTTATGAACCTATAGAATGGGGTCAATAAGGGTGGTGAATCGTTCGCCCAATCCCCAAAAGTCTTCCTACATCCTAACACAAAACCGGTGAATTAAATAAAGTTTAACGTCCTGCTGTTACGCACCGACTGTGCTAATAAAGACGGGCATACATCATGAAGTGTGCAATTTCTGGGGATTTTGTACGGACAGGGGCGCGATGGCCTAGTCTTGGTGCACGCCATCGCGTTTTCGTCCCATTAAGACACTGTTTCTTGTCAGGCACTGACGGGTGGAAAGCACGCCGGAAAACCCGGGACCTCCTGGTCAGTAACTTACTCACCAAGACACCGCGGCTCCCAATGATTTGGAAGCCTGACCCGATATAGATTACTTCAATGATATCATAAATACTTTATTTGTGTGCGTAAAATAGTTCATAATTTTAAGGGGAAGAGATAAGCTAAACTAAGCATGACCGATTTATATTTATGTATTCAATTTCATGCATGACGAAATGAGTTCTTGCTATAATATTATTCTTTTAGAAAACAAATAGGCCAAAACAATCGACAGTGCATTGTTTGTGAAAATGCACGATAAAATAGCCTATTTATTTATCGCAAATGGTTTAGAATAGTTTGCTTTTGTACGTAAAATATTTTTATATTTGACGAAAAATGTCGTCATGTCTGTCTGGTCAATTGTTCATGTTCCCAATGCGCCACCATACAATTGTAAACAGCGCCGTCTGTTACCAAAATGAACTTAGAATTATGGCGCCTTTACCGCGAAACATTTCTAAAATGTCAAAATGTTAACGAAGCTAAACTGCCTACAATAATTTAAAAGTAATAATGGAAATAGAACAAAATACAAATTCTAACTGCAATATTTAAAAAATAAGTCATATAAATTAGCATTTTTACATGTGTAAATAGCCAATTTAACATGTGTTAGTAAGAAGTTACATGCATAGAAGTAAGCATATTAGCATACGCATAACTAGGTTAGGAGTTAGAATTATGGGGGAAATTCCGCTCCATAGCCTAGTGTCGTGCTTCGAGCTGTATCTGGCCAGACACCTCTGGCTTCGTTTAGATCTCTGGTGTGAGCGTATGTGTCTTGGGTTTACCCTTGTTACCTCCCACAGGTAAGACCTTTGCATGTGCGCTCAGATAATAAAAATCAGACAACTTGTCTGCAATATCACCCTCAGTGGAAGCGTACATATGTCAAACACTAACAGCAGATAACCCCAATCATAATTCAGATTTTTGTATGTCAAATCACGGAATTATCCTTTGATTTACCATAACACTTAGGATGATATCTAAACAGAGAATAGGTGAGATTATGGATTAGGAGAAGTTGGAAATATTAGTTCAACGATTTTTGGTTGGGAATAGTCTTTCTATAGTAATATTTCAAACGCCCCAGACAAAAAATAAAATTTGGAAATACATATATCGTTATCTTCATACTGAGCCTTATATTACATAGCTAGGAATTTCTATTGTCAGTGAAGGAAAACTGCTCCACACAAAACAGAAATCTATACTATAGACCTAGTAAAAGTACATTTACTAACATAACTTACTGCACAAGGGAGGCAATTAAATTCACACACTAAAAGCAGCTATGGAGGCAGACCACGATTAATTTCCCATTGACTTCAATGTTAATTCTGGCCAATTTGCCCACCTCCAACTTTTCCCCAAATTTTCGATGGGCTGAATGCTTTTCACTACAGACAGAGGAACAAATGGTCATTTCTTTGCACTAAAAATTTCATGAGGTTGCCCACCAAAATATTGAGATACACAAGCTTAAAGAAGCATACTAAAAACTTGTAACTAGTAGCTGTACATATCGCCCTAGCCAACCTGATAACCCTGTTATCCTTACGCCTCAAAATCATGAATATTTACCAAAACCTTGCAGAAAATGTGAATTCAATCCCTGTTCGTCCATTCTAGACTAAAAAATCAACAATAAAGGGCATGCAAAAGGGGAGAAAAGCGAGAGAACTGCTATAAGTAGACAAACTACAATTTGTGGGTACCGAGATGGTGAAATTTAATGGTGGTCTGCCTCCCATATGGTGTCCAAAATAACAACCCATTAAATAATTATCAGAAATAATTCAGGGGCAAACTCCAGTGGGTGGGGGTAAAACCCTTATGAGAGAGAGAGAGAGAGATGGAGTTTAACGTCCACTCGACACAGACTAGGTCATTTCGGGACTAACATGGTTATAATTTTATTTCAATAATTTGCTTGCGCATAGGGGTCTTTAGCAGTGGGAGGAAACCGGAGGACCCGGAGAAAACCCACGAGGTTGGACAGGCAACCCTACTCCTTGTCACGTACAAACGGGGATTCAAAACCAAGGCAGTTGACTCAATGACAGACCTTATGATACAGCGCGCGCGTGCTAACCATTCAGCCGTCCAACCCCCCTCAAACCCTTATGAGAAAAGTGTCACAGTCGTGTGCTTTATCCTTAAATGGGATGGGATGGGCATTCCAAGTGCTTTCCATCAATGAAATTGAAACACAATGTGATTGTATCAATCCATAATAAAAATTGATGTCAAACAGGGTGTTGGCTTTCCCTCCTTAAAAAAGCTCATTGTATGCTTCTTCAGTTCTGGGTCTTAATTTCCAATAATCTTTGTATAAAATCCAATTTCAACCCAATTAATGCATTCAATCTTTATTAGGCAAAGAAATATAAATAATATACACAACAACCTGTAGTGATTTTTAAATATCTGTTTATAGAAGCATCACTTAAAAACAATTTCTGCACAAATTACCTTTTTTTGTTGCTCCAATTTCAAAGTGAGTTACTTTTCACAGAAAGTCTATTTAATATTATACAGTTTTTTTTATAATACAATTGTACATATACACTGAGCCATTCTTTATACACTAAAAACAGTGCCATAAATTGAACAGAGAAACACATATGGCCCTGTGGTTGCTACAATAAATCAAGTTCTAAAGGTAGTACAGGTTTTATTAATTGTAGAAACCTTATTTTTTATAAACATTTAAATTTAAATATCAACTGAAAATAACCATCCACATGCACATAATTTCCTTTTATTCCATTTCACAGTCACACCGTATCACATTTTCAGCTTCCTTAAGACACATCTGAAATAAACGGGAAAACAAACATTAAATTCCAGATAACCGAGCAGGAAAGACTTGGACTATGTATAATAATACATGCATACGCTATGAGGGAAATTTTGCCGGGACAGTGTCGCTACAATCCGCTGTTTATTTGGAATTCCAATTGTCAAGGGTTCTTTAACCTTGATTTCCATTCTATCCAAATGAGTAGACACTGCCCTTGCCATGCCCTCCACTATGCACCACTGACAAAGGGAAACCACGCCAGAAAATCCTGGGGAATATTCTCGGTGAACACCATAAGGAAACACAAACCGCCTGGTTAGCGAGCCAGCATCTTATTGAGCCACAGCGGCTTCAAAGACAAATGATTTAATGGCTACACCAACCTAGATGTTAGTATAATTTATGATTAAATTCCCTATTTCAAGTTTTTTTGTCGATTGTGACTAAGTATGAATAGGAAACATCACAAATGGGTAAACATACCATTGCAATGTACATGTACAGTTTTGTTTTTTGGCTTTTTTTTTTTTAAGACAAAAAGTTTCGTTCGTTTACTATTTTAATGACCATATCATGGGTTAGACTAGCTGGATACCTGGCTTCACCCAGTGCCCAAGATCTGTGACCTTGACCTTCATAAATCATAGCCTCAAACATTTACGGGGTCATGCTAGTTAATTTGATACTACAAATGTGGGGGTGGACCGTGGCGGTGACGAATTATCAAGGGCGAACATACAGACATCTTTGATTTTATTTACATAAAAGAAAAAAACAACAAATACTTACAACTCATTGGTGCATCACCAAATCTTTTCTGCAATTGGTCATGGTTAAATTTTAAAAATGCTTCATATTGCTCTGAAAATGAAAAATAATTGATTTTACAGAGTTTAATTGTTAAATAAGCTTACTTTTATATTTTTCTTGTTGCATTACAATTAATACAGGCAGTAATTTTAAAGATACCAGTAATGAAATATATATGATGCCATTGTACTGGTATAAATATAATGAATACCTGTGTCACAGTTGTGTAATTAGAAAGACATTGGTTATTAACAGATACTGACATGGCAGATTTTATAATAAAAAAAAAGATATAAGATGAACTGTAACAACAGTAGCTTTTCTAAAGTAATGATAGCAACTCAAAGTTGGCTGTCAACAATAACATGCTACATGTACAGCACAGTCTCAACATATTTCGAGTCATTCACTTTTTTGGTGATTTTGTAACTCTACAAATTCAGTTTTTAGTTTTTACTATTTTCAGACTGATTGGAGAGGTTATTTCCATACAGCAAGTTTATCTGTTGGGAATCTGAGGTAGGGTTACCTACACATACCCCTCCTTATATCTAACTTGGTGCGTGATTAGGCCTACACAGTGTATTTCTGACGTATCCACCTGGTCTGAAAATACTCTAAATTTTAACACAAGGTAAACTAAACAAAAGGACTCGTTGCCCATACAGAGTTTGCTCTGATATAGCACCTGACTGAACCGGCATCTTATCAGAACAGATTGAAAAGATAGGTCATTTACAATGGAATACAGACAAGATTTTTCAAAAAACGAAACTTGAGACTTCTTACTAATTATATAAATTTGAGGGAAGGGTATTTTCCCTTCCCCCCTTTGCCTTTTTAAGTTCTCAATAAATTTGAATAAATTGGAAAATTGATCCTGCCGATGAAAACAGAATTTATGTGCATCTGCAGAAGATTCTGATGCTGTGTAAACAATGGCTCACCTGCTAATTTGGAACTAAGAACACCATCATATTCTCCCTGGATCTGTTCTTCTCTATCTTTGATCATTCTATCACAAATCATGCTGACCTGTCGGAAAGTAAATAGTGGGATGTCTTTTTTACTTGGCGAAAGAGCCGAGAAAAGAGAAGTTGAACTTTGACTTGAACTTGGAGGACTATCCATTCCAGATAAATGTGTGTTTTCAGTGGAGAAAGAGCAGTGAGGAGGACTACTTCCACCTTGATAATGAAGCTGACGACGACGTTGCATTCTTTTTATTTCCATACTAATTCTGGCAGCTATTTGTTCTATAAAAAAAAAAAAAAGAAAAAAATTTCAAATTCAAAAATCAATGAGTAGGACTACAATACAATATTGCATGGTCTCGGAGCCATACTGATGCTGGTTTGTTTACAGTGATTGACAGAACAAGGTGAGTCAATTTGCTCAAATTTAAATAATGCAATAAAACTGACAGATTACATAAATTTCAAAATTGTCCTGGGGCATCAGTCCATAAATGCATGTTAAGTAAATTTCTAAGTGCTCTATCGCATGCCTTTGATAAAATAGTGCGCACTTCTGTAAAATGGAAATGAAACCATAAAATTATGGTCATGGATAACTAAAGGTCCACAGTCTCTTCTTGTTAGTTCAAAGCCAAAGGTAGACCCAGATTCAACAGTAAACTGTAAATAATTTATAAATCAGGTTTAACTTTAACCATGCATTATGGATAGTTAAACTTGCCCCTTTAAGACACCATTCTGAAACTTGTAATTGCATTTTAAACATACATTATGCACAAGCTAAATCTGCCTATTGCAGGTCTTTTTTTAGGCCTGAAATGTTTTCTAAATTATCAGTTAGACTGTTAGACATTAATTAACTTATCCAGGCCATAATCAACTCTCTGGATGGCATCGGATTTCTCCGATATTAAATAGATTAGAACAGTTCAGCCATATTTTGATTTAAGTAGGTGAAAATGGAGGATTGTGACTAAGCTTCGAACAACCAGTACGGTGGTTGAAATTATTGCACACGTCTTTTCAAACCTTCAAAGGCTAAATTTGAATGAAATTTTGAAATTATTCATTTTACATTATTTTCGAACTATTATAGCAAGAATGGCTAGCTCTTTATCTAAATCTTTCATAATGTATCTTTAACTACTTTCAGTATTTTATGTAAAGGTAACCACCAGACAAGAATCCCTTTTATTTGAGTGGATGCTACATGTTTAGTCATTACATGTATCTATTATTCGGAAAACCTTTGGCGGGGATTATATTATATTAACCTTGCCAACAGCTGTAAATCTGTAATCATGACTATGTAGACCGACTATTGGGGCCAATCTAGCTGCAATTGTATCGGGTGCACTTGTCTTGTTTGCACTATCCGAGGCTTTGCAAATATCTCGACATATCAAAAGTTTGTAACTGTATGGAAGTAAGTAATTATTTCACAAATTGAAGAGTGGAACACAGAAATCTTAATATCTTACAGAATAGTTTTCCTATATTTTCGAGGGGACGTGAAATCGTGTATTTAATTCAGGTTAGACGGCCATTTTAAAAATGTCAGAAATCTCATACATGTAGCCGTTGGGTTTTATTAATTTATGAATTTATGTGATGGTAAGGTTCTGAACACCTTTATTTCAGTGGGAATTTGTTTATCATACCGGTATGTTAAGTGCAGTACATTTTGGAGAGAGAGTGAGATGGGGTTCAATGTCCACCGACACAAACTAGGTCATTTGGGGACTAACATGGTTTTTAATGTTTCATTTCAATATTTTGCTTGCGCATAGGGGTCTTCAGCAGTGGGAGGAAACCGGAGGACCTGGAGAAAACCCACGAGGTTGGACAGGCGACCCTACTCCTTGTCACAGGACCAGAGGTCGCAGTCACACAAAAATCCACGTATTTCACACATTTTTTTCAAAATAAACGCAAATATTGACGGACGCTGCGTAATTTACACGCAGAAAATTTCCCCGACGTGAGAATAATTAGATTATTCTATGTCTTAGTTTGTACAATTTATGTGCTTCACTCGGCATTTACACACCTCTACTGCACGTAGTCTCCGTAGTTTTTTCTATTTCCTCTTATTTCATTCACAAGTTCATGGCAGTAAGCCTACGTAGCTATCCTATTGGAAGCAATAAAGTGCATTTCATACAAGACTTGGGATTGGCTAGAACAAGATATACTGTTTACATTCAGCCAATCAAATGTTGGCTTTCATAGCAATAGTTTTCTCTTTACGTCCTGTCGAAGTGAAAGATTGAAATGACTGTGCCGTCAACCATAGACCTGCCGTTATATATAACCTCCAGTCGTCATTAGACTAAATACAGTAGGCATATCAATGAAATAAGGGCCATTAAAATAGGGTTGTTCACAAAACGACTTTACATGCTTCTATATGAAGTATTTTGAGAGCTCTTCACGCAGATGTGGAGGGCAAAAACGCAAAATTTTGGAATGTCTGCGTATTTTTACGCCACTCGAAATTGATCCACTGCGACCTCTGCACGGTACATTTTGGGTCAGTGTGATTGTTAATTATAAATGAAGTTATTAGGCCAGTAACATTTGCCATCAAATAATAGACGTGACAAGCACAGGCCACCAGAACCTGAAATGAGTTTCATAATATTAACGGCGGATCAATTCAAATAAATCTTGTTTGTGATTTTGGATCGCTAAATTTGACATGAAAATAGTGTTGGATTATTATAAATTTGTGTTCGAGGTTTCAAGAAATGATTCCTTTTGGCGAACAAAGAAGAATCACGGTGACAAATAGAAGATAAGGATTCCAAAACAGCCCTAGAAGAAGCAGAACTGATGTGGGGAGAAAAACTTTATTTTTCATTGTCTATTATTTATAGCATCATCAGCCAGTAACGGATAGCGGATAGAGTTGATAAGAATCCGTTACTAAACTAGGCCTGGACTTGCTTTCTGTCACATTTTAGTCTTTACACTTTCAGCACTGGCAGCATACTAGTGTTTTGTTTATTTTTCGTGATAATTCCCTCCTGTCGTACGACACTAGGTCAGGTGTTTCGTGGTGTAGGCCTACCTGTGCGCTTGATTTTACTGTTACAATTTGATCTTTTCATTAGCAATGCGTACCTGATGTCAATTTCGGGGATGCCTCTGAAAAAGCGGATCGCTTCGGGGTCTTTGTTGGTGGTGTTGATGGCGATAATGTCATCGGCATACATCTTCTCCGCTTCGGTGTTCCTTGAGATGGACTGTGCAATGGGTCAAATTCATGACTGCGCTTCATCGTTGCGCCACAAGCCATTTTGGCCCTTTATGGAGATTAGGCCTTGCTTAGTTTTAAAGATGCCCTGCACAAAAACACTTCTGTCGACGATTACTTCTGACCTGAAGAAAAGTCTGATTTAAAGCCCCGACTAAACTCGTGCAATATCCTTTCCTCTTTTGGGCCAGACTAAAAATATTCACTTGAAATAGAAAATGAGTATTCCTTATTTTTCAATATCAATAAATGAAATTCTAATTTTCAGCATGAAATTCGATGACTGAGGATTAGGTTTTCTCCCTGTTAAGACGTCCTCATAAAATTCCTTCAAAATGGCCGTTGTTTTCTGCAATCTCGTTTTGAAATCTATTGGGTGTACTTGGTTGAGACCTCAAATATAATTTCGCACAGTCCCGGTTGGTGGCGCTGTTAACGATAACCAATCACTGATGTCCCAGACGAATAAACACCCCATTCTATCTTTTGGGGAACAAAGACGATGCGGGGAGCGTGTCCACTAATTTACTGAGGGGAAACAATACAATAGAATTGGCTCTTCCACGACCCATTCCATGATATGTCCTCATTCTTTATTTCTTTGTTAATAATTCACAATAAATTCACCAAAATAAAACCCCAAACAGAACTTTAAAGTAAGCCTACGAATATACAATAACATAATTACTTTTAGATTGCATTTGAATTTATTAATTTAATAGCTTGGGGATGCGGGGCATTACATTATAGTAAAATTTTAAATAGTCAAAGATCTAAACGTTCTATTCAGATTTATAGGAATTTATAGACATGTAATTTCAAACGTATCTCACATATTCAAATGTATATAACTCTTTTCGGGGACTTCGCTCCCTTGACACAGTAAGGGTCCTTCTAGTGATAGCTAGGAATATATTTGTAAACAGTTTTAACAGAAAATCGGGGACAGAAATGAAAACAGTTATTACTGTATAGAGATTCAAACCTGAAACTACGACCCGGTGTTTCATTTATCATTAAATAGGAAATCCTGCTACACGTAGTTTTGATTTCTTACCGATGTGTGGAAACCTATCATTCCCGGCAGAGCGATAAAAGAAAAGAACGATCCCTGAGCGGACCAAGCCAAATAAATTTATTCTAGCACCTTGAAACTTTTTATATATAAATTTATATACTTTTACGTTTTTTATTTAATAAAAAACTGTGCTTTTATACTAACAGTTTATAACATAAGTTAATTGTAAATTCTTGGTGTCACAACAGGTCGAGAAAAGGTAAGTAAATAAAAGAACAATTAAACTTCTTTTAAGATTGACATTTTGTTTTCCAAACGATCGAACCTTTATTGAGTCTTAATTAAAGGCTCAATACCACTCTTGTTGTAACTGAATAATATGTTCCAATCTTTATTCTGGTCAACAAATTGTACTATTTTACAATATTCCAATTAATTGATGATAAAAATTTCATCTTAACACACCTAATTTAAAAAAAAATTGGAAAAATTCAACTAAATGATTTGAAAAGCCTGACGTAAAGCTTTTCAAATGTGACATGGATTTAAAAATATTTTTGAACCCTCTGGACAAGTAAAATATGATTTAATGGATAATTTACACAACAGGTAAGACACTAACACATCTAGTACTTAGAATAAGGCTATTTTTTATTTTCTGGAGCTGTCAAGCCAGTAAGAGTGTTATTGTCTCTTTAAAAGCTTAAAAAAAATCCAGAAAAAAAACCTCCCCTGACTGCACCGACAGTCCTGAAAGTTGAACAATCGTAGTTTTAAGAGAACCCCAATCAAGAATATATAAATGAAGAATATAAGGGTTATTTCAAAATTATATTGCAAGAATCGACAAAAAAAAGTAGTGAACGTATTAATCCCAATAGTCAAATCCCCCCCCCCCCCCCCAAACAAAAAAAAAACAAACAACAAAAAAACCTAAAGAAATCAGCCGAAAAGAGGGGCGCGCAACACTGTATAGAACTAAAACCCCGCACTTCTGTATCCGTGTCTGTGTGTGCAATTTATTTTGATGCCATCATAAGGTGTACTATCTAGACTGCAGAATACGTGGTTTTTGTTTTTTATGTATTTTTTTTTTTATAAAATAAGATGAGAATTGGAATTATTATCACTGTTATAAACAAGTATGGCATTTGAATGGCCGCTAACAGCCACCATAAACGAGTGCTTGACAGCGGTTTGCCTATGCATTGGTCCAATCTGTTTCACACAGTTAATGCGACAGCCTTAGCCATGCGACCATTCGCAAAATTTGCAGGTGGCGGTTACTGAAATTACCGAGGAAATCCGAGTGCAACGAAGTTTGGCTTGCTACAAGCAAGTATAAATCGGCTGACCCGAGGGAAGTGTGAACGTTTTATCGAGAAGCTCTAGCAAGAATATACCAAAAATGTCTTCAACTTCAAGTGAAGTTGTGATTGTGTCAGCAGCAAGGACGCCTATTGGTAAATAATTCATTACAATCTGTTGAAACTGTGTTTTTTTTATATATATATATATATACAAATTACATGTAGTGTGTTAGATAACAAACTTTTTGATTTTTATGTTCGACTTTCGATTTTTTTGTGCCTAAATAAAAAAATTATTTTTGTGTTATATTTTATACGGTAACTTAGATTCTAATATATATGATTTTTGAATTTTTATGAAGAATGAATCGGTTTTTAAATTTTTATTTATTTATTTGGTTGATATTGTGGCAAGCAATACTGGATGTTAATCAATCAAGCCGGGTCAGACCATAAAACCATGTATATATACTATTTATAGATCGATGGTCTGAGGGAAAGCAACTATATGATTGGCTAGCGACAATAGCACCGAAATGAGGTGGGGGACTAAGTTGTAATTGCTTTTGTCCTTTACAAAAACCAGAATGAATAATTTAGTTTAATCTTTTAGTTTATTGAAAAACAAATCTAATTTTTTTAAGGTCTTTTATTATTTAATCATGCCTAGTAGTGCGGGGCCAATTAATCATATGTATGATCATATGTAAGTTTGTAACATAGTCATTCGGATAGGTCATTAGCAGATTAACTTCCATTTTTTATTTTAAGCTAGTATGGATCAGACTAAAGAGAATAAATAATGATCAAGCAAATATCAGGGATGAAATAATACATCCACTGACTAGACCAATTAAATAAACCTTTTGATTTTAAGTTACGGTACCAAACTGGATGGCAACTGATAGACCTACCTCACAATATGTCCCAATCTTATTAAGAAGGTTTTGTGTAGGACAAATCATTGAAGAAATAAACCAAAAAAAGTGTCACACTTTGTAAAACATGAAATCTGCACAATTAAGCACATCCGGCCTTATAGGAGCTGTCGTAGGGTCTAGACCTAGGTCTAGACCTATTTCACAAATCGAATGGGCAATCTATAAACATCACACTTTCGAAAAACATGTCGTCTGCACAATTAAGCATGTTCAGCCTTTGGAGCTGCTGACCAACTTCTCTTAGGAAGATATTTTGTGGCTCCCCAGATTTACTTCATTGGGTCTCAGATTCACTCCCGGTCTTGGCTGAGAAACCGAAGTACCGTGTAGAAGGTGGTGTGCACGTAAAAGAGCAATTGACAGTTGGAATTCGAATAAGAATAGGCCATAGCGCCACTCTCTTGGCAAAATTTCCCTCGTATATTTAGCAAAATGTATGGCATGACCCAGTTTGACTGGTCGATACTCATTCTCTAATTGAGTGAGAGTTATGAAACTGTGTAGTTTCACTATTGACCACGTTCAATAATAAGCATTTTCTGCTTTAAAGGCATGTGTGTGTGTGTGGGGGGTAACATCCACTCGACACAAACTAGGTCATTTCAGGACTAACATATAGTCAATTTTATTTCAATAATTTGCTTGTGCATATGGGTCTTTAGCAGTAGGAGAAAACCGGAGGACCCGGAGAAAGCCCCCAAGGTTTGACAGACAACCCTACTCCTTGTCACGTACAACCAGGGAATCAAAACCACGCCAGTTGACTCACGGACAGCCCCCATAATACAACACGAATGCGCTAACCATTCGGTCATCCTACCCCACAATTCTGCTTTAAGGCTAAGTATGATTGCTTGATGCTTTACAAAGAGACAAATGTGCAATTAATTCAACACCTATTTATTTTGGGATTGAGATGCGCTAACAGTTGAATTTATCTTTTAGGATCATTTAATGGTGTTTTGTCGTCCATACCAGCACATGAGCTGGGTGTAGTATGTATAAAAGAAGTGTTGAAGAGAGGCAGTGTGAAACCTGAAGAAGTATCAGAAGTTATATTAGGCCATGTTCTTACAGCAGGTAATTAAATATATTACATTTTATCATCTCTTGCACATGGCACTGGTCAGAATATTTACAATGTTTTTGAATGGGTCTAGTACAGCATTCACCACTGAGTTTGATTTTACTCAAAGCAAGTCAAATATATTTGGATTTGTGGAGTCCACTATTCAACTCAATCTATTGGTGGTACTAAAATATGGATTTTTATCTTCTAGAGATTTCAACCTATAATATGTCCTAAGGGAATGTGTTCCCGAACCATTTGGTTAAGAATTCTAGTGCTTAACCAAAGTATATGCATATGATTTGTATCCAAAGCTACCCCTGCATAATTTTTTACAGCATTTGATAAATTGATAATGAAGATAGCATAGTAAGAATTGTGCAGTTCTATTCAAATTTTGTTAAAGGACCATGAAGCAATGGAGTATTTGTCTATTAAATTAATAGATAATCAACAAAATAGTTTTCCAGTACGACTGTGGCTGTAGTCCTGCTAAACTATTGAGAGAGCCGAGTTTTTGAATTTAAATATTAAATACTTTAGAAAATTGCAAACGCAGGCCATAATTTTGTATCTTCCAAGAAAGTTAATATATTATGGAATACATTTTTTTGGATAAGGTTGAGCTTCAACTGAACAAAATAGATTGTAGTAAAATGGAATTGATGTCCAACTATCGGCTTGTACTCCTTTAATTTTCACAAAATCAGAAATGGATATAAATAATTGTTTTCTTTTTAGGACAAGGTCAAAATCCAGCCAGACAAGCAAGCATTAATTCTGCAATTCCTGCTGCTGTACCAGCATGTAGTGTTAATATGTTATGTGGATCTGGTTTAAGGGCTGTTGTATTAGCTTCACAAGCTATTAAAACTGGTGATGCAGCTGTTGTTGTTGCTGGTGGCATGGAAAGTATGAGCAAGGTAATAAAATGGGGTTTAACATCCTACTGTTCTGCTCCGACTGGGCTGATGAAGACGACCATACACCATAAATTGCGCAATAAGAAAAATTTTGCCTGGGCAGCGGCACTTTGGCCTAATCTTATATCAAATTCCAACATCCAAGGGATCTTTTATGTGCACGCCAGTGTATACACGGGACCTCGGTTTTTTAACCCATCCGAACGACTAGAAAGCTGTCCATGTCAGGTCCCCTGTCCTGCACCACGGGCAAGGTAATAAAACAGATTATGTATGTGAATAACAATATTTGGTGTGGCACATCTGAATAAGAATAACTTGTGCTGGTAGATCTGAATAAGTATATGTAGAGCAACACTGCTTCAAATACATTTTTTCTTTTTTTGATTGTTATTGTGCTGAGATTGTGAAGGTTGCCGAAAGATATTGCCATTATACACCGGACCCAACATTTTCAGTATTAATTATGTCTGCTAGCAAGTAATTCAGGCTTATTTTCTTTCAGGCTCCACATTGTTTAAATTTACGACCTGGACATAAAATGGGTGACGCTAGTCTTGTTGATACAATGATAAAGGATGGTTTGACAGATGCTTTCAATAATTATCACATGGGTATCACAGGTAGATAGTTTCTTTATCTTCTCAAATCATTTACCCAAGCCTGGAAATAAGGCACCTGTCATAGACAATGTCAGGCACAGATACAGACTTTGTCAGGCACTAAACCTCTGGTACCTGTCATTTTGTCCGGCACCGATTTGTGTTTTTTATTGATATTATTTATACATGTTCGGCACTAAGTTAAAAATGTCAGGTACTATTTCATTAGTCCCTGAAATCTAAAACTGTTATTTCCAGGCCTGCATTTACCGTAATTATCAGTGGATTAGGTGCAGTTATTTAGACTTTGATGTCGGCACGGGGAATAGCTCAGATTTACTCAGCATTTTGCATTAGCTACACCCCTTCTAGAAATTAAAATATTTGGTACAGATAAATACGGTATATTAATACATACATTACATAGTTTGCTAATTGCTATACAAGATGTTTAGAACAAAGAGTTATGTGAAATATAAATAAAATAAAATGGGTGTTTAATGTTCTGCACCATTTGTGCTGTGTACTTTGGTCGAAATTTTACATGGACAGCAGTGTTTTCACTTACTTCTTATCAAATTCCAACTGCCTGAGTTTTTTTTTTTACGTGCAGTGAGTACATGGATTGACCTCGTTTGTTTTGTCCAATCCAAACGACAAGAGGTTGTTGTTTTGCACCCCTGACATGAGGAACCAGGCTGGAAAATATGCAAAAATAAAAATGGTGCTTAAAACGGATGTAACTCTTCGTTATTCTAAACATGAGAATCTTTTTATCAAATATATTGTCTCAAATGTAAATTATTTTTTTGTTACAGCTGAAAATGTAGCTAAACAGTGGAATATATCTAGAGAACAGCAGGATGAATTCTCATTAAAATCCCAATTGAAATGTGAAACAGCACAGAAGGCTGGAAATTTTGATGAAGAAATTGTTCCTGTAACTATTAAATCAAGATCAGGTAGGATAACTTATACCCTTAATTATTGACAAGTCATAAAATGATGTTACTATTAATGCTGCTTTTTATACGCCCACATTTTTATGTGGATGTACATTGTCGTGTCGTACCGTCTGTCCGTCCACAATTTGTTTGTGGACCCTCTACAGGTCACAATTTTTATCAACATTTGAAATATAGGTCTATCGCCCAAAGATCTTGGTTCCTTTGATATTGGCATGTATCGGACCATAACTTCATGGATTATGGCCCCTGATTGTACGAAAAATCACGTTTTTAGCTTCTGAACACTCTAGAGGTCACAATTTTCCTTTGGTTTTGATTAAAAATTAAACGCATGTTTATAACCCAAAGATCTTGCTTCCTTTCTAAATTCCCGCTTATTGGATTGTAACTTTCTGATTTATGGCCCCTGATTGTACGAAAAATCATGTTTTTAGCTTGTGGTACCTCTAGAGGTCACGATTATTATCCAATTTAAATAAACGTTAGAATATATCACTGTTACACCGTAATGTCGGTTGAGTTTGAATTTTGTGAAAATCGGACCAAAACTACCTAACAAAATGGCCATCCCTAGTATGCAAATAATGTAAAAATATGGTATATCAAGGTTTTGGACCCTCTAGAAGTCAAAATTTGATTCGAGTTTGATGAAACTTGAATTACATGTTTATAACTCAAAGATCTTGGTTCCTTTTGATATTCGCGGATATCAGATCGTAAGTTTCTGAATTATGGCCCTTGATTCTCTCATAAATACCATTCTGAGTGAAAGTTTATAAATATATGGTTATTGTTTTTTATCAACAGGAAGCGAAGAAGTTAAAAAAGATGAATTTCCCAGGTCGGGAAGTGCCATAGAAAATTTCACCAAATTAAAACCATGCTTTATTCGAGATGGCTCAGGCACGGTTACACCAGGCAATGCATCAGGTATGTCATACTCTGAAACCCATCATATCATATTTATTTTATACACCCACATTTAAAGAGATGTTGTCACTCCTTTTGGTCCACAATTGTTTGTGACTTTAGTAGAATCTACATTTTTCACCAAACTTTTATTATGCTTTATCACCATATTTTAAATTAATTTTTTATATGGTATTTAAGTGAAACCTTGTACAAGGTACAAACTGTTTTATCAATTCTACAAGTTCTCTGATGTGTTTGAATCTGAATGTAGGAGCTGCAATGGTTCAGTGAGTAAGATGGTGGCTCGCTAACCTGCAGGTCCTGTGTTCGATCCCAGAACTGGTTGAGAAAGTTCATTGGGATATTCTGTCAGTGGTGTAGGACGGAGGGCCTGGCAAGTCGTTCGGATGGTACGAAAAACCGAGGTCTCATGTACGCATTTGCATGCACATAAAAAAAAACCTTGAAACTTTGAATTTGAAAAAAAAGTAGGCTGATGTGCCGCTATCACTAATCAGGACAAAATTTCTCTTAGAGCACACTCATTTCAAGGCTGAATGTGATTTGTCAGTTATTGGTAATGCTAATTGTTTTGTTATCCCCTCCCATTTCAAATAAATTTAAAATTTTTATGATATGTTTCTAGGTATTAATGATGGGGCTGCAGCACTACTAATGATGAGTAAAACAGAAGCAGCAGCTAGAAAACTAACACCATTAGCTAAAATAGTATCATGGGCCCAGGCAGGAGTGGATCCAGCTGTCATGGGAACTGGTCCTATACCAGCCACCCAAAAAGCTGTGAGTTAATAATTTGATTGGGTTTTTTTACCAATAAATGTGGATAAATTATCTCTATAGATACCCATCTTTAATTCATTTGTAAATTAAACTGCAATTTGAACACAAATTAGAGATATTTATCGGTATCTACATTATTTAGAAGATATACAAAGTACGTTTCAAAAGTACTTTGACTTAAACATGCATTATGCAAGAGCTAAATCTGCCTATTGCAGGTATTACTTCAGGCCTAAAATGTTATATAAAGTAATTAGACATTAATTATCTTATACGAACCATAATCAACTCTTGATGTCATCTTATGTGTTGGATTTTCACTGGATTTGAATCCAATCTGCTGCTCAACGCTCATTGATGATTTATTGTCAAAATGCATAATCAAGACTATGTTTTTTATCGTACCAACTTTAGTAATATATTGAGGCTAGGCTTAAAATTCAAAAGCAAATATCTCGGTTCAGAGTGGAGCAATTTGACTGAAATTTTCGACATATTCTATTTACATTATCTATTTTTTTTAACTATTATAACAAGAACAGCCAACTCTTTATCTAATCTCCCATAATGCCTCTTTAAGTAGTGGGGGGTTGGATGGCCGAATGGTTAGTGTGTGCACGCTGTATCATAAGGCCTGTCATTGAGTCAACTGGCGTGGTTTCAATTCCCCGGTTGTACGTGACAAGGAGTAGGGTCGTCTGTCCAAACTCGTGGGTTTTCTCCGGGTCATCTAGTTTTCCCCCACTGCTAACGATCCCTAATCGCAAGCGAATTAATGAAATAAAATTAAACCATATGTTAGTCCCGAAATGACCTAGTTTGTGTCGAGTGGACGTTAAACCCCATTTCTCTCTTTCTCTCTTTAAGTAGTACTTCCAATTTGAGAAAAATTCAAAATTTCAAATGAAAATGAAGATGATTATTGATATTTAGTATGATATATATTACAGTTAGAGAAGGCTGGTTGGTCTGTAGGTGATGTTGATTTATTTGAATTAAATGAAGCGTTTGCTGCTCAATCAATAGCTGTAGTTCACGATTTAGGATGCGATATATCCAAGGTTAGTACATGTTTTTAACAAAGTCCTGTGTACACATTGACATGCACGTAAAAGATCCCCTGCCAGTTGGAATTCAATATAATTTGAGATAAGAATAGGGTGTAGCGCCGCTGTCTGGGCAAAATTTCCCTCATGGCACACTGTATGGCATATGCCCGTCTTCATTAGCCCAGCCTGAACATTAAACCCCATTTTATTAATACGAAGGCCAAAATAAATTGCTTTGAAATATGGACTGAATGCAAGTATCAATTAAAAATCATTACCAGTTTTATTGGTTTTTTTAAAAAAAAATATTACATTCATGATGATAAACATATAAAGAAAGCTTGAAATGTATGACATATGATTACAGAACTGATTGCCGATTCTGATAACAGAGCGACTGTAGGGCACTCATTATAACTCATGATTCTTGAAGCTCTAGCGCTGAGTTGAAAAGGCATCCTCAGACTTAAGTTGAGAATTTACTCACAATTGTTCGCCTTATGTTAACTAAAATATAGCCATTTATAAAAAATTTATTGTTTTAATGTATCAAATACATCAATAAGAAACTATGTGCAAAGTTTTGTGTTTCTGGATCAAAGATATTTCTCATAAACAGTGATTGAAAGTTAAGTAAATTCGTAAACTTAAGTCTGAGAATGATTTGTGAACTCGGAAGCCAGATCCTTTGTAAACCTTAATTTATTTTTGTCCCCCGCCTTTCGAAGAAAGCAGGGGACTATTAAAATGGGTTCGTCTGTCTGTCCGTCCGTCCGTCCGTCCGTCCGTCCGTCCGTCCGTCCGTCCGTCCGTCCGTCCGTCCGTCCGTCCGTCCGTCCGTCCGTCCGTCCGTCCGTCACACTTTTTGGGACACAATAACTCTCTTCCTAATTGAGCTAGAATGTTCAAACTTGGTGTATGTGTTTATTAGGTCAATGCCTTGATGGAGTTCGAAGATGAGCATTTTCCGCTTAGGGTAAGCAGAGATAAGCAATTTGATTGGTTGATGCTTTGGGACACGATAACTCTCTTCCTAATTGGGCTAGAATGTTCAAACTTGGTGTATGTGTTGATTAGGTCAATGCCTTGATGGAGTTCGAAGATGAGCATTTTCCGCTTAGGGTAAGCAGAGATAAGCAATTTGATTGGTTGATGCTTTGGGACACGATAACTTTTAATTGAGCTAGAATGTTCAAACTTGGTGTATGTGTTTATTAGGTCAATGCCTTGATGGAGTTCGAAGATGAGCATTTTCCGCTTAGGGTAAGCAGAGATAAGCAATTTGATTGGTTGATACTTTGGGGCACGATAACTCTCTTCCTAATTGAGCTAGAATGTTCAAACTTGGTGTATGTGTTGATTAGGTCAATGCCTTGATGGAGTTCGAAGATGAGCATTTTCCGCTTAGGGTAAGCAGAGATAAGCAATTTGATTGGTTGATGCTTTGGGACACGATAACTTTAGTTCTAATTAAGTGAGATTGATGAAACTTGGTGTATAGATTTATTATATGAATACCTTAACTAAGTTCGATAATGAACATTTTTTGCTGAGGGTAAGCAGAGTGATAAGCAATTTGATTGGTAGAAACTTTGGAACACAATAACTCTCCTTCTAATTGAGGTAGAATGTTCAAACTTGGCATAGGTGTCTATTAGGTGAATGTTTAAACTTGATGTATATGTAGATGTTCATTAGGTGAATGTCTTGACTGAGTTCAATAATTAACATTTCGAGCTGAAGCTAAGCAGAGCTAATCGATTTCATTTGTCGATGGTTTGGGACAAGATAATCTTGATTCTATCTGATAGAGAGTGATGAAACTTAGTGAAAAAAATAAATGTGCGATTAATTAATATGTGTCATCTATTTATTTTGCAATTTCGGCGGGGGACATCAGCCTCACTGTTGGCTTGTTTTTATTATTGTAGGTAAATGTAAATGGTGGGGCTATTGCTCTTGGTCATCCTATTGGTGCATCCGGTGCTAGAATACTCGTCACATTAATACATGCTTTAAAAAGAACCGGTGGAAAAAAGGGTGTGGCAGCTTTGTGTGTGGGCGGGGGTATGGGTATTGCTGTTTGTATTGAAATGTTATGAAAGGTGTTGATATAGTTACAAAACTTGGGAACATTTTCCATGAAACTTGTTAATGTTTAATGGAATCATAACATTATAAAAGGAATAATTTATTTGAAGGTAATGTATTTGTTAAATGTATGGGTTTAATATATTGAGATCAAGTACAGGAGAATATTGTTTTCATCTTTGCATTTCATTGGGAACAAAAGGGGAATTTTTTATTTTGGGGGAACCATTTAAGTTGTATTTATATATATTATATAATTTGTATCCAGATATTTCATTTAAGATGTTATCTTTATTTCCTTATGTTTATGTATTGTTACATTTGTAATAAAACAATGGTACCAGATTTTATATTATGTTATTCTCTGAGTACCAATCGATAGCTAGATTGTATGATGCTTACGGCTGGCCCCTGGATCTATTCACTTGATTTGATATTTGTTGTTTATTTCTTGTAATGCCTTTGTAGTTTGTCTTGTCTGCAGGTTTGTCTTGTCTGTGTACGTGACAAGGAGTAGGGTCGCCTGTCCAACCTCGTGGGTTTTCTCCAGGTCCTCCGGTTTCCTCCCACTGCTAAAGACCCCTACGCGCAAGCGAATTATTGAAACAAAATTTTTAAAAAAACCATATGTTAGTCCCGAAATGACCTAGTTTGTGTTGAGTGGACGTTAAACCCCATTTCTCTCTCCCTCTCTTGTCTTGTCTGTAGGTTTCAGGGGCAGATCCAGGGGACGTGTGGGAGGTTCCCTCCCCTGCTCAGTTACATAAAAAAATTTGTAAAACAACACTTGCTATGAGAAAAGTGTCACAGTCATGTGCTTTGTTCTTTATCATCAAATGGTGGGATAGGATGGGTATTCAAAGTGCGAGATAATGATTTAGACAATATGTGATACCACAATTAATGCTTTGCATCAGTGAAATTTTTCCTGTTCATTCATTATCAAAATTGATGTCAAACGGGATTGGATCTCTCTCTTTAAAGAGCTCATTGTGTATATTCCTACATAATTTAGAGACGATTGTGGCATCATGCATTGTCAACTGTCAAATTTCCATAACAGAACCTGGCAAACCCCCTCCTGTAAAAACATCTGGATCCGCTCCTAGGATTGTCTTGTCAATTTTGTTTTGTGCATGGTGCAGTTCTCCTGCACTTACCATTATAGTGACATATGACCAAGGTCCTGTTTCATGCAATTTTAACTAAGATAAAATCCAAATTTTTAGTAATTTGATTGGATAATATTAGATTGATTTTAGTGCTTAGCCAGTCAAAATTGAAGTATCTACTAAAATTTGGATATCTTTAGTTAAGATTTCAGGAAACAGGGCCTTGGTTTGTAGGCTATGAAAATTATTTTCAAAATATGGAGGAGTGTATTGTGTATTCACCTGGGAATAAAGATTAATGAATTTTGCCATCTAACCTTTAGGCTGGGTTAGGTTTGTTTAAACATTGATCTATCATAATACCAACAAACAATCATCTCCAACAGAGTCACAGTTAGTCCTACATCCAACAGCTGGGGGTATATAAAATAAAACTCTAGTAGGTGGTTTAATGTACTGTAAAATGTAGCACTGATCTTATCCCTTTAGCTTAGCCCCGGGGCAGGATTTACCAACAGGCATAGATAGGGCCTACAGGTATCTACAATGGGAGGCTTACTGAAACTAATTTGTCATGCAGTCTACCAGCGTATAACCTTGTTTCAAGTGTACATTGGGTATTTCATTATATTAAATAATTTCAAAACCATAAGGACCCCTGTACAGTAAGTATATCCCACTAAAACATGCCAACTTTTCTATAAATTTGGGAGCCCACTGATGAGGTTAGTTTAGAGCATCAAAGGGTCATTAAACTGACTTTGACATTTTGTTTGGCTTGGAGGTCGGGTGTTCGATCCCTGCATTGGCCGAGAAAGTCCATCCAGATTTTCTGGTGTGGTTCTCCCTTGTCAGTGATGCAGAACAGAGGGCCCGACAAGGACAGATGTCTAGTCGTTCGGATGGGACAAAAAACCGAGGCTCCGTGTACACATTGGTGTGTACACATTGGCATGCACGTGAAAGATTCTTTGACAGCTGAAATTCAATAAGTAGGCGTAGTGCCGCTGTCCCCCAAAATTTCCCTGATATGCCCGTCTAAATTAGCCCAGTTCGAAGCAAAATAGTAGGACGTTAAACCCCATTTTATTTATCTCTATAAAAAAATAAAAATAACCAGAATTATTTTATCACTAAATAGTTTTTATTTCCAAAGAAATATTAAACATAACACTGTTATACTACTGACCTTCCCCTTAGTTTGTTATTACCTCACCTAACCTTGGTAAAGATTGGGTTATAATTGGTTAATCAGCATCTGACTGATCCAGCCCAGAAGGACATAACAAGAAAGAGCATCAGAGTTACCTGTTAACCAAATTCCTGTTCAATATATGTTTATTATACTAATACTTACTGGTAGAAATAGTTTGTTTGCTTTCCAGGCTAGTCTAGATAATTTTCGTTTTAGCTCTATACTGATTTTCATTATATTGACCATCTTTTATTGCTTATAGACTTATTATATCACATTGTACATCCATAAATGATCAGCCCAGATGTTATGTTATAATTGTATAATCAGCTTTTGTTTAAACTGTGTATGCTGTCCTTAGTGGATGCAATGCTACAATAAAATCTTATCTTATCTTATCATGGTGTTCATTCTCAATCACCTAGTATAGACAGTAATAACTTCATCCTTACCAAGGGTAACTGAGGTAGAAATGGTCTGAGGGTAAGGCCATGATGATTATTATATATTTTTAAATAATAAAATCCAATTATTGTAGCCATATTCATAGTATATAGGATCTAATGGTTTTCTTATAATATAATCTAAATAAAAATAAATTGCTATAAAAAAAGCCTGGAATATATTCTAAGTTTAACCAATAAAAGCTTGTCCTTTGAAAAGAAACATATTTAGTGGTAAATAATGTATTACTTATATAAAGAGATCATTCATTTAGATTGATACACAAAAACACATACTTATGGAAAAACAGCTACTTAATAGTACCGTAATACTAGAATATTAAGTAGCTGTTTTTCCATAAGTATGTGTTTTTGTGTATTGCTCTGTCCAGCGACAATGGCACAATTTCCCTCTACTGGTAATCTGATAATAATTTAATACTTTTGTGCACTTTTCTGAAGTGTTTACAATAATGATAGATTTGTAGGTATTAGAAAATATAATGATAGGTTTGTGGATATTAGAAAAGATAAATGTGAAGATATTAAAAGACAAAAACAAGAAATTATATAAAAATATCTAATATTATATACTATATAAAATGAAGTCACATACATTCCAAATTTTGAATCTATATGTCCTCGACCACCTGTAGAATTAATATAATATTAGAAACCATTTCCTATGTCATTAATACAATTTATATTATGCATGGTTACACCTTCACCAATTAAAATTTAACAATAATATATACCCAGTGTATTATAGTTTATTCATATTAAATATAATAGAGGTATATGATACAGGAATGGTGATAGCTTTACTGAAAATACAATGATATAAATATACATAATATTCAAATATTAAGCAGGGTTTCAACCATATAGATCTACTAATACTGGCACTGCTTATTAATAAATTAAAAAATTCGTAAACTAAAAACAAGAAATTGGTTTATTTTGAATACAATATAAATCTAATGTGACCCTTGTTGTGTTCAAGTCTGAATTCGATAATGGAAGGTGTATGTATTTTAATTGACATTAAATGAATTAAATTAATTTCACATCCCAATCATTTTGGGATTAAGAATAATCCAAGATCTTGCAGTTGAACACACATTGAAATATCCTATATATTCAATCCATTAAATGTCAATCTGTTTTTATTGGGTATCATAATTTGCAAAATTGTCATCATAACATTTTCAGGAAAAAGATGTCTAGATAAAAAAAACAAACATAGCTTGCCAGACAAAGTAACATGCGCAAACTGCGTAGTACGGTAAATAATGATCACGTTCCAATTTATTGGGAGCGGGTACAATTGGGTAATAAATAACATTTGATCAAAAATTCACCAAAAATCGATGATGGGAGGAGGTCAACAGTAATGTGTGCATATCAACTATCATATATAAGTCAAGGGCCATAACTCTGTAAGTGCTTTTGTAAAAACGCTCCAAATTGATAAGGGCCATTTTTAGCCCAATACTAAATATTCTTGAGAATCTGTGAAGAAGGGAGTGAATATGAGCATGGTAATATTTCTCTATTAACAATCAATATCGGTTAGGGCCCATTACTCTGCAACTGTTTTTACAAAAATTCTTAAATTTGATCGGGCCCATGTTTACACCAATACTAACTATTCCTGAAAATGTGCTTAGTACGAATAACCGTGGATGGACGAACAGATCAATCAACAAGTGCAACAACAATATATGACCATATATGACCATTTTAAAAATTCTAGTCATCTGGGCCCTGTTTCACGAAATTTTAACTAAGATAAAATCCAAATTTTAGTAATTTGATTGGATAATATTAGATTGATTTTAGTGCTTAGCTAATCAAAATTGAAGTATCTACTAAAATTTGGATTTTATCTTTAGTTAAGATTTCAAGAAACAGGACCCTGGTACACTACTGTAAAATTTATATTTGTTTCAAGCATAAGGTAAAAGCCATTCATTCTATATATTCACTCTTGAACTCATTATTATCAAAAATAATCACCCAGCACACTAAAACAAATTTGTGAATACATTTTGCGAAATATAAAAAGGCACTAGTGCGTATTGCTGAAATATATCAATAATACTTTTACACAACTGCTTTCATTGTATTAGATAATACTTGATAAATTACCGTGTAGGTGTACATATATATACATAAACAGACAGCACAATTATGGTCATACTAACATCACACAACCATATTCTAAGTTTACTTGTAAACTTGAGTTTTAAATATACAGGTCACATTTCTATGGAATACAATGACAGCTTATTATGAAGCTTTGTTGAAACGTCGCTCAGTATTCCATAGAATTGTGACCTGTATATTCCAGTTCAATTACCTAATGCCATTGAAACAATTTGAGTGTTAAAGACTACATTACTAATACGCTTGAGTGTTAAAGACTACATTACTAATAAGCTTGAGTGTTAAAGACTACATTACTTATAAGCTTGAGTGTTAAAGACTATTATTACTTATAAGCTTGAGTGTTAAAGACTACATTACTTATAAACTTGAGTGTTAAAGACTATTATTACTTATAAGCTTGAGTGTTCAAGACTATATTACTTATAAACTTATAACCTTGATCATTAAAGATTACATTACTTATAACCTTGACTGTTCAAGACTACATTACTTATAAACTTTGGCGTTAAAGACAACATTACTTATAACCTTAAGTGTTCAAGACTATATTACTTATAAACTTTGGCGTTCAAGACTACATTACTTATAACCTTGATTATTAAACTTAAAGATTACATAACTTATAACCTTGACTGTTCAAGACTACATTACTTATAAACTTTGGCATTAAAGACTACATTACTTATAACCTTGATTGTTAAAGACTACATATTAGTTATAAACTTAAGTGTCAACTACTGGTAAGCGTGAATCTACTGTTCTAAGGAGCCTAGTGGTCAGTAAAACAAAATTCCGATATAGAAAATGGAGTCATTAACTTATGTTTTTCAATATAATTATTTCTACAGCAACACTATTCTACTTTTTCCTACAAATCTATTTTCCTTTCTCAGCAAACAAGTCTAACACAATCCAAAAACGAAATAAATGTGGTTTAACGTCCTACTGTTCTGCTCCGATTGGGCTAATGAAGACGGCCATTCACTAAACAGTGTGGTGTGAGGGAAATTTTGCCCGGGCAGCGGCACTATGGCCTACTCTTATATCGAATTCTAACTGCCAGGGGATCTTTTACGTGCATGCCAATGTATACACGGGACCTTGGTTTTTCGTCCCATCCGAACGACTAGACAGCTGTCCTTGTCAGGCCCTCTATCCTGCATCACTGACAAGGGGAAACCACGTCAGAAAATCCTGATGAACTTTCTTGGCCAATGCAGGGATCGAACATGCGACCTCTAGACTAGCGAGCCAGCGTCTTACCCACTTAGCCACCATGGTTCCTCAATCCAAAAACAACAAATGACATATTTTATTATCGTTATGACTGGCACATAAATATTTTCTCTACAACAATTCCATAATCTGCTTCTGTACAGTAAAATATGAAGAGCCCCGGGGTAGCAAATAATACAAATAATATTAAAGCTAATAACTATCATCCTTTAGAGCAAACAAAATAAAAAATAAAGTAGAACCATTAGCGACAGTTGTGAACAGCTGTTTCAATATTGATAGAAATCCATAAAGAATCATATTGAAAATACTGCCATTTGCAACTCATAAGTGTATGGGCGACTGAAACTGTGGCACATAGAAGATGCTAAAGGGACCATCCCGATATTAACAGAGATTGACCCTTTAACAAAAAAACGAAATAAAACAATATTAATAATTATACCAACTGGGTTTAATCTAACAACAATGTAATACACTAAGGCCTGTTTTCCTTGGACACATTTCTACGTTATTGGTTTTAAGAAAATGGTTCCATTACATATGCATCAGACACGCGCGGAAACGCATACATGGAAATCGGGTCTTACTGTGTTTTAATCATGATTAAAGAAATCGGGTCTTACTGTGTTTTAATCATGATTAATGAAATCGGATCTTACTGTGTTTTAATCATGATTAATGAAATCGGGTCTTACTGTGTTTTAATCATGATTAATGAAATCAGGTCTTACTGTGTTTTAATCAGGATTAATGAAATCGAGTCTTACTGTGTTTTAATCATGATTAATCAAATCGGGTCTTACTGTGTTTTAATAATGATTAATGAAATCGAGGTTTACTGTGTTTTAATAATGATTAATAGGGAAAAGGTAATGCTGCTATTATGTATAAATTACATACATATATATATAAACATTTACAAATAATTGAAAAATTATAATATAAAGAGTCATGTAATAAAATTTGAATCACAATAATATAGGAAAACATATAAGGTGGAAATAACACTGACAGGATTAAATATAATTTCTCATGGTAAGAACAGGAAATGATTGCAATGCAAAAATGATAATGCATTAATTCCCTGTATATTCAACTAGATTTGGAACGATTTAGTTTCCACATTTTATGGATTATGAAAATAAATATTGTCAAAAATTCAGTTCTTACAGACATAGGCAACAGTCAAATTTTATAATAGTTTTATACCCAAAAAGCATAGATAAAAAAAATTAAAATGACAGCTGCAATTTTCAAAGGCAATTACGCAAATTCGTGGGTTGATTTAGCAAAAAAAAATATTTTGGCTTTTTGCAAGTATGAAAAAAATAGCTAGAAGTACTTATTACTACCTATTTGAAGACTAATGTAGTCTCAAGCATTTTGTTTTAAAAATAAATTATTTTTCCTATACATTATTAACAACCATGATCAACAAATGTACATTTTATAAAACATTTTAACATCATTTGAATCAAGATTCATAAATTCATTTTCACTGTTATTTGCAACAACTGTAATTATAAGTTTTTCAAAAAATATAAAGAGTCATATTGACTGTATTTTTATTGTAATATAAAGATATGTGTGACATGTAAAACATGGCTTTCTGTTTATCATTTCTAAACTAATATTAACTAACTATGATCAAATATTTGTTACACTACTACATTCTGTGTGGTTTAATGGTTGAGAGCAAGACATTAAGTTATATATTGATATTGCACGAGGGCGTTAGTCCAAGGGCTGTATCAATATATTACGCAATGTCTTGCTTGAGACCATTAAACAACTTAAACACTCTATCGCACACATACATTTCAATGAAATCATCACACAATTGGCACTTTTCTGTACCCTACTTGCACGTAGGGGTTTTTAGCAGTGGGAGGACCCGGAGAAAACCCACGAGGTTGGAGTGTTTTATGGATTCTTCAATTATATTTACTTATCTGTTTAATACCTATGTATTATTTTAGCATACTGGATGGCCATGAATTTCGACTAGTTTTAATTGAGCATAATTTAATATTTATTATAACATATATATTTAGCATAAAGCAGAGATTCTATATTTCGCATAAATATTATTATTTATATGATACATCTATGAATAAATATGAACAATATTAAAAATCGAATTAAAATATGATAAAAATGTGATTTTCAGCAGTGCAGATAATGCCAGTGTTGATCGATAATGCCATTGAAATAATTCTGTATTGGGACAAATATGCATTGCTTAATGGTCGAGAGCGAGACATTAAGTAATACACTGTAACAAAAAGAGGGCTGTAGGCCAGAGTGCTTTTACAATATATTACGCAATGTTTTAAGCTCGAGACCATTAAACGACTTAAAATACAGACACCACGCCATACTTTTACAGTGATATACGTCAAGTGAGTCCAATATTTCACTAGTATAATTAATGTACCATTGGCAAGTTGCCCGTACGATTATTTGAAATAATGGTACACCAACATCAAAGGGTGACGTCACATCTGTATTTTAAATATTTATAAATGCAATACTATCTGTGTTTCAACAACTTGCAGATTAAAAATGAAGCTAGTATTTAATATTAATGTTTGTAAATTGTAAAACTAAAAATGCAAAAAAATAATCCAAACAAATTGATCGCTAAATTCTAAACAAAAAAAATAAAAAATCTCAGATACAAATGGAACTAAACAAAATGGGTTTTAATGACAAGAGATCTCACATACAAATGAAACTGTCAGTACACTGGAACATGTAAAATTTTAAAACCTGAATAATGTCAAAAATTCACAAAGTAATTGTTTGTTAATGAATGTAATGATCTGTAGATATCATTGCATATGTATTTTATCCTGAGACCTTATAAAATGGTTGATTTTTTTTGTGATGCTCATTAATAATAGCACTAATTCTAATACCTAGATAAGTCACAGCAAACACCATTTAATATATACAATCTTTAATTAATAAAAAACTATATGATAAACTTATTATTCCCTCCAATATTATTATCTCCAATATTCCTTATACACTCTTTGTGAATAATGCTCATATTATATTAGTAAGGTTTTATTCTGCCTAAATGTTGACAAGGTGCTTTTAAAATATAATAATGTCAACAGGGATTATTCTATGATATTCTTAATATAATCTGAACTTCTACTTATGTAGAATATTGAAATTTTATTTTTTCATCCAATGAACTAGGTCCCATAAATAAGAAGGCAACAAAAATTCCTTCAAATTTAAAAATGTCAACAAGGATTATACAAACAGAAACCCCTTTCTGTATTATTTTCACATGTTTTTTTTTTTTAGTTATTCTAAGGTATTCTTAATCTAATTTAAAGTTCTATTTATGTACCTGTTAAAGTGTAGAATATTGAAATTTTATTGTTTCATCCAATCAACTAGGTCCATAAATAAGAAGGCAACAAAGATTCCTTAGTACCACGAGCTGGTTCTAAGTTTTCGTCCTTTAAGAACTCTCTGGGTAAAAGAACCAAGTAGCCCTTGACTCCTTTAACTTTTTCAAAGGCTTCTGTGGGATTCGTTTCTACTAATGCTGGCTCTGCTAAATACTCTTTCATTTCTTTAAATGTGCGAACATAGTCACAAGGCATACACCTGAAAACCTGTTAATAATAAGAAAGCACCATTAAATCATGTTCAACAAAATGCCTGCTTTCAACTATTTTTTGTCCTAGAATCTTTAACTTCAGAACCTTGAAGGTTATTATTTTATATTTAATGTCAATATATAGAGAGAGAGAAAAATGGGGTTTAATGTCCATTCAACACATACTAGCTCATTTTGGGACTAACACATGGTTCAATTTTATTTCAATATTTCGCTTACACGTAGGGGTCTTTAGCTGTGGAGGGAAACCAGAGGACCTGGGAAAAAACCCACAAGGTTGGACAGGCGACCTTACTCCTTGTCAAGTACAAGCAGGGAATCAAAGCCACGTCACTTGACCCAAAGACAGTCCTTATGATACAACGCGCATATGTTAACCATTCGGCCACCCCTAAATGTAAATATATTCTTCAGTTGTTTCTGTACAAATTGTTGTTTTTTACCCATCCCAACAACTAGATACCCTTTTTTAGGGACCTACTGCCATTTCCCTGACAAGGGAACTAGGCTTGAAATATCCTAGGCCCGTTTCAAACCCAGGTCAGTCTACTTGTGAGCAGCGTTCATGGCTTGAACAGCATGTCAAAATTACAATATATAACTATACACAGCATTGAAATAAAATTGAACCATGTGTTAGTCCCGAAATGACCTAGTTTGTGTCAGTGGACCTTAAACTCCATATGGTTCCTCCCTATGGCTAGCTGATAAATCTCAGCAAGTTTGAAAAATACAGGGGTGACGACGAAATACTCCCGCATAAAATGTAATGGTATAAAAATATAAAACGTACTGTATCATATATAGTAGTATTTACAGCAGCTTGTTTTATCCAGATATTTTTATAGAAATCTTGTCGGACTATATCAGTTATATCCAATGTATCACTATCACCCAGTCCCAGATGTTCCCTATAAAAAGTAAACAACCACCATGATAATAAAGAATAAAATAATATTTTAGGTTTTAATTCTATTGTCATAAATTTTCCATCTGACCATACTTTTGAATTTAAAGTAACGTCTTTTATAAGTTTGTTCATGACATAACCTTTGACCTAGCCAAGGATCAGGCACCGAGTTCACAAAGCATTCTCAGACTTCAGTTAAGAATTTACTCAAAATTGTTTGTCTTATTTAACTAAAATATAGCCCTTTCTACAAATATTTGTTGTTTTTTAAGTATCAAATACATCAATAAGAAACTATGTGCAAAGTTTAGTGTTTCTGGATCAAAGATATTTCTTATAAACAGTGATTGAAATTTGAGTAAATTCTTAACGTAAGTCTTAGAATGCCAATTGGGCAAGACCTAATTTATCTAATCACAGTGGTTAAACCTAGACTTCAATGAAATGATATGAAATGAAATGGGGTTTAACGTCCTACTGTTCTGCTCCTATGCTGGGCTAATGAAGACGGGCATACGCCATACAGTGTGCTATGAGGGAAATTTTGCCCGGGCAGCGGTATTATCGCCTACTCTTATATCAAATTCCAACTGCCAAGGGATCTTTTACGTGAATTCCAATGTATACACGGGACCTCGGTTTTTCATCTCATCCAAAGGACTAGACAGCTGTCCTTGTCAGGCCCTCCGTCCTGCATCACTGACAAGGAGGAACCATGCCGGAAAATCTGGATGAACTTTCTCGGCCAATGCAGGGATCGAACACCCGACCTCCAGGCTAGCGAGCCAGCGGGACTTCAATGAAAACAGAGAATTGATAAAGAAGTAGTTAGATCCTCATGTAGTGAAAGATTAAATCTTAATGCAATTACAACTTTGTATTTTAACTTTACAGTTCAACTTTAATCGAGTAAACCATTTTACGTTATATTCCACATTTATGACATACCTGAATAACGTGGTTCTCAATGATGAGGCAAATCTTCCAACAAAGTGTTCTCTACCATTAATTCTTACTGGAGTCTTTTGAATATCTTCTACCATAACAGCTAACTCACTGTCACGTTTACCCAGCATACTGCGATCATTAATATTAGCTGATCCTATTATCACTGTATCATCATCCACAATCATTAATTTACTGTGAACATACACTAACTCTGATACCTGTTAATAACGGTCATAGAATAATAATCAGTGGTTGCCCGGCCAGGCAAGATACGCTCACATTAAACATACATTATGTAAGAGCTAAATCTGCCAATTGCAGGTCTTTCTTTAAGCCTGAAAGGTTATATAAACAAGCCAACAGTGAGGCTGATGTCCCCCGCCGAAATAGGAAAATAATTAGAGGACACATATAAATTTATCACAAATTATCTTTTACAAAGTATTGAACAATCAAACAGTATATCTTTACTTATAGTCTAACAATCAAAGTAGGAGAGTTATTGTTTTCCAAAGTCTCGACCAATCAAATTGCGTATCGCTCTGCTTACCCTGAGCAGAAAATGCTCATTATCAAACTTAGTCAAGGTATTACTGTAATGAAACTATACACCAAGTTTCATCAATCTCACTTAATTAGAACTAAAGTTATCGTGTCCCAAAGCATCAACCAATCAAATTGCTTATCTCTGCTTACCCTAAGCGGAAAATGCTCATCTTCGAACTCCATCAAGGCATTGACCTAATAAACACATACACCAAGTTTGAACATTGTAGCTCAATTAGGAAGAGAGTTATTGTGTCCCAAAAAGTGTGACGGACAGACAGACGGACGGACAGACAGACAGACAGACAGACAGACAGACAGACAGACAGACAGACAGACAGACAGACAGACAGACAGACGGACGAACCCATTTTAATAGTCCCCTGCTTTCTTCGAAAGGCGGGGGACAATTATTAACAAGCCAACAGTGAGGCTGATGTCCCCCGCCGAAATCCCAAAATAAATATGTGACACATTTAATTAATAGCACATTTATTTTTTTCAAACTGATTATCAACTGTACACTAAGTTTCATCACTCTCTATCAGATAGAATCAAAGTTATCTTGTCCCAAAGCATCGACCAATGAAATTGCTTAGCTCTGCTTAGCTTTAGCTCGAAATGTTAATCATTGCACTCAGTCAAGACATTCACCTAATGAACATCTACATCAAGTTTAAACATTCTACTTCAATTAAAAGCAGAGTTGTTATGTTCCAAAGTCTTGACCAATCAAATTACTTATCGCTCCTTAGTCTAATCAGAAAATTCTCATCATCCAACTTAGTCAAGGTAATGATATAATGAATCTATACTCGGCGTTTCATCACTCTCAGTTAATTATAACCAAAGTTATCGTGCTCCAAAGCATCAACCAATCAGATTGCTTATCTCTGCTTACAGTAAGCAGACAATGTTCATCACCTAATGAACCCCTACATCAAGTTTGAACATCATAGCTCAATTAGGAGAGTTATTGTGTTCCAAAGTCTCGACCAATCAAATTGCTTATCGCTCTGCTTACCCTGAACAGAAAATGCTCATTATCAAACTTAGTCAAGATATTCATGTAATGAAACTATACACCAAGTTTCATCACTCTCACTTAATTAGAACTAAAGTTATCGTATCCCAAAGCATCAACCAATCAAATTGCTTATCCCTGCTTACCCTAAGCAGAAAATGCTCATCCTCAAACTCCATTAAGGCATTGACCTAATAAACACCTACACCAAGTTTGAACATTTTAGCACAATTAGAAGGAGAGTTATTGTGTTCCAAAGTCTCGGCCAATCAAACTGCTTATTGCTCTGTTTACCCTGAGCAGAAAACGCTCATTATCGAACTTAGTCAAGGTATTGATGTAATGAAACTATAAACCAAGTTTCATCACTCTCACTTAATTAGAACTAAAGTTATCGTGTCCCAAAGCATCAACCAATCAAATTGCTTACCCTAAGCAGAAAATGCTCATCTTCAAACTCCATCAAGGCATTGACCTAATAAACCCTTATTAATACGCAGTGATTTTTTTAATTTAGAGGGGTGTTATTGTCCAATAGACAGTGTGTAATCGACCAATCAAAACGCAAGATTCACCCTTAAGCATGTTACAATAAAGAATATTACAGTATCTGTATGATGTTCTGTAAATTGATTACAAAATCTGTTTCACTCACCAGTCTCCCATTCAGTTCTTCCCATGTTCTTAAACCACAAAACACAACATAATTCAAGGGATCAGCCACTAGAAGATAACAATATATTATGTGATTACACTCTTATCCGGGCTATACTATATACCGGAAAACATCGAAAAACACTGGAAAACAACCGGAAAACACCATGTTATACTGAGTACCGGAAAACACCGGAAAAACACTAAATACCAGAAAACACACTAAATACCAGAAAACACACTAAATACCAGAAAAACACTAAATACCGGAAAACGCCCTAAATAGGTAACTCGGAGCCTGGTCCTCTGGAAAACACCCAAAAAACCTAACCCTAACCCTAATCCACCGCTGGTCCTCTGGAAAACCCTAACCCTATTTAGGGTGTTTTCCGGTATTTAGTGTTTTTCTGGTGTTTTCCGGTATTCAGTATAACATGGAGTTTTCCAGTAGTTTTCCAGCAGTTTTCTGATGTTTTCCGGTGTTTTCCGGTATTCAGTATTGCCGTCTTATCCACACTCTTGTGACAGGCAGGGCTGGATTAAAGGGGGGAGGGGGGTGACTGGGCTATAGCCATACAGTCAGTTGCCTCAATATTAAAGGGACCCTCAAATCAGTTCAAAATTTTTTTTAGTACTCTATATTAATATCATGTTTGTTCCCCAGATACATCTGTTGAGTTTGAATGTGATCCACAATGATCAGATTATGACCCCTTTTCATTGTTGATGCATTTACAACCAGGGGCCTGTTTCACGAAATTTTAACTCAGATAGAATCCAAATTTTAGCAATTTGATTGGATAATATTAGGTTGATTTTAGTGCTTAGCTAATCAAAATTGAAGTATCTACTTAAATTTGGATTTTATCTTTAGTTAAGATTTCGAGAAACGGGACCCATGTATTTGTATTATAGAAATTTACCTTCTTTAGAGAGTCTCTCTATTAAGGAGTTGCGACCTCTACATATCGATGCATAATTCCAGTTAGTAACTGCTTGAAGTGCTGTCCCTTCTGATGTACCAAATTCACCCTCAAATGCTGGTAATAATGGCATTACCACATACACCCGAAACTCTTCTCCACTCCTGTGTATAAAATATTTACAAAATTCAAATTAATATTTTATAATGTGTTCACTGGTAATAGAAATGAAATGAAGACGGGAACTGGTATTAGAATACCAGTATGAAAAAGTTCTAAGTACCAAGGGGGGCACGGTTACTATGTGGGTAAGAAGCTGGCTCGCTAGTCTGGAGGTCGGGTGTTTTGAGCCTGACAATGACAGCTGTCTAGTCGTTCTGATGGGATAAAAACAAGTTCCCGTGTTCACATTGGCGTGCACATAAAAGATCCCTTGACAGTTGGAATTCGATATAAGAGCAGGCTGTAGTGCCGATGTCCGGGCAAAATTTCCCTCATAGCACACTGTATGGCGTATGCCCGTCATCATTAGCCCAGTTCGGAGCAAAACAGTAGGACGTTAAACCCCATTTCATTTCATTTCTAAGTACCAAAGATGTAAGTTGAACAGATGACAGTTGCTAGAATCAACCTTGGTTTAAATGGCATGCTAAATAAAAGATTGGTTCATGATGTCATTGTTGGAACCAGAACTAGCAATTGGAGGTTCTAGAGCACAAGTGATCTAACAACCAACTAAAATGGTTGGTAGTTAGATCACTTGTGCTCTAGACCCTCCAATTGTTAATTGGGAAGGATTGAAAACAACTAACAAATTTGACCAAGTTTTTTTTAGAACTAAAAATATCATTTTTAAGCTTGAGATATCAATAATGAGAGATCTATTCTTATTGAAGTATCTGTCATCATTACCTAGAAAGTGATGTCTATCTGTTTTAAGAAATCTTGTCCTATGGAATTTAACATAAAATAAAATAAAGTCACTTGGCAAACGACGCAATTTTGATAACTTCTTTTTAAAAGCAGAAAGTTTTCCCAATCAGTAAGCTGGTGCAGTATTGCAATTGTATAGGCGTAGGTACATATTACTTAACGTCATACAGCTGAGGCTAGATGTAGAGTAACGGAATCTGCCAAGGTTTGCCGAGTGATGAGGGATTAGCCAATGAAACGGTCTGTTACGGTGATCTTTTGGCGTGAGTTGCACGGAACTGTGGGTAATCCACTAGAAATATCAATGCTGATTGGTTAATCAGTATCAGTATGATAAATGATTTCTATCAGAACAAAAGAGAGAGAGAGAAATGGGGTTTAACATCCACTAAACACAAACTAGGTCATTTCAATAATTCGCTGGGGTCTTTAGCAGTGGGAGGAAACCGGAGGACCCGGAGAAAAAACCCACGAGGTTGGACAGGCGACCCTACTCCTTGTCACGTACAACCGGGGAATCGAAACCACACCAGTTGACTCAATGACAGGCTTTATGATACAGCACGCACATGCTAACCATTCGGCCATCCAACTCCTCTCGATCAGAACAAGTTTACCTGTGAGCTCTAATTGGTTAATCAGTATCAGTATGATAAATGATTTCGATCAGAACAGGTTTACCTGTGAGCTCTAATTGGTTAATCAGTATCAGTATGATAAATGATTTTGATCAGAACAAGTTTACCTGTGAGCTCTAATTGGTTAATCAGTATCAGTATGATAAATGATTTCGATCAGAACAAGTTTACCTGTGAGCTCTAATTGATTAATCAGTATCAATATGATAAATGATTTCGATCAGAACAAGTTTACCTGTGAGCTCTAATAATACGTCTGTATAAAGCTTCTCCAATACCTGTGAGCTCTAATTGATTAATCAGTATCAGTATGATAAATGATTTCGATCAGAACAAGTTTACCTGTGAGCTCTAATTGCATAATCAGTATCAGTATGATAAATGATTTCGATCAGAACAAGTTTACCTGTGAGCTCTAATTGATTAATCAGTATCAATATGATAAATGATTTCGATCAGAACAAGTTTACCTGTGAGCTCTAATAATACGTCTGTATAAAGCTTCTCCAATACCATTTAATACTGTATTTGTCTCGTCTTCTATTAATGTGACGAAAAACTGATTCTGTATTTGAAAAAAATAAAACATCCCACTTATTTATTAAATCTTACCACAGCAATATCTCATCAATAGTTTAACAATGGAAATATAAAAAATATCTGAAGCAATACAAATATATATTTATACAAATTTTTCATAGTTACTAGAAATCAAGTTAAGAACCGAAATTCGTTTTGAAAATACATATTTTTTTTAATATTTTAAAATCATTTTAAAATCATAAATTAAGAAAGGCTGACATCAAAAGACATTTTTCGTATTGTAGGTATTTGGGGGAGGGGGGGGGGAATCCATATTTTAAAATCATAAATTAAGAAAGGCTGACATCAAAAGACAATTTCGTGTTGTAGGTATTTTTTTTGGGGGGGGGGGGGTTGTGGTAATTAATGTTTTATAGTGTGTCTTTTTACTGTGTAACACTGTTTATATCGTAGTTATCTATATATAAATGTACAGTATATTACGATATTTGAAGAAAAAAAAATAGGTATTTGGCTTGATCTTGATAACGTCCTTACCTCAATGTAAATATAATGTTTTGCATTTTCAATACAATGTATGTAAGCTGTGTGAATGGACGCTTCAATAGTACTAATACCTGCTGACCAACGACTGGAACTTCGTAAAATCTAAATGTATTAATTAAAGATGCATTATGTAAGATTTAGATAAAGAGCTGACAGGTCTCACTATAACAGTTTAAAGATAGATAATGTAAAAGGAATATATTGAAACTTTATTCAGAGCGAAGTTATGACTGAAGAATAGTGTAGTCTCCATTTTTTTCATTATTACCGTTGTTATGATAATAGACAAAGTCTCAATTATCCATTTTTAAATTAAAACATTAAATGGCAATCATGTTTTAATCCTTTCAAAATCACAATCATCAGATGATCAGGAGGCTAGTCATGTGAATAAATGTCTAATTAATAATCCATATGACAATCGAGAACAAGAGAAAGACCTGTAAAAGATTAAAGTACCTGAGACTTGACTTCATAAGTAACACCTTTTATAGACATAGGAACAGTACATCTAGCATTGGTTTTAGGTAGTATAAATGGGTAAGAATTCTTCTTTTTAAATTTCTTTGTCTGTAAAATACACACAATCGTCAATTAACTTGGCTCTCTAATAACCATAGTGCTCATTTATACATCAACTTATACTATAACAGCTCATTTATAAATCAAGTTATACTATAATGTATTGTATAGCTCTCCATAGAGCTCATTTATGCATCGACTTATACTATAATGTATTGTATAGCTCAGCATAGAGCTCATTTATACATCAACTTATACTATAACGTATTGTATAGCTCAGCATAGAGCTCATTTATACATCAACTTATACTATAACATATTGTATAGCTCATTTATACATCAACTTATACTATAACGTATTATAGCTCTCCATAGAGCTCATTTATACATCAACTTATACTATAACGTATTGTATAGCTCAGCATAGAGAGAGAGAGAGAGAAATGGGGTTTAACGTCCACTCAACACAAACTAGGTCATTTCGGGACTAACATATGGGTTAATTTTCTTTCAATAATTCGCTTGCGCGTTGGGGTCTTTAGCAGTGGGAGGAAACTGGAGGACCCGGAGAAAACCCACGAGGTTGGACAGGCGACCCTACTCCTTGTCACGTACAACCGGGGATTCGAAACCACACCAGTCGACTCAATGACAGACTTTATGATACAGCGCGCGCACGCTAACCATTCAGCCATCCACCCCCCCCTCAGCATAGAGCTCATTTATACATCAACTTATACTATAACATATTGTATAGCTCTCCACAGAGCTAATTTATACATCAACTCATACAATAACGTATTGTATAGCTCTCCATAGTGCTCATTTATACATCAACTTATACTATAACATATTGTATAGCTCTCCATAGTGCTCATTTATACATCAACTTATACTATAACGTATTATATAGCTCTCCATAGAGCTCATTTATACATCAACTTATACTATAATGTATTGTATAGCTCTTTGTAGTGCTTATTTATACATCATTTTTTACTATAACGCATTGTATAGCTCTCCAGAGAGCTCATTTATACATCAACGTATACTATAATGTATTGACACAAACCTATTGCATGCTTTCACTACATAAATTTCAACAGAATAGGTTGTGGATTATATTAAGAAATCAATATAATAAAATACTAAAACAGTACCATGAGAGACAGACAGAAAGAAATGAGGTTTAACGTCTATTTTTGACAAACCAGGTCATTTCAGGACTAACATATGGTTCAATTTTATTTCAATAATTCGCTTGCGCGTAGGTCTTTAGCAGAGGGAGGAAAGTGGAGGACCCAGAGAAAACCCACGAGAGTGGACAGACGACCCTGCTTCTTGTCCCATACAACCTTGAATATCTGTATTATGTATTCTCGTTATTTATGTATTTATAATAGTTGATACTCATGTATTATGTGTGCTGTCCTTGATGGATGTTTTGGTACAAATTAGAGAGAGAGAGAGAAATGGGGTTTAACGTCCACCCGACACAAACTAAGTCATTTCGGGACTAACACATGGTTCAATTTTATTTCAATAATTCGTTTGCGCGTATGGGTCTTTAGCAGTGAGAGGAAACCGGAGGACCTGGAGAAAACCCATAAGGTTGCACAGGCGACCCTACTCCCTGTCACGTACAACCGGGGAATCGAAACCCCTCCAGTTGACTCAATGACAGACCTTATGATACAGCGAAGTGCGCACATGCTAACCATTCAGCGATCCAACCCCTCTTGGTACAAAATAATCTTATCTTATCTATTCTGAGATTATCGAAGAATTACCTTAGTATAATTCCAGCGTGTAATGAAATGTCGTGCGACATCCCTAGCAGATTTACCATATACTACAGCTCCTATATCATGCCATGGCATTCTGGGACACACATTTCTATCTATAAAATCTATAGAAAAAAAAAGTAACTTAGTTTTAAAAATGATGCAAAAATAAATCATAAATGTTACTATAACTAAAATATACTTCCAACTAACAATTAAACTAAGAGATAACAAAGGAATAATAACAGATTTAAAAAAAGAGAGTTGACATTATATTGTATAAACTACCTGAGAGAGAGAGAGAGAGAGAGAGAGAGAGAGAGAGGGGGTAATGTCCACTTAACACAACCTAGGACTAACTATGGTTCAATATTATTTTACTTATTCACTTGTGTGTAGGGGTCTTTAGTAGTGGGAGGAAACCCGAGGACCAGGAGAAACCAAGCAAGGTTGGACAGGCAAACTTACTCCTTGTCACGTACAAGCAGGGAATTGAAACCTTGCCACTTGACTCAATGACAGACCTTATGATGCAACGTGCACACAAGTTAAACCATTCGACCACACAACCCCTCACCTTCGATATGAAAAGGGGTTTGGATGGCCGAATGGTTAGCACGTGCATGCTGTATCATAAGGCCTGTCATTGAGTCAACTGGCATGATTTCGAATCCCCGGTTGTACGTGACAAGGAGTAGGGTCGCCTGTCCAGCCTCGTGGGTTTTCTCCGAGTCCTCCGGTTTCCTCCCACTGCTAAAGATCCCTACGAGCAAGTGAATTATTGAAATAAAATCAAACCATGTGTTAGTCCCGAAATGACCTAGTTTGTGTCAAGTGAACGTTAAACCCCATTTCTCTCTCTCTCTCTATATGAAAAATAACAGATTTGACACAGAGATGTAATTATATTGTATAATCTACCTAGAAACTTTACTAAGGTCACTTTGAGACTAACAGAAGGTAATTTTCATGTCAAGGGTTACATAATTAAGTAATGTTGAGTGGGTGTACAGACAACTCATCCCAAAGACAATTCATCCCAAGACAACTCATCCCAAGTTAAAAGACAACTCATCCCAACTTTAAAACATGGGTCGAGATATAAGACAACTTATCCCAACAAATATAAGTGCTAGTTATATTTGTTTTTAATACAATTGCTTTCTTTGAAGACCACTCAGACCATTCTCATTTTGTTATAAAAATGTGTTATCTTAAAATTGATATTGTTGTTTTAATAAAATGGATATTCTTTTAACTTTTGGGTGCTCCGTATACTTATCATAGCGTACACGTTTAAATTCCTTCTTTGAACCATACATGTGACTGAAAATGTTGGCTCCATATCATTGTCTGATAAAAATTCGTCAGAATATGACATATCCTTATCTTTATGTATGAGTTTCTGTATAGCTAATATCTTGGGATGAGTTGTCTTCTGACTTGGGATGAGTTGACTTATATTGGTATGAGTTGTCTTTGGGATGAGTTGTCAGGTATTCGTTGAGTGGGAGAATTTTATCCAGGCAGCAGCACTTCTTTTTAGTCTTCTTTAAAGTCCAACAGCTAAGGGAATGGGAATCATACTTTTCACAAATACCTACCCGTAAAAGGGGCATCTAACTGAACAAAATCCTTGTAGATAAAATTGACGTAATCTTTGCCAATCCATAATTTAGTCGAACCAACCAATCCTAGTTCATCTATTTTTGTTTCACTGTCGGTTCTTTGCATAGATTTATTTGTTTCTGCCATCTTCTGTCTAAATCGAAAAATATAACCAAGTTACCTTTCTTTCAATATTTTTTTTTTTACATTTTTAACATGATATATAACGATTTGCTTTTCATCATTTTGCCATTGTTACAAGTAGTAAATGAAATTGAAATGGGGTTTAACGTCCTACCCTTCTGCTCCGACTGGGCTAATGAAGATGGGCATATGCCATACAGTGTGTTAGAAGGGAGAAATTTTTGCACGGACAGCAGCGCTATGACCTACTGTTATATCGAATTCCAACCGCCAAGGGATCTTTTACGTACACACCAATGTGTATACAGGACCTCGGTTTTTCGTAAGTTGAATTTCTCGGCAAACACAGAGGGATCGAACTCACGATCTCCAGTCTAGCGAGCTAGCGTCTTACTCACTTAGCTACTGTGTATATTACAAATGAAATGGAGTTTAACGTTCTACTGTTCTGTTCCTATACTGGGCTAATGAAGACAGGCATACGCCATACAGTGTACTATGAGGGAAATTTTGCCAAGGCAGCGGCACTATGACCTACCCTTATATGGAATTCCAACTGCCAAGGGTCTTTTAAGTGCATGCCAATGTATACATGGGACCTCAGTTTTTCGTCCCATCCAAACAACAAGACAGCTGTCCTTGTCAGGCCCTCCGTCCTGCACCACTGTTAAGTGTTAAGGGGAAATCATGTCGGAAAATAGAGATGAACTTTCTTGGCCAATGCAGGGATTGAACACCCGACCTCCATGGCCCCCTTTCTCTATTACAAGTAGAATGGTGGTCTAAGGAGCCCTAGTTAGGGTAGTTTAGGATGATCTAAGGAACCCTAGTTAGGATGGTTTTGGGCAGTCTAAGGAGCCCTAGTTAGGATGGTTTGGGACGATCTAAGGAGCCCTAGTTAGGGTGATTAAGGGCAGTCTAAGGAGCCCTAGTTAGGATGGTTTGGGATGATCTAAGGAGCTCTAGTTATGGTGATTAGGGACAGTCTAAGGAGCCCTAGTTAGGGTAGTTTAGGACGATCTAAGGAGCCCTAGTTAGGATGATTTGGGCGGTCTAAGGAGCCCTAGTTATGGTGGTTTGGGGCAGTCTAAGGGGCCCTAGTTACTGTGGTTTGGGATGGTCTAAGGAGCCCTAGTTAGGGTAGTTTAGGACGATCTAAGGAGCCCTAGTTAGGTTGGTTTGGGGCTGTCTAACGAGCCCTAGTTAGGTTGGTTTGGGGCTGTCTAAGGAGCCCTAGTTATGGTGGTTTGGGACAGTCTTAGGGGCCCTAGTTACGGTGGTTTGGGATGGACTAAGGAGCCCTAGTTAAGATGGTTTGGGATACTCAAAGGACCTTTAGTTATGGTGGTTTGGGGCAGTCTAAGGGACCCTAGTTAGGATGGTTTGGGATGGTCTAAGGAGTCCTAGTTAAGGTGGTTTGGGATATTCAAAGGACCTTTAGTTAGGGTGGTTTGGTGGGGTTTAAGGAGCCCTAGTTAAGGTGATTAGGGGCGGTCTAAGAGGCACTAGTTAGGATGGTTTGAGGCAGTCTAAGGACCCCTAGTTAGGGTGGTTTGGGATAGTCAAAGGACCTTTAGTTAGGGTGGTTTGGTGGGGTTTAAGGAGCCCTAGTTAAGGTGATTAGGGGTGGTCTAAGGAGCCCTAGTTAGGGGGGGGGGCGGTCTAAGGGGCCCCTGTTTTGACAATTAAAATATAACTTACTTATCTTTATTTTCTAGTAAGGTCATTGGTTGATCTATACTTCCTCTTCTTTCCCTTAGTTTATCAACTAAATGAGCAAACTGAAGAATAAATCACATCTATCACTGACTTTCATTTTATCTTGAATATACCTAGTTACTATAATAATAGTCACTCAGTACACTATATTAATTTTGAGATTTTGAATATTATTCACCATGTCTTGATGTCCGATTGGGCATATTCCCAGTCGGACAATTTTGGGTGTTCGGAAAATTGCATCGGACAAGTCCGGAATATACAGGCGAAGTCCCATCACTGAGCTAGAAAGAGATAGTTCAATATCAACTAATACCTTAGCCGACTTGCTTGACTTTTTATCATCTAAAAATAATTTTTCATTTATTGTTTCTTGTTCTTCTCCATCTTGAGTTGTTGATGACTGAAATTTCTTCATATTTAAAACCATTTTCCATCTTTTTCTGGCATTACTTTCTTCATCATCACTACTACTATCACCATCATGTTCTTGCTTCTTCAACCTGCAGGAAAGTGAAACCAAACAGTCCATTATCATACTGATTATGTATTAAAAACATAGGCGTACGGGCTCAAAAACAGTTAGGGGATCGGATTCGAAATGCCCAAAAAGATTTTTGGGTTACAGATGACGGCGACGGTTTTCAATATGAAGGACTTTGCAATGGTTGAATTGCAGTCAAAAAATGATGTATCACTACGCCGTAATGTAATCAGGTTCAGTAAAAGTGAAATCTATAGCAAAGAATTATATTTATACTTGTAGGAGATTCTAAATTTATCCATTATTGACCTATTATAGCGAGAACGGCCAGCTCTTTATCTAAATCTTACATAATGCCCCTTTAATAAAAAAATATCATTATAATCGTTGTCATTATCTGTCTTACCTATTTAACATAGTATCAGTTCTAGCTACTGCTGCCATTCCAGTGCTACTAGCAGATGGTGATGATGGTGGTGACTGTGCTGACTGTGCTGCCTTTCTTATTAAGTCACTCTGTGAATTCTGTGATGAAGTATGACTCCCACCACTATTTGTTTTATCAGCTTTAGCATGTTCATTTCCTTTTTGTCCCGATCCACCAGAGCCTTGCTGTTCCTTATTTAAACTAACAATTTTTTGGGCCTGGACGTTCTTGTCATTGGAACTGGGTATGATATCATCTAAGGCGTTATAGCCAGTGGGTTTTATATTAAAGTGAAGTCCTTCTTTTTCAGCTTTCAACTTCCACAAATGTTGTTTGTTTTTCTTGCTGTCTTTTTCAGTGGTATTGTTATTTTCTCTGGCGGATGAGCCAACTTCTGTGTCATTTTTATTTTCTCTGGCAGATGAGCCAATTTCCGAGTCAGAGACTCTATTATGACTATCGACTTTATCTGTTGTATCATTTTGTAAATTATTCATCACGGCCATGGCAGCATTTGAAAATTTATCTGCAGCATTTTCTTCTGTGCCTGTTGATGGAGGTGTATGGGAATGTTTTGTAGAATTATCACATATTTCTTTGTTCTTGTTGATATCGATGCCGTCTGGTGTAGGGGGTGTAACATTGATTGATATATCACTTGGTTCCACGGCATCTACTGAATCTCTAGATAGGTTCATGTCTACAGTAGTCTGAAACAATCAAAGGAAGCAAACAGTAAGGCTGATGTTCCTGACTCAGTCCCAAAATAAATAGATGAAACATATGTAGCACTTTGGTCCTTAAGACAATATTGGGTCTTTGAAAAATTGTTGCTTCACTCTGTCTATAGAGTCAAATCACACTTACTTAATGAACGTGAATGATATATTTATACATAAAAACAGTGATATTTTGGTAAAATCATAACCATTGTCAAAATATCCATCAAATTCTGTCTGTTTATTGACCTATGGTTGGTAGACCAAATAAGGTTCCTTGCCACGCTCCCAATTCTTCATCCCTAGCAAGGGGAATCCAGAGCAACCTTCTGAGATAGAACCGTGGCTCCAAATATGGAATTTTGCAGCATTGTATAGCATGTTATTAGAAGATAAAGAAAACTGTACTCACCTCTGTTGTGACAGACTCAATTGGTGCACTGTTCAGTGATTCTCGTGATTTGGTGTTTTTTAATTGAATACTACCAAGATCTTTCAATCTGAATGAAAACAAATCAAAATAGTTTCTTAAAAAATCATAGTAGCCATGTTCATAAAAAACATACCTCCAAGTTCTTAAATACAATATAAAGTAACAAATTTTGTAATATTGTCATATACTCTGTTATTCATATTATTAAGAAATAGTGGTTCAAAGCCTTCTTGGGTTCTTTGAGTTATTGAGTTACTTCCCTTTATTAATAAAGTTCTTTGAGCCTAGATATGGACTTATGGAATTGAGTGAAATGGAAGATTGCTGTTTTTAATTAGCCATTCTGCTAGTCTTCAACAATCCTGGCCATCTAGTGGCTAATACACCTAAATACCACAATATTTGTTCTTTCTAGTATAGTTTATCAAATGATAAATGGACCTTATCACGTATCTATATAATCTATATAATTAATCATTATAAAAACAATTTATTAAACATGCATTATGCAAGAGCAAAATCTGCCTATTACAAGTCTTTCTTTAGGCCTGAAATGTTATCTAAATTATCAATTAGGCATTAATTAACTTATTCAGACCATAATAAACTCTCGATGTCAAGGCTAGCCTTCGATGTTGGCTGAATTAGATTCCTATATGCCGCTAACGGCCGTTGATAATTAAATCAGAAAAAGTGGATAATCGAGACTATGCTGTTTATATTAATGATTTTAGTAATGATGACCTAGACTATGCAAAAATTTCACCCGCTTCTTTCTCAGCTCATAGTGGATCAATTTGACTGAAATTTTCAGCAAATTACCTTTACACTATCTAGTTTTTAACTATTATAGCGAGAACCGCCATCTCTTTATCTTGTCTCCCATAATGTATCTTTTATTAATTGATGAATGAACACTATAAGGTACCAAGCCCCCCCCAATTTAAGTAAGAGTTTTGATATAAAATCAAATAAAATACAAAATCTGTGAATAATGTTTTTGTCTACATACTTATGTTCAGCTGTATCCCATCTACCATAACACAGATCTATTCCACCTATAAATGCCACATTCTGATCTATTACTACCATTTTTTCATGATGAGCCCACAATAATACTCCTCCTGGTATATGATCTGGATGACGCATTATCTGTTGGGAAATGAAATTAAATGAAATTAAATGGGTGCTTAATAACGTCCTACTGTTCTGCACCGACTCGGCTAATGATGATGGGCTTATGCCATACAGTGTGCTATGAAGGAAACATAGCCTGACAGCGGCACTACGGATTACTCTTATTTTGAATTACAACTGTCAAGGGTTCTGTTAAACAGGACCATGGTTTTTTGTCCCATCGGAATGACTAGACACCGTTCCTTGCTAGGCCCTCTGTCCTACATTACCGACAAGGGGAAATCACGCTGGAAAATTCTGGTTAATGAGCCAAAGACCTATTCACCGATCCACCCCATGGCTATAATGGAGAGAGTATTACATGAATCTATTACAGGTGTCCTAAATATAATTTACATCATCTTTAATATGGATAATCTGTGCCAAAAGATCAACAATTTTGAAAAAATTGGATTGAAATAAATTTTACATTTTTTGATCTATCAAAGACTAACACAAACACTGACAATGAAATAAATTAGTTTCATTATGGCTAACAACCTAGACTTCTTTCTTTTCTTCATTCACTAAGTTCGAAATGAAATGAAATGAAATGGGGTTTAACGTCCCACTGCTCTGCTCCTATACTGGGCTAATGAAGACGGGTATACACCATACAGTGTGCTATGAGGGAAATTTTGCCTGGGCAGCGGCACTATGGCTTACTCTTATATCAAATTCCAACTGTCAAGGGATCTTTTACGTGCATTCCAATGTATACACTGGACCTCGGTTTTTCGTATCATCTGAAGGACTAGACAGCTGTCCTTGTCAGGCCCTCTGTCCTGCATTACTGACAAGAGTGAACCACGCCGGAAATTTTGGATGAACTTTCTCGGCCAATGCAGGGATCGAACACCCGACCTCCAGGCTAGCGAGCCAGCGTCTTACCCACTTAGCCACGTGATCCCCCACTAAGTTTGATGCTTGAACAGACAAACACTGACAGTATATATATATTACACACTAAAACTATTTATGGAATAACAATTACTGGTTTATTAACATGCAACGTTTCAACGATGATACTCTCGTCTTTATCAATCAAATGACAACATATATGTTGGTTCGTTCGTTTCTAGAGTTTTACGTCCACTTCCACCTAAGGTGATATCGTAAAACATCAAGTATTTATATACAGTAAAGAGAGAGAGAAATCGGGTTTAACGTCCACTCGACACAAACTAGGTCATTTCGGGACTAACATATGGTTTAATTTTATTTCAACAATTCGCTTGCGCATAGGGGTCTTTAATTAGCAGTGGGAGGAAACCGGAGGACCCGGAGAAAACCCACGAGGTTGGACAGGCGACCCTACTCCTTGTCACGTACAACCGGGGATTCGAAACCACGCCAGTCAACTCAATGACAGACTTTATGATACAGCTCGCACGCTAACCATTCAGCCATCCAACCATCCAGCCATCCAACCATCCATATACAGTAAAAAGAAGCCATAAATATAGACATTATATATAACAAGCACTGATCAAAGCGATGATGACAAACCCTAAGTAGTTACAGTAAACGGAAGCCATGATTAATTATATATCTAAAGAACTAGAAGTAAGCGTTAATAAGTGATCAGTATTAGTCAATGATACAAAATAATATTAAACCATCAATGAGGTGTACAATAACAAACCATAATTATACTAATGTCCAAAAGAAAGTATACACTGTTCATTTCGTCCTGCTTCAAACAATGTCGTTTTTCCGTTGTATGCGTTATTTTGGTACAATGTCAATTTGTTTTGCCTTTTATTTACTTAGAAATATTGAGTTTGGACGCCCGAGACATGTTCAGTGTAGTTTTATCACATTTTTTTGATTTAAACAAAACTTGGTCATATTTTTAGTGTGTATACTTTCTTTTGGACATTAGTATATATATTACAGATCTTGTAAAGATTTACAATCTGAATTTCCTACAATAAATAATACACAGGTACTGTAAATAAAGTGTTTATAATGAACACAAATGCGAACGTGATTGATTAACTGCTGCTAATAATTTTCATTAGCCTATCAGAGGGCAAGGTCGAAGGCGACAATACTATATACTGAAAAACACCGGAAAACAACAGGAAAACTACCGGAAAATACCATGTTATACTGAATACTGGAAAACACCAGAAAAACAATAAATACCGGAAAACACAATAAATACCGGAAAATACCCTAAATAAGTAACCCGGAGACTGGCACCCTAAATAGGTAACCTGGACCCTGGTCCTCTGTGTGCCTGGGTTAGGGTTAGTTTCCGGTTTATAGTATAGCCCTTCTCCAGGTTACCTATTTAGGGTGTTTTCTAGTATTTAGTGTGTTTTCTGGTATTTAGTGTTTTTCTGTTGTTTTCTGGTATTCAGTATAACATGGTGCTTTCCGGTAGTTTTCCAGTGTTTTCCGGTATATACATGTAGTATAGCCCGTCAAAGGTTTACATGGTCAAATTTTCAATGTGGTGTTAACTTCTATAAATTTCTGCACACATCGCCGCTTTCAGTAGGAACAATGATTCAGTGATTGCATTCAGCATAAAAGGCCATTAAGAAATATCTTAAAATAATCAGTAAGAAATATATAATATACCTTTATATTAGTGGGATGTAAACTAAGTAATGTTGATTTACTGTAAGCACTGTCAATACCTAGAGCCATAGTTACTTCTTTATATAATAATATATAGATCTTAACACCAGCTTCCTACAATATATAACAATAAAACTTACTTATATTAACACTCGCTTCCTACAAAATATAACAACAAAACTCAGTTATATTAACATCCGCTTCCTACAATATATAACAACAAAACTTAGTTATAAATATTCCACACTCTTGAGAGAGAGAGAGAGACAGTTTTAAAGCTCAACTCAGGACTAACATATGGTTTTATTTCATTAATTCGCTAGTACGTAGGGATTTTTTTAGCAGTGGGAGGAAACCAGAGGACCTGGAGAAAACCCACGACATTGGACAGGCGATCCTACTTCTTGTCATGTACAACCAGGGAATCAAAACCACGCCGGTTGACTCAATGACAGACCTAATGATACAACACGCTCGCGTTAACCATCCGGCTATCCAACCCTTTCCACACCCTTGGGACATGTATTGGTAATCAATAACCATTACTAATGGCGTAATTGTTATAAACTGTATAGCAAATAGTATCAGGCCAGGCACCGATCCAGGTTCAATTTAGTAGGTGTTGGACATGTAATAATAAGAAGTGGCATCCACAGTGTTCCAGTTTTCTAAATCTTCTGCTCCCCTCCTCTCCCTCTTATGTGCTTTTTGCTCTTTCGGCGCTTGTGAATAGTCACTACAACACTTTAATATATGCTGGAAATCCTGGATCCGCCCTGCAAGCATCCCAATTAGCCTCCCCCTTGTTTGCTTTTTGCTTTTTCGGTGCTCATGAATAGTCACTATCTGCTGAAAATCCTGGAACTGCACTGCAGGAAGTGGACATAAATTGAGACCCTTTTCAAACTACCACAACACAATCAAAGTATCAAAAGGCTGAAAACTTATACGCTTAGTTCTAGATGTATGAAAGAAAATAAAATTTCATAAATAAAGATTTAATTGTTTATCTGCCTGAGTAATAATTGAATACCAAAAAAAAAAAGGAAGCAAAATCTGTTTCCACGAAACACAAAAGTTATGCTACTGAGAAATTTCTCAATAATTCATCACATTAGCAAGTATTTCATACAATACTAACTTGTTATATAACTCCTTTATTAAAGATTCATAAGTTATATTTATAGCACGGTTTTCATGAGTTAACAGGTTTAACCAGAGTCCGAAGGTTAAACCGGTTAATGAATGAAGCGTGTTATAAATGACTTGTAACATTGACAACTGCTCAACATGCTTATTGTTATTGCACAGAAAACCCACCCCACTTCTCTATATGATTTCTACTAAAACTAGTGTAAACCAGCAAAAGTGTGCAATAACATTGAACATGTCTAGTTATTGCACGGTTAAGTTCCACCCAATCTACTAGAGGGAAAACAATCTGCTTATTCAACGAAAAGAACAAAGGAAGATTACCCATCCATGTTACAAGTCTAGTTATTGCACGGTTAAGCTCCACCCAATCTACTAGAGGGAAAACAATCTGCTTATTCAACGAAAAGAACAAAGGAAGATTTCTTGTCCATGTTACAAGTCTAGTTATTGCACGGTTAAGCTCCACCCATTCTACTAGAGGGAAAACAATCTGCTTATTCAACAAAAAGAACAAAGGAAGATTTCCCGTCCATGTTACAAATAATAATAATATCTTACAGCCTTTCTCTTTAATATCATATCTAATCTCCATTTATCACCTTCAGTTATTGGTCTCTTCATATAGATCTCTGGACTTAACCTGTTAATAATTTCACATCAAATATGAGATTATAACACATCATTATCATGCATTTACAAATTTTTAACCAGACTTGATTAGTTCAGATTGATTTGTTCTAATAATTTCACATCAAATATGAAATATAAATTGGTGATATTGTGACAATATATGTTTCATGTCATTATCATGCATTTACAAATTTCTAACCAGACTTGATTAGTTCAGATTGATTTGTTCTAATAAATGACATCAAAGTCAGATCTCACTCTTAATCTAGTAAAAGTCATACTTTGAGATTCTGAATTGTTCAGTTTCAATGTTTGTAATTGTTTATAAATATTAATATTTTAAAATTAAAGTATTTCACATAATGTAATAATCTATTGAGTAAAATCGTTTTTCAGCTTTTAATACATAATTTTAACTTTTAATATATCATCATCGTACGACTTTAGCTACAGTCTGCCAAATTTAAAAAGATAGAGATAAAGAAATGGAGTTTAACATGCATTCACCACAAACTAGGTCATTTGGGGACTAACATATGGTTCAACTTTATTTCAAAAATTTGCTTGCGAGTAGGTGTCTTTAGCTGTGGGAGGAAACCAGAGGGCCCACAGAAAACCCACAAGGTTGGACAAGCGACCCTACTCTTTGTCACATACAAGTGGGCAATCAAAACCACCCCACTTGACTCAATGACAGACCTTCATATCCAATGTGCATGCGTTAACCACTCGCCCACCCAACATCCCAGATTATAAAAAGAAAAAAACAAAAATATAACATAACCCAGAACTGTTTTGTTTATTTCAAGTACTTTGTTTTTATATTAAAATATTTTATTGTCTCATATTCAAATGAGAAAGTGAGAAATGATTCAATTTTAGTATAATAATTTCCTTGCTGGCAGGGGTCTTTAGCTGTGGGGGGAAAACCTGGAGAAAAACCCATGAAGCTGGACAGGAAACCTACTCCTTGACTCAACTCAACACCCCCCCCCCCCCTCCACCTCGCACATTTAAATCAACATACCACCAATCAGTAATAAATATTTCTTCTTTGGCTTTCTCTAGAGAATCTCCTACAGCTTCAAAGTATGATGCAGCATCAGCAAACCTATAAATAGATTGAACATCTAATATATAATATGTCCAAATTGTCTTTGGTGCAATTCTCATCACTTTATTTAACCATTCGATGTAGGTCAGTGGCAGCTCAAACATCTATCATTAAGATAATATAATTGTTGCTTCATCAACATTAAATTTTGAGATTTGATTTTATTAAATAAAACAAATAAATATTTTTGAGAGAGAGAGAGAGTTTAACGTCCCACGAGGTTGGACAGGCAACTCTACTCCTTGTCACATACAATCGGGGAATCGAAACCACGCCAGTTGAATCAATGACAGAGCTTATGATACAGCACGCACATGCTAACCATTCGACCATCCAACCCCCCCGCAATCAATGGCAGACTAAAAACTTACCAATGAGCATAGGACGGATCTCGTACTGGAGCAAACCCTTGAAATCTGTTAACTGTGGTATATTCATCAGCTTTTGTTTTGGCCTTTTCTTTAATAAGATGAGCCCATTCTCTGGCCTTTCTTGATGTCCAGCACCTTATTAGTAAATTTCTATAAGACAAATTATAAAACTTAATTATTTTAATGTTATTTTACTCAAATTTGGTTATACTCCATTTCGAATAAGTTTGTAAAATTCAAATGAAGTAATTTGGTTCTGTAGTCATTGTGAAAAATGCATTTATATTCAGAAATTAATTTAAATTTTGAGGAGTCAAATCTATTAAAACAATTGCACAACAGTGTGAATCTGCAGTCATAGCCTTTCTTAAAATACAGATGTGACATCATCCTTTGATGTTGGCGTATATTATTTCAAATACAATGTAATATACGGGCAACTTGCCAATCGTACATTATTTATACTAGTGAAATATTGGAATTGCGTGAAGCATTTTACTGTAAAAGTAAGTGCAGAGTTAGTATTTTAAGTTGTTTAATGGTCTCCAACTTAAGACATTGCGTAATATATTAAAACAACACTCGGGCCTCACGGCCCTCGGTGTGGTTTCAATATGTTACTTAATGTCTCGCTCTCGATCCTTTAAACAATACATAGTGTACTGAAGACAGCAAATTAAAACAGGTGTGAAGCTACCTGAAGCTTGCTAATTTACTTTGCTTATAAATATCTGAATTTATTACTGAACACAATACACCTGGCCGAACATTACATACATCAGATAAACTACTTTTAAAGCCCCAAACTGTTAAACTAGTCTCTTATGATCAGCGCTCTTTTAGTTATCAAGCACCTGTTTTATGGAATAATCTACCATTTAGTTTAAGATGTTGTACATCTCTATATTCTTTTAAAAAACAACTTAAAACACATTTATTTAACCAGGCTTTTAACTGACTCTGTTTATTTATGATTACATTGTCACTTTGTAAAGTGCCCCTGAACATGTTATATGAAAGGGCGCACAATAAATATGCTGTAATAATAATAATTAATAATTATTGAAATTATTTATTTAACATTAGATGCATTCAAACTACATTTGCTCTTTAATTTACCTTTGAAGTGTTGTGATAAGAACACCATGGGGTGCCCCAGAAGATGCCATTCCACATTGTACTCTAAAGTCAGAATCCATTAACAAAACATCACTGATATGTCCATCCTCTGGTCTTATATAGGCTAACCAGGAATCTTTTACAATCAACCATCTAAACGAATATATTCAATTACAAACTATGTATCACTGGTAAGCTTATACCGTTGACTAATGAAGCTAACCCTTTAAGTAATGACAATTTTTGTCATTTAATAATATAAGTGGTCAGTATTCTAAACTAATGTTTAGTGTGTATAGAGAGAGTGGTTAGAAATTATACAGTTGTCATTAATTAGCAGGTGTGTAACTAGCTGTAAAAGATGTCACTACTGGTGTAAAAGCAATCTGTTTCACAGAGGATTACGAAAGTCTTCTAATATCTCTGTAAAAGATGGCTGCTTTAAACACGAGACGTCACATCACGTGGCATCAATCATTGGCTCAATGGTGCGTGCATTGTTTACATAAGACGCTACTGGTTTGGGCCGAATGATGCCTTTTACTCATTTTAATACCCATTTACACTAAATAGGACATCATTTTTACCTACAAATACTTCAAACGTCTTTATTTATTTTTCTAATACATAAAAAAATGTTTTATAATTTAATTTGTCCGAGGAAAAAAATTAATATTTGTGGCTCATTAAGTCGCACCAATGTCATCCTTATCAGTGATTGTAGCGGCCTAGCAAATATTCACTGCTGACTAATTATAACACTGATGTCCCATCACTATTGAATACACAAACCTGGACAGTAGAGGTGTATATCATTCAATAGTCTTAGTTTTAACACCTACTTAATGACTACTGCCTGATTACTAACAATTTTAACTAACTAATACACATTTTGTATATAAAATGATGTCTTTGATCTTCTAGTGTCTTATACATATTCATTTATAACAGTTATTTGTTGCTTAGCTAACGATATCAATGTTACAGTGTATATACTGATCAGTGGCCTTATCCAGGAAATTTTAACTAAAATATTTTAAGAAGGATGCCTTTTCATTGGTTAAAAGCTCAAATTTACACCAGGATTTTAATTCTTAACCAATGAAAATGCTGAATACTCAAAATATTTTAGTTTATGATTTAGTGAATAAGGCCCCAGTAAACATTATATCTTAAAATGCACATTCAATTTGTTTACATAGGAAATTGAAATAGATATTAGGTAAATGGCTAATTTGGCAGTGAATCACAGCATTCCAAGCTTATTTCTCAGGGTCAGCCCAATGTTTCATTGCCTATAATCTTGACATAAAAGGCTTGCCACAAAAATGCTGGTCAATGAATGCAAGGGTCCTAATTCAGTTTGGAGACAATTAGGTTTCATCCTGACATTCTAATAAAAGAAATGAAAAGAAATGGGGTTTAACATTCTACTGTTCTGCTCCAACTGGACCATTGAAGATGAGCATACGCCATGCAGTGTACTAGTGGTTTAACGCATGCTCGTGAAACCATTGAGTCAAGTGGCGTGATTTCGATTTCCCGCTTGTACCTGACAAGGAGTAGAGTCATCTGTCCAACCTTGTGGGTTTTTCTCCAGGTCCTCCGGGTTTAGTTCCACTGCTAAAGACCCCAACACACAAGTGAATTATTGAAATAAAATTGAACCATATATTAGTCCCAAAATGACCTAGTTTGTCTCAAATGGACATTAAATCCCAATCCCCTCTCTGTGTCTCGCTAATGAATATGGAAAAGCTTATTATAATTATGAGCAAGAGTGAAAGTATAGAATAGTAAGAACGACTGAGCATACCTTTTATTCCATGTACCAAAGACATGTAAATTTCTAAGACAACCACAACAACCGATACTAATGCTTCTACCACCAGAACACTTCTTTACTATACCTTCTTTTCCTTTAGAACCCAGTATACTCACAAATGACAGTGGACTTACTTCAAAAAACTTTATCTAATAAAAAAGAAAACATTATACACTCTCTCCCTATTTGAGTCTGACTTAGGTCAAAATAAAGTACTGAATTAGGTTGATCCTGTTATGTCTTGATGGGCCATACAACATAAGGTGACCGGAACTAAGACTACTTTATATATAAGAAAAATATATAATATTGGAACGGATGGCAAGGATATAACATCTTCCTTTTTTACAGAAAAATAAAATAATAAAAACATAATACTGATAAAATAAATTAAATTGAATAAAGTTCACTAAGTTTCATAATCTCTAAACCGTTGTGGCATGACTGATACTCGAACTGACCTAGTTTTATAAGGTTGAGAATTTTGGGGTCTGGATGGAGAATATCTTCTGGTGATATATTTTGATAAGCATTGTCATTAAACGTTCATTTTGAAAGATTAAGTAGAAGTCAGGTTTTTTGCTAATTTTAGAGTTTCTTTTTGGGCTTACTGTGTCGACAATGGAAAACACAAACTTAGTTATATACATTTATTTCAATGCTGGCTTTATCTACAAACCTAAAATTTTTAACCGGGGCAGATTTTCATCCTACAAAATAACCTATAAAATCCAATAAATCGACATCGTGGCTCACGGTTACAGAGCAGAAATGAATATTGAAATTCACACGTCTTGCATTAATTTCATTAGAGTATTAATTTCTTCAATTAACTAAACCTTCATGTATGTGTTTCTAAAGAAGCAAATTGATTCATTTACCAATTTTTGTACTTATAGTATGAAGTTTATCTGTCACAGTCTTTGAAATATGTATTTCTAATGAAGTAAACTGAAGTTCATGAACATTAACAATAATATTCATATACAAGGATCTATTCTGAGCTTACAGAATTATTGACAGTGATATACCTACCGTTTCATTATGTTCTCGGTAAGAACGAACTTTCAATAAATTCTGTAAATAACTTTGTAGTAATTCCTGTAAAATATAAAAATAATGAAAACAATACGTAGGAGAAAGAATAAAGGAACACTAAGCGGACATTAGACATAACAGGCTAAAACTGGTCACAATTCAATTTTAAAGGAGAGAGAGAGAGAAATGGGGTTTAACGTCCACTTGACACAAACTAGGTCATTTCGGGACTAACACGTGGTTCAATTTTATTTCAATAATTCGCTTGTGCGTAGGGGTCTTTAGCAGTGGGAGGAAACCGGAGGACCCAGAGAAAACCCACAAGGTTGGACAACCGGGGATTCGAAACCACGGCAGTTGACTCAATGACAGGCCTTACGATACAGCGCGCGCATGCTAACAACTTGGCCATCCACCTTCACCCCCCCCCCCCCACAATTTTAAAGGACAAGTAGAAATGGTATAATTAAAATTATAGAGATTTTTAAGACCCAGATAACGATAACGGCAAAAACAATGACATGAGAAAAGCCAATGAATTCAAATGGATTCATACTTTAAGAACATTTGAACCGGATGGCATCAACGATAAGTATAGTCTTGATAAGATATAGTCCCGCAGGGTCCCCAAATTGATTGTTTAATCTGCTAAAATATAAAGTATGAAACAGGCTATTTAAAGTAATAATTGCTTTTTTTTTTTAAGTCATATGTTTAAAATATACTAAAATAAAGTCCTAAAATACATGGCATCTATACACACAGTTCTACCTTGTTAAAGAATAATCCTAAATTCTATAATTCACTTCTTTCAGTTGAGAAATTGGTAAATATATCATTTTCTTTTGAATTCCAGCCTGGAGGTCGGGTGTTCGATCCCTGCACTGGCCGAGAAAGTTCATCCAGATTTTCCAGCGTGGTTTCCCCTTGTCAGTGATGCAGGACGGAGGGCCTGACAAGGACAGCTGTCTAGTCGTTCGGATGGGACGAAAAACCGAGGTCCCGTGTACACATCGGCGTGCGCGTAAAAGATCCCTTGGCAGTTCGAATTCTATATAAGAGTAGGCCGTAGTGCCACTGCCGGGGCAAAATTTCCCTCATAGAACACTGTAGGAGCAGAACAGTAGGATGTTAAACCCCATTTCATTTACTTTTAATTCCAACGTTACTTTTTACGGTGTTATTATCACATGTGCAGGTTTGAAAAGTCTCACTCAACATTATCCTTATTTGTTTCACCATGGACCTTGACAATCGAGACAACCCCCTCTTTCATTGTTTAGACTTAGTTCTCCAGTGAAAAGAAATGATACAATTTCCAAATACTGTTGGTGAGTAGAAATTATTTCAGAATGTTTGTTAGGTGCTAGAATGATTCCTATGATTATATAGTAGTGATTTAACAACCTATTAAACATACATTATGCAAGAGCTAAATCTGCCTATTGCAGGTCTTTCTTTAGGCCTGAAATGTTTTCTAAATTATTAATTAGACATTAATTAACTTATCCAGACCATAATTAACTTTCGATGGCATCGCTAGCCTGCGATGTTTAATTGGAATGGGGTCCACTTTTCCTGTTCGACTTCCATTCATAATTTAATCATTAAATGGATAATCAAGACTATGTTTTTTATCCTACCAACTTTGGTAATGATGATCGAGGCTAGGCGGAAAATTCAATCGAAAAAATCTTGGTTCATAGTGGGTCAATTTGTGAAATTTTCAGAAAATTGCCTTTACAGTATCTAGTTTTTAACTATTATAGTGAGAACTGCCAGCTCTTTATCTAATCTCCCATAATGTATCTTTAAGTAATAGCTATAGAAATTTATTATGTTTTAACTTTCTTAGAGAATAAGAAATTATCGCTTTAATTACTTTTTTTTTATTTGAATATAAATATCAATGTGCAACATCTATATAAAAGATATAGATTGATCTAGAATGACAAAGAAATATTACCATTCGTTTTCGTAACCTATCTTGATGTACAAGGGCTTCAGGTCGTGAAGGAAACTTCATACTTAATTTTTCTCTGTTAAACGTCTTTCTCTTATCTTTATGGCTGTAAAAATATCAACAACAGATGTAATCAAATTCATATAATCTACATGGCAGCTCTGTGTGAGAGAGAGAGAGTGAGAGAGAGAGAGAGAGAGAGAGAGAGAGGTCCACTCAACACAAACTAGGTCATTTCGGGACTAACATATAGTTAATTTTATTTCAATAATTTACTTGCGCATAAGGGGTCTTTATTAGCAGTGGGAGGAAAATGGAGGATCCTGAGAAAACCAACGAGGTTGGACAGGCGACCCTACTCCTTGTCACGTACAACCGGGGAATCGAAACCACGCCCGTTGACTCAATGACAGACCTTATGATACAGCATGCACGTGCTAACCATTCGGCCATCCACCCCCCCCCCCCCCCCCCGGCAGGTTTGTGAATGAGCTATTAGAGAATTGGAGAGTACTGCCTTGCGGAAACAACAAACAACATTAAGTCCTTCCAATGTACACATTTGTCGACTCCTAAATCCTAACAGAAACTCTAACAATTCAAATTTCAAGAAGAGTAGATATAAATGCTACTGTTTGGGCAAAATTCCCCTCCCTAGAATTACACATGTTACATAATCAAAATAAAATTCCTGTCTCCTTACAGTTAATACTGACAGTAGTACAACATGACTGGCAGCGATATAACATGACTGACAGTAGTTCAACATGTCTAACAGTGGTACAACATAACTTATAATAGTACAACATGACTTACTTACAGTAGTACAACATGACTTGTAATAGTACAACATGACTTACTTACAGTAGTACAACATGACTTACTTACAGTAGTACAACATAACTGGCAGTAGTACAACATGACATACAGTAGTACAACATAACTGGCAGTAGTATAGCCTGACTGACAGTAGTATATCATGATTGGCTGTAGTGAAACATTAATGACATTAATACAGCATGAATGGCAGTAGTACAGCATGTAACTTACTCAACCATAATGAAAATGTATAGCACCTAATTTAAATTCGCTTTATTTATTTGCCACACAACTGATTATTTTTCCCAACTAAAATGATATATTGGGCCATCATGGTACCACTACTGGTATATGTACATAAGGAAAACCCCAAAATAATTCAATTTACACACACTAGCTAAGAAATGAAAATGAAATGGGGTTTAACGTCCTACTTTTCTGCTCCGAACTGGGCTAATGAAGACGGCATACGCCATACAGTGTGCTATGAGGGAAATTTTGCCCGGACAGCGGCACTATGGCCTACTCTTATATCGAATTCCAACTGTCAAGGGATCTTTTATGTGCAAGCCAATGCGCCCTGCATCACTGACAAGGGGGAAAATCTGGATGAACTTTCTCAGCCAATGCAGGAATCGAACACCCGACCTCCAGGCTAGCGAGCCAGTGCCTTACCCACTTAGCCATCGTACCCCCTACCTCACTAGCTAAGATGCAACATTCAGTACTTACGTTTTTGTAGGCATTGGTATACTTAGTTTCGCTCTGTATAACAAAAGATGTTCATGAAGCTGTCTAAAATGTTTGTAGCGTTTTTTCACAACCCAGGTAAAATTTCCATGTTTTACCACTATTTTATATCTGAAAAAAAATGAGATTTTTATTTCTAAGAGCAATACTACTCAAAGCTTAATATTTTACATTTGACAGAGATATTGGATAGTTTAACTTGTCCCTTAAATAGGCACCCTTGTGAAACATGTAATTACATTTTAAGCATACTATCAAATTCACTAAACTATCACTAATTTTGCTCATTCTGACCACAGGTGCTTGTAAAATGGAAAATTTTATTCAAAGATAGTATTAGTATTATGACTAAAGTCTATTAAATGATTATAACAGCAGTGAAAAAGGGCTGAATCAGTGATGGGATTTCGCCTGTATATTCCGGAAATGTCCGACGCTATTTTCCAAACGTCCTAAATTGTCCGACCAGGAATATGCCCAATCGGACATCAAGGTACGGTGAATAATATTCAAAATTCCAAAATTAATATAGTGTACTGAGTGTATATCTACCACTCGACCCGATTATCGTTTATAATAGGATGGATTGATTAGGTAATTAAGTGATCAAGGTCTTTATCGTGTTATACCGCCTATACACGTACGAATTTGAATATTTTGTTGACACGTTATTTTTGTGTGTTGTCTAAAAACTGCCTGCTTAAAATATGATAAGAGTTATGTCCCTTTATTTTCGGTATAAATGTTCGACGAGAAAAATTTTGAAATCCCATCACTGGGCTGAATACTTACAAGTTTGGATTTAGAACCTGGGTTCCTTGTCGCTCATAACCTGTTATTTCAACTTCAATTGGAACTTTGGGAATCCAACAGTTGTTTCGGATTGTATCAAACTCTTTCGGTTCTTTTTGAGTTGATGTAAAAGGCAAAGTTAATTCATCTTCGTCTGTAATGTTATTGAAATAGATGTGAAAGTAAATGTAATGATATGAAATGGGGTTTAAAATCCTATTGTTCTGCTCCGACTGGGCTAATAAAGACGGGCATAAGCCATACAGTGTGCTATGAGGGAAATTTTGCCTGGGCAGCAGCACCATGGCCTACTCTTATATCGAATTCCAACTTCCAAGGGAAATTTTACGAGCATAGCAATGTATACACGGGACCTCGTTTTTCATCCCATCCAAATGACTAGACAGCTGTCCGTGTCAGGTCCTGCACCACTGGCAAGGGAAAACCATCACGATGAACTTTCTCGGCCAATTGGTAATGTAACAATAATAATGTTTCACCAATGTTTGAATGAACAACATTAGTAATTTCAGCGATTCTCCGTGAGTAGTCGTAACTTTCCATCAATAAACAATCTGTGACGTCTTTTTTGTCCTTTTGCTCATATCCTAGTCTATATTTCTATGAGCAGAAGGACTAAAATGATGTCACAGATTGTTTATTGACGGAAAGTTATGACTACTCACGGGGAACATCAGAAATTACTAACATTTAAATTTACCTGTTGCAGGTACATGTAATATATTTGACTTTCAGGTTCGTACTATACTTATGGAAAGTATATGTTGACATAATTACTTGCATTATTTAAAAAATTTATGAAGCTTTTCCAATGACTTTTATTAATGCTGGCTAAAAATTGTGCCATCTCTAATTCATAACCATGGACACCTACTTAAAGATTGCATTCTTGCACTGAATCTTGAATCTTGAATGTCACCATCTGCTGTATCATATTCATCGATCGCAGAAAGAACTGAAAATTCATCTTCATCATCATATTCCGATATCACAGACACTGATCGCAGGAAGCTTCGTGTGGTATTTTCAGCACCGGACTGATTCATTTCTTCACTTTCTGGAAAACATGCAGATATTTTTTTTTTCTCTATGACATTACTTTCTGGAAAACATGCAGATGTTTTTGTTCTCTATGACATTATTTTCTGGAAAACAACTGCTTTTAATTATCAACTGAGTAATTATGATGAGTCACCATTATTTCATTGACAGTTGTACCGTGGCAAGACAATATACAATTACAACCTACAATGTCAATATTATCAATTTTTATATATTTTGTTTACCTGGGTAATCCTATTATAGCTCTCCTTTTTGAACATCAGAATAGTCTGTCACAAATTTGAATTCAGAAGCTACTATGGTCTAAAGGGTCACTTTCTATTCATAGCATCCAATCATAAATTCTGACATATCAGACGGTAAAAAAACATCACACTGATCTGTTGATAAATCGGCACTCTTCTGTCTCCATTTTGTCCTTGTTGGCGATCACGTGATACAACCACGTGACATATGTATAAAAACGGATAATTACGGAAACCCATTAGCACCACCATTCAATCAGCATCATAATAATAGTAATGACTTTATTTTCTGAGGGAAAATATTTAGTACATGAGTTCTAATTTTCAACATGTCCCACCTACTCTATAAAACTAGCAACTACACAGTAACAATATTTACACAAATTTACAAAGTGCATCTAGGTCTATTTTATGTAGGGGGATTGGATGGCCGAATGGTTAGCACGTGCGTGCTGTATCATAAGGCCTGGCGTTGTTTCGAATCCCATGTTGTACGTGACAAGGAGTAGGGTCGCCTGTCCAACCTCTTGGGTTTTCTCCGGGTCCCCCGGTTTCCTCCCACTGCTAAAGACCCCTACGCGCAAGCGAATTATTGAAATAAAATTAATCCATATGTTAGTCCCGAAATGACCTAGTTTGTGTCGAGTGAACGTTAAACCAGGTTGAAATTCATAAATTAGTTTGTATTTTTCAAAATATTGGGTAATTTATGTGTTTTTCAAATATCTTTGATATTCTGGGTAATACCCCCATCAGACCTGGGTGGCGTCCTTATTGCGCTGCTACGGCGACGGAAAATGGTCTCAGAGCGCGTCAAGATCGTCATAAACGTGGTGAAAACGTGGTTGAAACACCAAATATCGTGCTGTGGTCTCCATGGTCGCCAATGATCGGCGAGTCACAGCGTTTGTTTTGAGTATGTTCAAAACAAACGCGAAGGTTCTGCGATCTGACCTGGACAGCTGTGAGAATGCGACTTTTTTCAAGTTTGTAATTTTTGGGACATTTTCTTGCGTTGTGTTCACGTTTGCCGGCGACCTTGTGCATTTTCTAGTCGCCGTACGGTCGCAATAGCGCAGTAAGGACGCCAACGCCAAAACGTATTTAGATCTACTTAATATTGGAGGCATCCGATGGCATCGACAGTTGAAGATTATGATCTGGGTAAGTTATTAAATAATTTATAATTTAAGGCCTAATGACCTGCAATAGGCAGAGTTAGCTCTTGCATAATGCCTGTTTAACATTGAATTATCAGTGAATTTGTTGCTTTTCCAATGAAATTGTTCATGGTTATATACTATTCAAAAAAAGTAGGGGATATTTGATTTTGGGGGCATAATACTAAAATATGCAAATGACTACGAAAAAAGTCACTATAGAACCTAACAGAAGAAACATTTCCAGTTACATGTGACGCCCAAACGCACCAATAGCTACCGCATGGAATGCAGGTGATGCTTGGGATCATCATGGGGGTCCAACCCAAGATTTGCACGACTCTGACTTTGAATGTTACAGTCATTGTGGCATTGAATTCCAGGGTGGAAACATCAGTTTAATTGTTTTAGTGACCAGAAAACAAATTTTGATATGCGTCGGCTTACCAAAAATGAAAGGTTACGTGCCCTTGGCATGCTACAGATCGGCACAACACAGGCGGTTGTGGCGCGGACGATGAATGTTTCTCAGTCTGTCATAAGCAGGCTATGGTCCAGATACCGTGATACACAATCTGTACAGGACAGACCACGCTCAGGTCGACCAAGGGCGACAACTCAAGCCCAGGATCGATTTATCCGTACCTTGGCCTTGAGAAATCGTGTCATCACAGCAAATCAGATCAGCGCTCGTCTTCAAACAGACACTGGTGTGAGAGTGAGTGGCCAGACGATTCGGAATCGACTGCATAGGGGTCACCTTCGCGCCCGACGTCCTCGCGTGATCCCTTGTTTGAGAGATCATCACATTCAGGCAAGACGTCGTTGGTGTAGGGATCGTCAACACTGGGATAATCGACGCTGGAGCAATGTGATGTTTTCAGATGAGTCAAGGTTCACTGTTGATTTTTTGGACAGACGTAGGAGGGTGTGGCGTCGTCGAAACGAGCGCTTCCAAGACGTTAACGTCATCAGACATGATCGATTTGGGGGTGGTTCTGTTATGGTGTGGGGAGGCATCACTGTTGCTGGAAGAACGGCTTTACATGTTGTTGCAGGGCGTGTTACAGGCCAGTACTACCGGGACAACATCTTGGCAGTCCATGTTGTGCCGTTCGCACGACGTCATGGCCGCCGTTTCATCTTCCAGGATGACAACGCAAGATGTCACAGGGCCAGGATCGTTACAGGTTACCTCCAACAGAACATCACCACATTACCTTGGCCAGCACTGAGTCCCGACCTCTCCCCCATCGAGCATGTCTGGGACATGCTTGGACAGAGGTTACGTCAACGTCAACAACGTCCTGCCAATGTCCAAGAACTTGCTGCTGCGTTGCAACAGGAATGGGACAATCTGGACCAAAATGACCTTAGACGTCTCATTAGGAGTATGCCACGTCGGATCAATGCTTGTTTGGCAAACAGAGGAGGATTTACCCGTTACTGACTTGGTTGTGATGCTGTGGTAACTTTGCTGTTTGACCCCGTGTATCATTTTACCCTTATAATGGTCAGTCTGTGCCTTACTTAGTCTAACGATCATTTGGAATAAATCGATGAATGTGAACTTCATTTCATTTTGTCATTTGTTTCTTCGTCAGTTTCATTAGGTGACTTTAATAACACTTAAAAATCAAATATCCCCTACTTTTTTTGAATAGTATATGAAATAATTATATCCAATTTATTGTTTTTAATCTATGTAAGTCATCATACGGAAAGTAATATCGGAGTAATAATATTTAATTTTAACATTAATGGAATCTTATACCAATAGCCTTTGTAAATGTTGCTTTTATTAAGTGCGCGCGCAATATTTGTAAAAATGGAAAGTCCACCATATATCTCTCTAAATTTAAAACATCCAAATTCAACTAGATCTTTAATCAGTTCAACCTCCAGGTAATAACTGGAACTCCCTCAGGCTGTTTACTTTAAGTCTCAGATAAATTTCAAAACATCCCAAACCCATCGACACGAATAATTTCTGACACAATAGCCTAATACTCTAATACTGGCTACAAATAGCATGCATCATACAACACAAAATACTGTTTGTATTTCGGCCGTGTATCTATTAACACTCGTCACATCAGTCAGTTATATAGAGGTATAATGCGTGTTTTCCTTTGGCGTTCGTCACTTCCGATTCAGGAAACCTGTATTACTCAGCTATCGTAGCAATGATCTCTGCGTGTTAAAATTATATTTGGAATGTGTTTAACCAGCTCTATCACATATGTGATAATGACTGGCACCAATATTGTCCTTTAAAGGAGATCAATCGCTATTCTTTGGCATCTAGAAATAGACACAAATGGGTAGCAACGCACACAATAATTTAATATGAATGTATATAAACTGATTTACATTCAATCGTTTCTGTTTTTACTCTAATTTCAAATCAGTTATGGTCGGCGAACTACGAGAAGAGTCCGAATTGAATGACAGTCTTCGGCGTCTGGTCATTCCAGTCTACACCGGTAGTATTCTCCAACATGGAATAGTCATCGTTCATCGAGTCGCTTCATATAAATGGCGCTCGAAAGCATTCTGGCACGCGATTCGTGTGCCAAAGACAAAATTTTCATTTTGTCTTAAATATTGGACGGAAGCCCAACTTTTCACGGTAAGATAACATGTGCGAATACTTTGCCCCCCCGGATCTGTAAGCGCATCAGTTTAGCGCTCTGCCGCCGGCTAGTGCACGCGGTTATCGATCGCTCGATCGCTTTAGGTATAATAGGGTTAGATGAGGATACCGAAGTCTGCCGATGGAATGCCAAGTGGGCTGACTGGTATCCGAACACTAAAAACGAAAGTGAAAGCGACACTAAATGTCGTCTTCGTTTCGTCAGGTTCTAAAAATCTTGATGTTTTTCGATATTTTTGACAACTGTGGGCCTTTTGCCGACGTGACAGCTTGATTCGTCACTAAAATATCCGAGAGAAGCTTGTTCTGTATTTTAGCAAAGTGATCTCCAGTTACCCCAGACATAAGCCAAAGTGACGTTAGAGTGCCGGCGGGAGAGGAGCCCCTCGGACCCCCACCAACCTCCCCACCCCTGTCCTGTCGCGGATCCCGAGTAGCTCAGTAAGGAAGGCGCTGACACGTGGTCCTTGGTTCGACCTGGACGAGTTTCCCTTAGTGGTGCGGGGCGGAGGCCTGGCAAGGAACCGCGTCTAGACGTTCGGATGAGGCGAAAAGATGAAGTCCTGTGTGCACGTTGGAGTGCAAGAGACACTGCGTTTACAATTAATAATAATAATAATAATATCTTTATTTTCAAAGGTGGAAAATTAGGATTAAAGCCTGTTTACAATTTTGCCCTTTATAACAAAGAAATGAAAAAGACAGTAACAGAACAAGACACTTAACAAATACACACACACACAAAACATTCAAATAATTTGAAAACACCGTAAAAGATTTTCGTTTTAAAATTGTGCTAATGCAAATGTTGTTATATTTGTGTCTTTGTAAAGTGACTAATTCCATATCTTCATCGGTATATACATTAACCCCACCCCACCCCAGAGCATGGATAAGTTGATTAGTTTGACATATCTTTCTGCCTTCTATGTGACAAATTGTACAAAATAACTCTTACCATGTAATGTAGTATTCAATCTGTTTAATAAATCAAATGTTCTATATTAAATATTATCACTTCCGCGAATAGACGTAATCCGGAACAGCTTCAGTGGGGTTTTCTATAATACCGCATTATATATAGGTGGTTTCTCCAACCGGAAAGGAACTATTATAGCCTACTATACGTGATGGTGTACAAACACCGACGTTCGCCAATGCTATTATGCTATGGTCACTTTCAGTTTTAGACTAACGTAAATTAATAACCATGACAAATAACACAGTTCTGTAGGTATAAATGTAAAACAGCAAAGACAATATTTTACTACACATGTTCAATCAATAATTGCCGCAAATATAAGAGCACAACTGAGCCTTAAAAGCGACAGACACACTTGACGA